TTATCCAAAAGAAAAAAAGTCGTTATATGAAAAAGACACGTGCACATGCATGTTTACAGCAGCACAATTCGCAATTGCAAAGATATGGAACCAACCTAAGTGCCCATCAACCAGAGTGGATAAAGAAAATGTGATATATATATATGTACACACACACACACACACACCATGGGAACTACTCAGCCATAAAAAGGAATGAAATAATGTCTTTTGCAGCAACTTGGATGGAGTTGGAGGCCATTATTCTGAGTGAAGTAACCCAGGAATGGAAAATCAAATATTGTATGTTCTCACTTATAAGTAGGAGCTAAGCCATGAGGATGCAAAGGCATAAGAATGATATAATGCACTTTGGAGATTCAGGGGGAAGTGTGACGGGGGATGAGGGATAAAAGACTACATATTGGGTACAGCATATACTGTTCGAGTGATGGGTGTACTAAAATCTCAAATCACCACTGAAGAACTTATCCATGTAACCAACACCACCTGTACCCCAAAAACTATTGAGATAAACATTAAATTGTATAGTATTTGTGTATACACATCCTCTTATATAGTTTATTGTCTCTAGATTACTTAATTCCCAATACAGCATGAATGCTATGTAATTAGTAGTTATACTACATTTTTTATTTGTATTAATTTTTATTGTTGTATTGTTATTTTTTATTTAAAAAATTTCAAATCTGTGGTTGATTGACACTGCAGATAGAGAGGGCTAATTGTATTTAAAATAGCAGATTTAAGGTTTTTGCCTAGTAAATCCAATATCTAGGTTCTAAGTTTCCTGATGGACAGTTTCTATGCTGCTTCTTTTTCTATGTATGAGCAATGCTATCTTGTGATTTTTGTTGAAAAAGTAGGTATTTTAAATAATATAATGTGGCAACTCTGAAAATCATATCCTTCTCTCCTCATGATTTTTATTGTTATTGTTTTTTGTTGCTGGTTTTCATTGTTGTGTCTTGATTCATTAGTGAGTAGGCAGAATACTGGCATCCTCCCAAATTTTCATATCCTAATCCTTGAACCTGTTAATATGTTAGGTTACATCATAAAGGGGAATTAAGGTTGTTAATCATTTGACCTTAAAATAGGAAGATAATACCTAATTATCTGGATGAACCCAATGTAATCATAAGGATCATTAAATGCGGAAAAGGGAAGCAGCATATCAAAGTGATATAATGTGAGAAGAATGCTCCACTCACATCCTCACATGGCCTGCCCATTGCTGGCTTTGAAGATGGAGGAAATGGCCTGTAGAAGTTGGAAAAGGCAAGGGAACAGATTCTCCTCTAGAGCCTCCAGAAGGGAATTCAGCTCTGCTAACACCTTAATATTAACCCAGTCAGGCCATGTTAGACTTCTGACCTAAAAAACTGTAAGATAAATTTGTATTGTTTAAGCTACCAAGTTTGAGGTAATTTGTTTTAGAAGCATAAGGAAACGAACTTTTCTATATAAATTCTATGAAGTCTGTTTATACAGACTTTACTCCTGGGGAAAAGGTTTGCACTGACAGAACATTGAGTCTGGTTAAATAAAGAAAAATCTTGCAAATAGGAACTTTCACAGAAAGGCCAGACAGGTCAAATAATGACAGTTCTCTCAGAATGGTACTTTCGGGTAGCTTGAAACCTATTGTACTTCCTTCAGTGTCTGCTAGGCTGCTTTTTTCACTGCGATTATTGGACTATTTGTTTTCAAGTTTGAGCTGGAGAGAGGGTGACAAGGGTAGGTCAGTTAAAATGCCACAAAACTCACTGTTTTAAATGAAATTTAGCTACTTATTTTTTAATAAATACTTTTTGGATTTTTGCAAGTCTTTGGTTAATTTCCCAGGTTCTGAAAAGGTTGATTTTGACAATGTTTCCAATGTTTTTGTTTCTTTACTGGAGGAGTAGATTTTTTGAGTCCTTAGTCTGGCATTCTTGCTGACATCCAATCTTTCTTAAAGTTCTCTAGTGAAGTGAGAAATTGCCAACCCATTCCATAGCTCTATATTTCTTATTCCCATCGTAGTGTTTTATTGTAGCAGCTACATAATCTGTCAAATTCTTCAATGAGCACTTCAGTCCAGAAGGCTTCAAGTATTTAAAAAGCTGTTTTGAAGGAATGTGCCATGGACTGATTATTCTTCCTTTTTTCTTTTCCAGTTGGAAAAGTTAGATAGCCATATTTAGAGGTCTTGTGTCCTTAAATACTGTGTTGATAATCAGAATTCAGTGCAGAAAACAGAAGCATTCTAGGCATTTCAAACAGGTAGGGTTAATACATGGAATTAAATGAATACAAAAGTAATTGTAAGAGTGAAAGAGGGGTGGTTCTGGGGTGAGCCTTTAGGAAAAACTCCCAGGACAAAAGAGATTTGACCCAAAGGACATCTACTTCTGAAAACAGACTTTATTTTAGACTTTTCAAAAATCAACTTTGAGTGTTATTATCTTCTTTGATTTTGTTTTTCTGCTTTTATATTTATTATTTATTTCTAGCCTGTTTTGGTTTATTGTATTGGTCTTTTAAATTCTGGGTTGAGTGCCTAGGACTTTTTTCCATTATTTCTTGTTTTTTATATATGTTAATTATGGCATTAGATTTTCTTTAAGTACTGTACTGCTTTAGTGACATCCTACAGGTTTTAATATTAATCAATTTCACTTTACATTTTTCTAAACTTATACTCTTATTTTAATTTCATCTTTAATGAGATTTTCCCCATGTAGATAACTTTGTATTTTTGTTGTTGATTTACATTTTGTAGTTTTTTAAAATTGTGATTATAAAACACCTTATTGGTATTTTGTGGGCTAATATTTCATTTTGAAAATATTCCATTGTCATTTAAAAAACATATATATTCTTTGGTAACTACAAATCCCCAAACACACACATACACATATGCATACACAATCTGGATGGGTACTTTTATTTTTCATATTCTTTACAACTGTATTTTTTGTTTCACTACACAGCCAGTTTCTGAGGAGGACATATTAAAATACACCACTTTTAGAGTTTTTGAATTTTTCTTCCTTTTTAACAATTTTTGCTTTGTTATTCAATGCATAAGATATTGTCATTATAAAATATTATTCATGAATTGTAACATGTTAATATAAATCATGTTGTTTTGTCATGTTTAATAATTTTTGCTTTGTATATTTATCAGAAATTGATGTCAAATTATTGTATATCTTTGTCTAGCTCCTTATTGTAACGTTTTTGTGGGTTTTTATTTGTGCTCCTTATCCACTTAGATATTTTAATTAAAAAATAGTTTTAACCCATTGTATTAGTCCATTTTCATGCTGCCGATAAAGACATACCCAAGAATGGGCAATTTAGAAAACAAAGAGGTTTAATGGACTCACAGTTCCACATAGCTGGGGAGGTCTCACAATCATGGCAGAAGGCATAAGGCACATCTCACATGGTGGCAGACAAGAGAAGAGAATGAGAGCCAAGGCAATCTGATGGATCTAAAACCATCAGATCCCATGAGATTTATTCACTACCATGAGAACAGTATGGGGGAACTGCCCCCGTGATTCAGTTATCTACCAGTGGGGACCCTCCAAGCCAAAATTCAAGATGAGATTTGGGTGGGGACATAGCCAAACCTTGTCAACCACACAAGTTGTTTTTTTTGTTTGTTTGTTTTTTGTTTGTTTGTTTGTTTGTTTTTTGAGGTGGAGTTTCACTCTTGTTGCCCAGGTTGGAGTGCAATGGCATGATCTCAGCTCACTGCAACCTCCACCTCCCATGTTCAAGTGATTCTCCTGTGTCAACCTCCCAAGTAGCTGGGATTACAGGCACCCACCACTATTTCTGGCTAATTTTTTGTATTTTTAGTAGAGACGGGGTTTCACCATGTTGGCCAAGCTGGTCTCAAACTCCTGACCTGTGATTCGCCTGCCTCAGCCTCCTGAAGTGCTGGGATTACAGGCATGAGCCACCGCACCCGGCCACCTATACAAGTATTAACGTGTCAAAAAGTCACTATTTTAAGTGTCAAAAAAATTCTATTAAACAATTAAATGAACTCATTCATATTTATATATTTGATTTTATTTCTGCCATCTTACTTCTATTTTTTCTTGTTTTCTTTCCTTCTTTCCCCCTTTCCTGTTTTTGGTAGATTAATGGATTGATGGATTTATTGATTGTATGTGGGTTGAGGGTCTCTAGTGCATTGAATTAGTTAAATGTAGCAAATTCTTAAAATATGTTTTTCTCTGTCAACTTCAGATACTAATTTACAACATCTTTTTCAAACAAGACAGAACTTTTAATTCCCTTGTAATTTTCTTATCCTGGTATGCCTCTCACATGCCTTGAGATATTGTTGAAAACATGGAATTAATGTTCCAAGTTATTTCTTTTATATTATGCCTCTCAGACTTCACGAATTCCTACTTTCCAACTATATTAAATAACAGATCATCCTTATCAGTAATTACTTAAAGTTGAAAATATACTTTTCTGTTTTATTTTGTGAATAACTTAAGTTTAAATTTTATATCAAAGGAAAAAAGCTGCCAAAAAACACACAAAAATTACTCTGCTTTTTCTGAAATAGCTTAAGACAGTGCTATCCAAAGATAAAGTAAGATATTTTGAGATGTTGATTTCTTCTTTACTGGAAGAGTTCAAATTTAGTAGACTAATTACTTCTTGGTAAAAATAATTACTTACCAAATCAATCAGATTAAGTACAATAAAAAATCTTTCTTTAACTTTTTTTACTCCTCTATTAATCTATATAATTCTAAGGATTTTCCTATCTGGACACAGAGAAATGTGTGATCCAGAAAACTTATTTAGATTTTTTTAAATCTTGTTCTTCAATCTATTTAATAGTATACTTTTATTCCAAATAGGTCAGTGTATATATGTGAAAAAAAGAAGAAAGGAAGAAAAATTATAATTTTAATTGAGCAAACAATTTCAGCTTAAATATTCTACTTATAAGTATCTGTTTGGGCCTCTTGCAGAACCACCTAGTCTGGAAGATGCAGGGAAGATGCTGAATGAGACTGTGGTGGTGAGCAACCCTGTACAGCTGGAGTGTAAGGCAGCTGGAAATCCTGTGCCTGGTATGTTTACTTGTGGACTCTATAACTTAATATTTTAAGATTTCTGGGAATAACTGAAACTGGTTTTGAGCATAATATACTAATTACTCGTAAAGAACAGGTTATAGAATACATTTCATGGGTGAAACATTGATAAGAATATTAGCAGTTAGATAAAATTTTTGAATTTTTATTGCCTTTAACTGCATGAAACAATTTATTTAAAAAATGTAGAAATATGTGAATACCTTAATCATCTTATTGTCAGTATTGTGGCCACAAGACCCACATGGTGGTTTATATCTATTTATGCTGAAACTTTTTTTTAACTTAAAAGCATCTTAATGAAGCTACATCAAATTGTCATTCTAATGAGACTACAACTTTGTTTTGTATATTCCCACCACTGGTAGATTATTCATATAAATCAGTAACAACATACATTTTTGAGGTCAATAATGTGTATGGTATTTGGTTTGGTTAGGCATATAGCCAATATTTTATGGATGAGGGGAAACATACAACAACAACAAAAAAATAGATAAGTTGAAAGTTTGCTATTAAATAATACTGATATATTAGAGATACTAAAGAATATCTTTCTTCTAAATTCATTTTCAGGACTCACTGACTTGGCTCTTGGTGTTTTTCTAAGGGTTACCGTCTCTTAAAAATCAAAGCTAAAGAGATGATTACTTAAACAGATTAAATTCAGATGATAAGTATAAGAATAAAGTAATTGCGACTTAGCTAAGATACAACTTAGTATATTTAATTTAAAAAATTTTTACATAGATCATCTTCTCCCCTTCTTCTTTCAGTTATTACATGGTACAAAGATAATCGTCTACTCTCAGGTTCCACCAGCATGACTTTCTTGAACAGAGGACAGATCATTGATATCGAAAGTGCCCAGATCTCAGATGCTGGCATATATAAATGCGTGGCCATCAACTCAGCTGGAGCTACAGAGTTATTTTACAGTCTGCAAGTTCATGGTTAGTGCCACTTCACCTAGATTCATTCTGGGGTAAAGAAGCATTCAAAATGATTAAGTGCTTCTATAAAATTTTTGTGTAAGTATTTAACAGAGTGTGTTATTGTCATCTTTATGTAAGGGCACAGTGTTCTAAAACTTATAAATGTGCTTATTCCTGATTCCTATTAAAATGCTCCATTTCCACATGCTGTTGACTTAAGTTTGCTTTCAATGAGTTGTTGAAATAGTCACTGATACTGTTAGCTAATGACAAAAAAACACTGCTTGTAAATGCTCTCTAAAAGAATCATAGGTATTAATGAAAGTTTCTGAGTGATTATCTCTAATAATGCTTTTAAGAGGAGTTGGTAGTTAACATACTACAGTGGATGCAGTGAAGGGGGGTACGCATGTGTGTTCCTGCACACACACACACACAAGCCTAGAAATCAATAAATAAAATTCCACTCTGGCATAAAAAACTGATTTCTTAAACAAACTGGCAAAACTTGTTTTTCCTCATCTGTGAAATGGAGAAATTGATACTTGCTCTATTTATCTCACAGGATGGCTGTGATTAGATCTTAAATAAGAGAGGTGAAAGAACTTACCAAAAAACAAGTAAACAAACTCTCCAATAAGAACACAATATGGTAGACATTACATGTGATTTTTGTCATTTGAGATCACAAATCCTGTGATATTAACATGTCTTACTTTCATTTGTTTTTTTCAGTGGCCCCATCAATTTCTGGCAGCAATAACATGGTGGCAGTGGTGGTTAATAACCCGGTGAGGTTAGAATGTGAAGCCAGAGGTATTCCTGCCCCAAGTCTGACCTGGTTGAAAGATGGGAGTCCTGTTTCTAGTTTTTCTAATGGAATACAGGTACCTTCATTCATTTCTTTGGTGACATTTACCACCTGATTATTCAGTATAGGAAGTACACACGTAAAACTGTTGAAGAGATTTAGAAAACAAGGATTAACAGATACTATTTTTTAAGTACACATATGCAGCCATAAAATCCATGGACACATAACTGGGATCCCCAAATAATTCATTAAAAGCTCACTGTTTCTAAGAGTTCCCTTATCTTACTTTTAGGTGTTATATTTTGACCATTTGTTTTAGATATTTGTTGTTTTCTACCTGCCCCACTCCACTTTCTGCTACTACCACAATAGATACTTTACACAAAGAAATGTTAATCAACAAAACAGGAATTTTCTGGTAGAATTTAGGTTTAAATGTCTTCAAATAGTTATGAATCAGAGACTACACGGAGCATATATACTTCTACAAAAACATCAAGTAATATAGTAAGAAAAAATATAATGTAAACATCATGAGAAGTAAAATTTGAGTCCTAGAAAAATTTTAAATGCATTATATTGAGTCAAAATTAAAAATATAGAAGTGCATGTATACCTAGTTTAATTTTTATCTTGTCTAACAGAAAGCATACATTCTACTTCTTCAGGTTTTCTTGCAAATCTAATGCTTTCAAAATTTGGGATCATAGAACATCCAGAGTTAATGTCAGTATTTTAGAAATACGACTGAATCCATGGGATGAAGGATAATCAATGTAGCTTATTAATTAATTTGGCTACTACTTTGTTGTTAATTTCAGTTTCTTACCTTTTTACCCAAAGAAAAATTAGAAAGAGAATTAGTGCCTCTTATTCCAACTCATGTTTCTCCCCTGGCATCTTTCTCTCTGTTTGTAGTGCGTATGGATGAAAGTTGACTTTCATCTGATGCCGTATGTAAAGACTTATTTTCAGTAGTCATTACCAAATTTAATTCTAGCCTCTTACATTCTTCCACTGAGAAGATGAAAAGAGTATTATATGATGTTTGCCTACTTAAAAATATCCAAGGGAAAATCTTCCTAAAAGGCAAATGTTAACTGACTAACCTCAAAAAAATAAGAGAAAACATCTATTACACCTACCATTCTCAGAGACATATTGGTTATTCAGCATTCTTATCATTAATAGGTTCTCTCTGGTGGTCGAATCCTAGCATTGACCAGTGCACGAATCAGTGACACAGGAAGGTACTCCTGCGTGGCAGTGAATGCTGCTGGAGAAAAACAAAGGGACATTGACCTCCGAGTATATGGTGAGACATTTTAGTAATTAATTTTGCTCTGATAGACATGTGTTTGGGTCCTAAAATCATTGAGAAAGTTAAGAGAAGTTGTTGACAATAAAGAACAATGAACCTTAGAATTGATATTACAGGATCAATTCAAATCAGATTCTCTTTCTGTCTTATATCTGACTTTGGACAATTTTCCTTTTTTAAAGTTCTGAGAAAGTAAAATGCACACAGCCAGCATGTAGGGTGTTGGTTTTATAGAGTACTCTGAAAACCATGACTGTGGATAGCAGCTCTGCCATTTAGAAGAGATAATCTTCTCACTGAAGCAAGTATCTGTTCAAGTAGCTCTCTTCATTCATTCTACTCAAAGCCATGCTTTTATTACTTTCTAATTATTTGTAATCAGCATATTTGTGATCAATACTATGTTTGTGCATTAAGGGCTCTTTGAGAAGCAAAAAGTTAATATAAATGTAGGCAAAATTTAAGTTTTTCCCACTCTCAATGCTGCCCACAATGATCACAAAAGGAAATATCCGATCCTATCACAGCAAAAGAGCCCCAGAAGAAAGTTGGGGCCTCTTGATCTCCGTTTATATATTATGCTTGTCTATCCACATTCCAGTATACCTTTACACTCAGAACTCTTTTAGACTTTTTTTCTGTGGCTTATTTGCATTTTATTTCTTAGTTCACGGAATAATGAAATTATTTCTTTTATGACCTCTTGAAGGGTTTCTGTTTAATGCAGAATGCAAGCCTTCTCCTTAAAGTCCTACCTCACTTCCAAATAATTCATTCCTTTCTGAAATATATTACCTTTTTAAAAAATTTTACCTCCAGACCATGTGGACCATGTTGTCTTCTCTTATATGTTTGCCAATGTAAATGTAATGATCACAACTAACATATATTGTTACATAATGTTTTCGTAAAAAGACCCCTTGTTATGGATATCATACATATTTAATGAAAGTAAAAGTTTTAGTTGGCATCGGTACACTACCAAAGGGTTCTCTATGCTCTTTCTTTTTTGTTGCTATTGCAATTGACATGAGTTCACATCCAGCCTCCAGATTTGCTTAGGTATTTGAGGTAACAGATAGGTCTATAATGCCCAACCCCAGGTATTTTAACTCCTTCCCTGAATTGAGTCGCTTTTATGCTTTATGAAGAACTGGGAAGTTTCTATTCTAAAATATCCTTTGAGACTGATTCATCAATTAATAAAGTGTGTAACACAGTAGTTCTTCAGTCATTAGGAAGCAAGCAGAGGGGTGACATTGGTCTTGACAGGGTTTTAGTCAACACAGAAATCTGAGATGGTCTCCTTACATTTCTACACTGGCTAGTGTCAAGAATGAACCTGGGAGATGATAAAGAGTTGATATTTTCCAGGAATTACAGAAACATGCATCACTGTTCCTTATCATTTGCTAAGATACTTCTATACTACTTTCTTAGGCTGAAAATCAGTATCTTTCTCTGATATAAAAGTCAAATGGCTAGCTGATATATATGTTTGGGAATGTTTATATGTGTTAAGCCATTGAAATATACATGCAGCAAGCTGCTGAAAAAGTATAAAAGTAAAACAGATTTTTAATCTAAAATCAGTGTCCAATCTGTATTTCACTATTAGTATTATTTCCATAAATTATATTTTTATATTTGTAGTAGTAACCTTGGTGATATGTGTCTAATTAGAGCCTAATGAATGTTAATTCCCAGAGATAAATCACCTTCAGATTTACACTGGGGGGTGTGGTGGTGTTGGGGGGTGGAATAGGAGAAGTAGACAGTAGGCAAAGTAGTTTTTCCTACAATTATGAGTAGTTCGTTAAAATTTTTCTCCCTGGTATAATTCAGAGTATGTTTTGCCATACCCTGAGATATTGAAACAAGAGAATTGAGTTTTTAAAAGATTTGGATTCATATAGTACCTTTTCTTTAAACTTAAGCTTAGAGAACTTTCCTGGAGATCATACATTCTTCAGCTTCCCAGCAATGACAACCCTATGACAACTCTGATTTTAGTAATTAAATTTAACAAACATAGCACTTAGGATGAGAAACAGGTCCAGAACACATCCCTTCCTAAGCAACATAACCACAAAGCAAAATAGGGATAACATCTAAGGAAGCTGAGGATCTAAAGGGTAGAACCCTTGTTCGCTTCTCAGACTAAACAAAAACTTGGAAATGAGAGACAGGACAAAAAAAAAATACATGTTTTGGTAATATATATCCTCGGCTATAATTAGATTTGCTTCAGTTTTTATCCCTTAAACAAATACTCCATTGTTTTTGCATTTTTTCCTCTCATTTAAAAAATCTGGTTTCCTTTTGAACTTGATTCAACTCATTTAGTGTAAAAAAGAAAGTAACTGAAGGAAAATATATTTGGAAATGAATTAGCATTCTGTAGTCTTGAATTGTTTCCGACTTTCACTTCTGCAGTCATAATGAACTCATGCTGTTTTGTAGATTCTACAAATAATCTAAGACAAACATTTTTATACAGTTACGGTACTTTTTTATTCAATGAGGCCAAACTTTACCTAAAATTATTTGCAAGATGTGAAATCAGCTATTCTATTTAGGGCTTCCTGAGTGCTAGGACTTGTGAATCTGTTTTCATGGCATCTTTAGGAAGTGGCACTAATTAGGCCGGGCTCAGTGGCTCACGCCTATAATCCCAGCACTTTGGGAGGCCAAGGCAGGTGGATCGCCTGAGGTCAGGAGTTCGAGACCAGCCTGGTCAACATGGTGAAACCCCGTCTCTACTAAAAATACAAAAAAAAAAAAAAAAATTTGCCAGTTTTGGTGGCACATGCCTGCAATCCCAGCTATTTGAGAGGCTGAGGCAAGAGAATTGCTTGAACCTGGGAGGCAGAGGTTGCAGTGAGCTGAGACTGTGCCATTGTACTCCAGCCTGGGCAACAAGAGCAAAACACCTTCTCAAAAAAAAAAAAAAAAGGAAAGAAAGTGGCACTAATTGTGCTCACTTTGCTATTTTTATAGTAGTTTTAATCTCAAACAGACTAATCATGTATCTTTTATCGAATGTGTCACACATCAAAAATGTCAGTGTTTTCTGTTTCTCAGATTACTTTAAACTTATCAAGAGCCAGATGTCTGTGTGTACTACTAAATTTAGCAGAAGGAACATCATGCATCTCTGCACAAATGCTCCATTGGTCAGTCTCTGCCATTGTGTAGTATGTTTCTTCCTTCAGCATCAATTTCTTTGAGTTTAACATAAGTCCTGCACCCCAAAACAGCGCATGGAAGTGCTCTTTAGTTCATACCCTTTCCCTCTGTAGCAGACATAGTAACAGAGAAACCTCATGGTTACAGAGGCACAATACTACTACTATAGTCAAAGTCTATTGCCTTCTTTATCTTGCCACATGCTGATGCTGATGGAGTATCAAGCCTGAAACAATGGCTGATAAACGATAATAATATTTTTACCACAAAAATCTTGTTTCTACCGAAACATTTTAGTACAACTTAACCTTTTTTTGTAGTTAAAAAAAAATGCTACAAATATGGCAAATTTTCTATAGCCCTGCATAGTGATGGGATTTCGTGAGAAATGGCCAAGGAAATTCCCCTCTGTGCTTTGTTGGAGTGGCCTTTTATAACAGGCCTGATTTCATCATTAGTTTGTGTTTCTGAATAATTATATATACAGGCCTGAAAGAGTCCTTGAGAAGTTACGGAGCCCACCCTCTCATTCTTGGCAGGACTGTACCTAAACCATCTAAGATAAATGATTGTTTACTGTATTCTTTAATACACCCAAGGGAAAGAGATTTCTTAAACTTTTCAGAAAACACATTTCAGCATCTAAGGAGCTTTATATAGCCAGGGAATCCTAATTTTAATCTAATTAAAATTTCCACTTATTTCCTCTTATGCAATTGTGAGTATGTTGTGCAGCTGGTCATTGAACTGATTTGTTCTTTATTCTGTCACCATGGAAAACCAAAAAGAACACTAAACTGCAAGTCAGAAGGCTCCTAACTTTACCACCAATTAACCATATTATTTTGCACAAGCTATTATCTTACACCAATTTTATGTTTTGCACACTGCGAGATGGGACTGGATGAGCTCTATGATATCTTCCAACTATTTTTTAATGTTGCCTCTGTGACTATGACATCTATTTCTTTTGCAAAAATTACAAATAAATATTGGAGGTGTATTCACTCTTAGCTTATTGTTTCTAAAATATTTCATGAGTGATTTGTTACTTTGAAAACCTTACGCGGTAACATCTAGTTCTAAAAGTTTCTTATTTGGGCACTTGATGAGAACTTCCCGTTCTAAACGTTTTTTAAATAAAAAGTGAGAAGCATTGTTCAACAAGAATACATTAATCAGTGATTTACTAGTACTTGATTCTGAACCAAGTGATGCAAAAGGGTATGTTAGAATGATTGTGATCCTACATCTTAAAAGAACCAATAAAGGTATTCAGTATATGTCCTGATAATTAATGAATATAAATAGTGTGCTGGCCTGTTTTATCCTGAAAGAAAACCCATCTTTCATGTAGTTCCACCAAATATTATGGGAGAAGAACAGAATATCTCTGTCCTCATTAGCCAAGCTGTGGAGTTACTATGTCAAAGCGATGCTATTCCTCCACCTATTCTTACTTGGTTAAAAGACGGCCACCCCTTGCTGAAGAAACCAGGCCTCAGTATATCTGAAAATGGAAGTGTGTTAAAGGTAAGGATATGGATTCATTTATTTTATCTTATGTTATTGTAAGTTCATGGTTTTGGTACTACCCCTATTTAGCGTGCCTGTCTTTCACAAGTGTTGGACTAATTTTCTCTTACAAAATTCTAGGAACCCTTTTATTGATGAGGTTTGTAATATTTTTAAATTTTGTGCTTAGTGAGATTCAATTATTTGTTATCCATATCCAGAAACGATCTCAAAAAATGCTTCCAGGAAAATATCATAGAAATAATCCAAGGTGTGCCTCACCTTCAGTCTTCCAGCCAATCACCAAGTGCCCATTTTAGGTGCTCTGGACAAAGATGCAAAAAGTCATGGTGGTTCACACCTGATCCCAACACTTTGGGAGGCCAAGGTGGGCAGATCACTTAAGGTCAGGAGTTCAAGAGCAGCCCAGTCAACATGGTGAAACCCTGTCTTTACTAAAAATACAAAAATTAGCCTGGCATGGTGGCATGCACCTGTAATCTCAGCTACTTGGGAGGCTGAGGCAAGACAGCTGCCTGAACCCGGGAGGTGCAGGTTGCAGTGAGCTGAGATCACACCACTGCACTCCAGCCTGGGTGACAGAGCAAGACTTTGTCTCAAAGAAAAAAAAAAGAAAAGAAATGCAAACAAGCATGACACACTTCATGTCCTTGATGTCTTCCAACCTCATGTAAATACATAAAAAATTAACAATTTAGTTGAAAAATGCAACGAGTACTATAGTCTGAGTCAATTACCAAGTGGATGGTACAGATAATACATTTTGGGGGGTGGCAAAAGATGAGGCTCTTGTTGCCAGGATTAGTCTTAAAAGACTACTTAGTGTTTTAGAGGTAGATGAGATAAAAGGCAAGGGAAGCAAGTCGGGTAGTTTGGCTCAAGCAGAGAATTTAACAAAGTGAATATTTGGAAATAATGTTGAAAAGGTTGATTTGAATGAAATAAAGTGTGACATTGAAAGTCAGCCTAAGGAATTCGGATTCAGGAGGACAGAAGACTGCCGAATGTTTATAACATCCTCATAATAACCCAACTGAGAAATCAAAAGACCAGCTAAGTAATCTGCCTACAGTTACTGAAAGACAGAAATTGGATTAGAACACGGGGAGTATGGCTTCAGAACCTGTGCTACTAACCACCACATAGCCTCTTGCTAAAGGAAGGTTTATTACTGATAAACAAAGAGTCTTGAGAAATAGATGGCAGACAGTAAGCTGGGCAGCTTGCCTCAGGAAGACAGAAGCATGGGGTTGAGTGAAAGGGAGCGTGAAGGAGTATGTTAGAGGCAGAGGATGGAGATCTTGGGTATTATGATTGTATAACAACGGAGCTGGGTGAGAAAGGAAAGACCAGAATCACTGATGAAAGAAAGAGGGATGAACTAATTGAACTACACAAGAAAAAAAAAAAAAAGAAGAAGAAGAAGAAGAAAAGTCATTGTCCATTCGCAGGGGCAGAGCCTAGCATTCTAGAAAGCATGCGGTAAAATTCCCAAACCTTAACTCTGACGAAATGACGGAGGTAGACAATTGCATAAATGCAAATCTCAGTGAGTACAGAAGTTTGTCCCATTGAGGGGTTTAGGGAGAAGATCAGAGAAATGAAAACTTTTTTGGAATGCAATTCTTATTAGTCAGTTAAAAGTATCTTACCTACGCACTACCATTCACACACATCTCTAACAAAATCAAGTAATAGAATCTTGCCATTTTGTTTTGCCTGGTACACACTAGGTGCTCAATAAATATTAATCCCTCCTCTCTATTATTCCCTCCCCAACTCTTTCTATGAGACATGCAGGCCTGTGCATACTGACCTTAAGGACTTGGAACCCCAGATTTGAGTGAGCCTGCCACGAATTATGTGACTCTGAGCAATTTAGATATCTTAATTGATTGAGTTTCCTTATCTGTAAAATGAGGAGGTTGGATTTTATTTCCTCTTTCAAGTCTAATATTCTTAGGTTCTCCATGTATTCTTTTAGCTAATTCCATCTCTATTGTTCACACCAATTGATTAATAAATGTTTATTGACTGCCTTCTGTGCACCCCTCTAAGCGAAATACTTCAAATGATCACTCTAACGTCAGTGATCATTGAATGTTTTAGAAATTATTGATTGCAAACTTAGTTGGCAATAAGTCACATACTGCTTGTTGTATCTTTTGTATTATCTTGTATTATTATATATTATTTATTATTAAATTCTTTTTTATGTTCACATCCTTTATATTTTCAACTAGATTGCAAACTTAAATCAGAAACCATATGTGACATTATATCTGTTTATGTCTTCTACCTACAGTACCTAGTACAAGTGCTGTAATAACTGCAAATGGTCAATGGATGAATGAGCATTGATGCATGTTGTACATAAATACATGAAAAATATTTACTGATACTAATTCATCTACCAAGCAACAAACTGGGTACTAGGAGAATGAGGCTAATGTAATATAATACTTAGCTTAAAGAAGCTTACAGACCCAGCATGGGAGAAAGATATATTACTGGTCTCAAGAATAAGGCTGTTATTTTACTGGACAGTTTCCTGGATGTATAAGGATTTCATATTTTAAAGTCTTAAATTACTTCAACAGAAATTGTACCTTTTCATTATTTTTTTCTGAATTATATTTAAAAAGCTGTTCTAGACCCTCAACCCCTAATATAAACCAGATTAAAATAAGGCATGGCATAGATGAAAATGGTTGAACCTTGTTGTGTTGAAACTGAGTGATGGGCATATAGCCATTTATATTGCTATTTTCTCTATTTTTGATATCTTTGTAAATCTTCAGAATAAAAATAATAGATCACAAGTAGTATTAATTTAAAAAACCTCAAGTGAAATAGAAAGTGTGATTTCAAAGGATGATTTTGTTTTCAGGTTGAAGATGCTCAGGTTCAAGACACTGGTCGTTACACTTGTGAAGCAACAAATATTGCTGGAAAAACTGAAAAAAATTACAATGTCAATATTTGGGGTAAGTGTAATCAGCTCTTGAAAGCAAATGATGCAGGCTGTGGTTTTTGTGTCACTTAAAATGACATTCATCCATGTAACTAAAACTGATTATAATAGGTAGATGAACAACAATTAGTACATTTACATGGTTCTGAACTGTCCTGGGTATCAGTTCGTATGACTACTTCGAGAGCAACTCTAGATGAACTTTCTTGTAACTTTGATGTTGAAGGATTCTCCTCATCTGCCTGAGTAACATGCCCTTTGTCTTCCACAGCCAGCGTCTCGTAATGATTGGGCCTTCTCTAGTAACTAGTGGTGGGTTCGTCAATGGAAAGAAAATAAGCCAAAAAGCCAAATTATATATGTGAACTGTGTGTGTATGTGAGAGAAAGAACACAGGTGCTTGCGTGGTGGGAGATAGGATTACTATGATAATCAGGGAGAAAAGCTATTCTCAGTTGAAATTTTACCGTTTGTTACTAATTAAGGTAATTCTTATAGTCACAACTTGAGCCTCAGCTGTGGCTATCAGCTAAAAAGCATTCCCATTTCCAGCATATTCACCTGTATTTCGCATACTTTAAAAAACTCATTTATAATGTATTCATTTGTGTGGCGGGAGATTAGATTACTATAATAACCAGGGAGAAAAGCTATTCTCAGCTGAAATTTTACCATTTGTTACTAATTAAGATAATTCTTACAGTCACAACTTTTGCTTCAGCTGTGGCTATCAGCTAAAAACCATTCCCATTTCCAGTACATTCACCTGTATTTTACATACTTTAAAAAACTCATAACTTAATAAGCCCTCTTCATTTTGATTGTATTTGTTTAAACTTTTTAATTATTGAAATTATAAGCTGAATTTACCTTTGATTTATAGTTTATTCACAAACATTTTTTAAATAAAAGTAAAACTGGATGAAATAACTTTATTCCAATGGAGAAGAAATACTCTTTAAAATTTTGAAAGCATGCACTGATGTAGAAAATGACTTATTAATAAATGACTATCATTGTTAAAAAACCCTCCAGGCAGGTTATGAGAAACGCTATTATACACCCTGTAAAATTTACTATTAAATAGTAGAAGTTACTATATGGTAAATTTATTTCATTATATACCACTTATATGTCGTTAACTTCTGTTCCTGCCTCTTTTTACCCATTTTCCCTCTCCATTTTCCCTTCCCTTCCATCCTCATTTCCTTCAAATGGGAAAAATATTTATTATTTATATCTAGTTCATTTATTTAATAATTTAATATTTTTATCTAGTTCCAAATATGGACAAGACACTAGACTAAGTGTTATCAAGATGACAAAAAAGAAAAAAGAAAAATTAGGAGTGATGATCAATTAGAAACTGAGGTGAAGAATTCCTTTTTCATATGTGATATTTGAGGTACCTGTGGACTATGTGAAGCTGTCCGCCCTGCAGCCAGAAATACAAGTCTATCATTTAGGGGAGATAAGAGTAAAAAACATAAGGTTGCAGACATAACTATATAGGTAGCAGATGAAATCACTTGGAGAAGGTAAAAAGAAGGTATACAGAAGAGTACTAGATAGGATGGCTCTCAGGTGTACCATATAAGAAGAGAGCTAGTAAAAGAAACTCTACATAAGAAACTGAGAAGGAAGAGCCTGAGAGGTCGGAGGAAAACCCAGTAAAAAATGTATCATGGAAACTATTGACAATGTTGTTCTCAGAAGAACACAAGTAAGTTTGATATGGATGAATGGATGAGTGAATGAGTAATATTACATATTGCAGAGAAGTCAAATTAAACTAAAAAACATACTTTACAAATATGCAGACCAGTACCTCTTAAAGAAAAGCAATGTAATAGTGGAAAGCAGGATGCAGTAGGTATAAGAATGAATGATAAGGGAGAAAGTTGAGACATCAAAGATAGATTCACTAAAAAAAATACTTACAGTATGCTTCCATCTTCTAGGCGCTATGCCATGTGTGGACATAGAGCAATTAGTGAGAAAGACAATGATGTTGTTCTCACAGAACTTATAGTTGGCTGGTGGAGAAATTTCTTTAAATAGTCAAAATTAAAATTAAACCTCCTAAGAGCTATCATAGGTGGTTATGTAGAAAAGCATATGAGAAATGTTTAACTGAGCCCTTAAGGATGCTCAGGCATTAACTCTGTGAAGAGGGTAAAAGCAATGCAAAGCCCTGGAGAATACTGTCTGTATTCAATGAGCTTAATATTCTTCACTATGGAGCCTAGTGTGATGCGAGGAGAGAGAGAGGAGATATTAGGTAAAAAGGTAAAAATAGGCATATTGAAGAAGGCCTCTTAAATCAATTTAAAACATATAGATTTGATTCTAAAGGTGATAGAATAAACTGAAGAGATTTTAAAAAGGACCGGATGCTCAGGTCTGTATTTTAGAAGAAAGCAGACATATTTAATAAATTGAATCAACATGGTTCAGTTGATTAGATGAAGTTTGGAAACAAGAAGAGTAAAGGATGGATGTCTGTGTGGCTTAACCGACTGGGCCGTGAGGATAATAGTGTCCTTTTCTCAGAGAAGGAACAAAGAGGGCTCAGTTCAGTTTTGGACAAGTCAAATTTGACAATGCTTCTAAGGCATCCAACTTGAGATGTTAAGTAGTTAGTTGGATATAAAAGTCTAGACCTCAGAGAGATATAGATATAGATTTTCAAGTATTTGTATTAATGAGAAGCCCTGGGGGTAGAGAAGGGTAGAGTTTAGAATGGAGATCATAAATTTATAGTAGTGACAATCTATGCAATTGTGTCATTTTCTTTTGGAACTTTCAGTTTGTGGTATCAGTGACAGAGTAAACTGTAGGATTCATCCAGAGTAAAGGTATTGACAAATAAGAAGGGCAAAGGTACAAGGCAGTTGAGAATATTGACAAAGGAACAGTTGAAATTATTGATTATGAAATCTATGCTGAGTAGAGAAGTCAGTAAACAGAAGAATAGGCAGCTGGATAGGGGGACTTCTGAGAAGTGAAAACACTTGAGATTCAATTAAGTCAATGGGAATTGACTTGAGAATTGGGAATAATTGAGAGCAAAAAGAACAGAGAAGTTGTCAGAAAGAGGCCTAAATTTATAAACTTACAGGAGGAATGTTCTAGATGATGGGAAGAGCCATGGTATGGCTTCTGATGGAAAATGGGACGGGTATATCAATAACTGAGTAGACAGAGTATTTAGACTGGTTATACATGTGGATGATGGGTTCATACGGAGTGATGGTAGGACTTAGTATGAAAAGTATAAGAACACATATCAGACTGTTCAGTGAATAAAGGAAGAATGACGGGTTTACAGATGGGATTTAAAAAAAAAGAGAGAGAGAGAGAGAGAGAAAAATAAATTGGTTATATGAGCCTCAAAGGAATAGAGGCTTTTACATGGGATGGTTGAACAATGACCAGAAGCTGCACTAGGGGTGCAAGAGGATTCTCCCACTCCTCAACTCTCAGGAGTTTGGAAGAACAAGCCATCTACCAGCTGACAGTCCTGCAGCCAAAGAAGTGTCCTCAAGGAGAGTTCAGCCAGCAACTGCAGATTCCAGCGCCTTTGAGAAAATCATGGGTAGTCAGCAACTGCAGATTCCAGCGCCTTTGAGAAAATCATGGGTAGTCAGTATTCACTTTGAAGGTTCCAGGGTGAGGCTGTAGGCCAGTAAGGAAGCAGACTGTGCAATCTGAAATAGGTAATATGTCCTTTCTTTAGACAAAACCCCTTGCCTCTGTTCTTTAGTATATGTTATATGCCTTATGTTTCCAGTTCTGCTCACTATTTGAGATATCAAAACTAGCTAGGCAACAGTGACTGGGCTAAGTTTAAACTTGGTGGGTACTTTAGCTTTTTGATGCAAGGTGTCTAAATATCTTGCATCAAATATACATTTTATAATAGCTAAATATATGAGCTAACATATTTTGTAAGTTGTGATAAAGTAGCTTCTCTTTATGCCATTCTGAATATTTTGATAAATTTCTATCTGTGTACATGGGAAGTCTGTTATTAGCTATTTATGCTACATCTTACAGGTGACTTTTAATTTGATGTTGATGTCAACCTCATATGCCAATTTCTTCATTATGTCATTTGAGTAGAAGCCTTTTATCTTACATGTAAACTGTTAGGAAAATTCTATATGAAATGAGTGGAAAAATAATATTTTTATTTTTTTCCAGTCCCCCCAAATATTGGTGGTTCTGATGAACTTACTCAACTTACAGTCATTGAAGGGAATCTCATTAGTCTGTTGTGTGAATCAAGTGGTATTCCACCCCCAAATCTCATTTGGAAGAAGAAAGGTCAGTTTTCATCCTTGAAATTTATAAAATTAAATGAAAGTAGAAGATGGATATTGACTTTGTTTGACAAATGTGTTAGATTATAAACAAATTTTCCTGGGGTTTGCATACTAAATGCTAGACAGCAAAATTGCTTTATATTAAATGTGCAACATGTGATCCTTCTACACTACCCAGCTGAAATTTTTTTAAGACTGTTAACTCCTCCCTAGAAAAAAAAAATTCTGCATTAATTGATTATTTTTGAATCAAATGTATTATAGGGCAGCTATAAACATTGAGAATGCACCATTCAGGAACTACATTTTCTTCTTTAAAATAAGTTTTAAACTTCCTGGGTGATTGGTTCAGTCATACCCCAAACCTCAGCATCACACAATACATCCATGTAATAAACCTGCACCTGTACCTCCTGAATATAAAATAAAAGTTGATATTATTAAAAAGTAACATTTTTTCTCTGTGACAGTTTTCAATGTACATTAAGAATGAATTCTGTGTTTGACCAGATTTTCAATTTATTTATCAACAGTTCCTTAAGCCCACTAAGTAGCAGAAAGATCATTTAAATTTTTAGTTCATTTAAATATTAGTGCTCCTTCATTTTACATACTAGGGCAGGATTATTTTACAGTGTCATTTGCCTTTTATATACTTGAACTAAGTAAACAAGTATCATATTTAGTAATGTATACAAAATGCTTTACATTTCTGCCTCATATTCTGCCATTTGGACTTCTTTGCAGGCTCTCCAGTGCTGACTGATTCCATGGGGCGAGTTAGAATTTTATCTGGGGGCAGGCAATTACAAATTTCAATTGCTGAAAAGTCTGATGCGGCACTCTATTCATGTGTGGCATCGAATGTTGCTGGAACTGCAAAGAAAGAATACAGTCTGCAGGTTTACAGTAAGTTGTTGATTAGCCAGGCTTTGGCACAATTTTCTTTTAAATCTTTTCATCCTTCTCATTTACTTTATAAAATATCTTTAATATTCATTCAAAATGGTACGGTTGTAACTATCATGTGACACACACATTTAAATTGTGCTGACATAACTGGAGAGCAATTACTTCCTTCTGGCTGTTATTCGGCATTACAGCTGTCCACTCTGCATTAGGTCACCAATGACAGACATAAGTGTGGCTGTAATTTGTTGGGGGCAGATAGTGGACACATGGAGGGGGAAGGGAGAGCATTTTACCATAGGGGATATTTACAATATGTAAAAACATTTTATTTTAAAGATTATTTTACTTGGTTTTTTTTTTTTTTTTTTTTTTTTTTTTTTTTTTTTTTTTGAGACAGAGTCTTGCTCTGTCGCCCAGGCTGGAGTACAGTGGCCGAATCTCAGCTCACTGCAAGCTCCGCCTCCCGGGTTCCCGCCATTCTCCTGCCTCAGCCTCCCGAGTAGCTGGGACTACAGGCGCCCGCCACCTCGCCCGGCTAGTTTTTTGTATTTTTTAGTAGAGACGGGGTTTCACCGTATTAGCCAGGATGGTCTCGATCTCCTGACCTCGTGATCCACCCGTCTCGGCCTCCCAAAGTGCTGGGATTACAGGCTTGAGCCACCGCGCCCGGCCAGATTATTTTACTTGTATAAGATCTTAGAGTGCTTAAGATAGTTGTATACTCATTTAATATTCACATGAGCTGTTATGTAAGACAAAACTGTCGCCTCCATTTTGTGTACGTGGAAATTTAAGCTCCGAGAGGTTTTGTTGGTTCAACAAGGTCATGTGGCTTGTGTGTGGTAGGACCGGCACTAGAACATCGGATTACTGACACGGGCCTACTTTTCTTTCCACACATATATGTATTAGAATTGATCTAATTTTTGTTCCTAGCATCAATGACACGTGAATTCAGCTTCAAACAACAGAATAAATGGCTATAAGTGGCTTAACCAAGTAAAGGTTTATGTTCTCACATAATAAGAAGGCACAGGTTAGCATTAATCACTGGAGTTGGTCAGCGGCTTAATTGTGTCAGCATAGGAGCTCTGGCATTCTACTGGTCCCTCCTTCATGGTCTCAAGATGGTAGCTGTTATTGTGGTATCAATTCCACGTGGAAGGCAGGAGGAAGGGAAAGGGCTGGTATCTTCCCTTTTGTTAGGAGAGCAAAATTTTCTCCAAAATCCCCAGCAGACCTCTGTTTAGCTTTTATAGGCCTAAATTCATTCATGTGGTTACCCCAATTTCCCAACAAGACTGAGAAACCATCTCAGCTTTTCCAACTCATACTGTAAAAGGGAGAAGGAAGAAAGGAGTTAATAGCAGACATTGGGTTGTAAGCTAGGCTACTGTATCTATTTTAAATGAGTACTAGGAAGACTTACGTAAAGCAGGGCTATAAGTGATAAGTTCAAATATTTGTATAGCTTCTCAAAAGTGGGAAGTTAGTGAACAGTGTCAATAGCTTCATTTTAGGTATGAACCCACTTAAAACATTGGAGAAGAATTCCACCTCTCAGCATAACATCACGTCTGTTAGTCCTGGGTCTTTTCTTTAATTGTTTATATTTTAACATAAAAATATATTTAAGTTTGGCTGATGAAAATTCCTATGTAAGACTTGAAATAAACATTTCCTATTTTGTTTCTTTTTATCTTCTTGCAACCCTCAGTTAGACCGACCATAACCAACAGTGGCAGTCACCCTACTGAAATTATTGTGACCCGAGGGAAGAGTATCTCCTTGGAGTGTGAGGTGCAGGGTATTCCTCCACCAACAGTGAGTTGGATGAAAGATGGCCGCCCCTTGATCAAGGCAAAGGGAGTGGAAATACTGGATGAAGGTCACATCCTTCAGCTGAAGAACATTCATGTATCTGACACAGGCCGTTATGTGTGTGTTGCTGTGAATGTAGCAGGAATGACTGACAAAAAATATGACTTAAGTGTCCATGGTAAGTAGAAAGAAGCTCAATATGTTCATTTACTGGCTAATACGATCTAGCATCCTGGATGGGAGATATAGGCCCCAAGTTTTGAAAGTCATTTATTTATAATCCATCATTTTAAACATATATACCTTTTCCCCAGGTCAGTCTCATTTATCCTTCTATGCTTGACCTCACGTTATTTACCTTGCTGAAATAAGCACATATTAGATATTCTTTAAGGAAAGCACACAGTAAAGTAGAAAATTGTTGTCTTCAAATGCTTTTGGTCTGATGCTGTCCCAAGTAAAATCTCTATTTTATGTTTTCCAAATTAGCTGACTTAACTGGGCTTGTATAAAGGTAAGTGCCTTAGAATTTACTGATTCATCATCAGTTGGACATGAGTTATACTGAAGTCAGCTTTAATATTCCAACTCTAATGAGTCATAAATGTCAATAAGAATAGAGCAAACATTGTAAAAGTGTTCCTATTCCTCCACATCCTTTCCAGCACCTGTTGTTTCCTGACGTTTTAATGATTGCCATTCTAACTGGTGTGAGATGGTATCTCATTGTGGTTTTGATTTGCATTTCTCTGATGGCCAGTGATGATGAGCATTTTTTCATGTGTCTGTTGGCTGTATGAATGTCTTCTTTTGAGAAATGTCTGTTCAAATGCTTTGCCGACTTTTTGATGGGGTTGTTGGTTTTTTTCTTGTAAATTTGTTTGAGTTCTTTGTAGGTTCTGGATGTTAGCCCTTTGTCAGACGAGTAGCTTGCAAAAATTTTCTCCCATTCTGTAGGTTGCCTGTTCACTCTGATGGTAGTTTCTTTTGCTGTGCAGAAGCTCTTTAGTTTAATTAGATCCCATTTGTCAATTTTGGCTTTTGTTGCCATTGCTTTTCATGTTTTAGACATGAAGTCCTTGCCCATGCCTATGTCCTGAATGGTATTACCTAGGTTTTCTTCTCGGGTTTTTATGGTATTAGGTCTAACATTTAAGTCTCTAATCCATCTTGAATTAATTTTCATATAAGGAGTAAGGAAAGGATCCAGTTTCAGCTTTCTACTTATGGCTAGCCAATTTTCCCAGCACCATTTATTAAATAGGGAATTCTGTCTTCATTTCTTGTTTTTGTCAGGTTTGTCAAAGATCAGATGGCTGTAGATGTGTGGTATTATTTCTGAGGACTCTTTTCTGTTCCATTGGCCTATATCTCTGTTTTGGTACCAGTACCATGCTGTTTTGGTTACTGTAGCCTTGTAGTATAGTTTGAAGTCAGGTAGCGTGATGTCTCCAGCTTTGTTCTTTTGGCTTAGGATTGTCTTGGCAATGCAGGCTCTTTTTTGGTTCCATGTGAACTTTAAAGCAGTTTTTTCCAATTCTGTGAAGAAAGTTGTTGGTAGCTTGATGGGGATGACATTGAATCTATGGTGGGATTGTAAACTAATTCAACCATTGTGGAAAACAGTATGGCAATTCCTCAAGGATCTAGAACTAGAAATACCATATGACCCAGCCATCCTATTACTGGGTATATACCCAAAGGATTATAAATCATGCTGCTATAAAGACACATGCACACGTATGTTTATTGCAGCACTATTCACAATAATGAAGACTTAGAATCAACCCAGATTTCCATCAGTGACAGACTGGATTAAGAAAATGTGGCACATATACACCATGGAATACTATGCAGCCATAAAAAAGGATGAGTTCGTGTCCTTTGTAGGGACATGGATGCAACTGGAAACCGTCATTCTGAGCGAACTATCACAAGAACAGAAAACCAAACACTGCATGTTCTCACCCATAGGTGGGAATTGAACAATGAGATCACTTGGGCACAGGAAGGGGAACATCACACACCGGGGCCTATTGTGGGGAGGGGGGAGGGGAGAAGGATGGCATTGGGAGTTATACCTGATGTAAATGACAAGTTGATGGGTGCTGACGAGTTGATGGGTGCAGCACACCGACATGGCACATGTATACATATGTAACAAACCTGCACGTTGTTCACATGTACCCTAGAACTTAAAGTATAATAATAAAAAAAAGAATAGACCAAACATACACATACATAGGGACAATGACTCAGATGTGTACATTTTGAACTATAATTTTTATAGCTATAGAAACAATGGTAAATTTAATGGGCACAGATCTTGTAACTTGCCCTCAGTTAAGACACACATGAAGTTCAGTGTTAATATCCTGTAGTTTGCAGCCAATGTGTGTGCCAAAGCTATAGGAATCACAACACAAAAGGGAAGATGAATTAATCTTAAGTACTTTTTTGTTGGATTACTCTTAATTTTTAGGATTAGATGATTGATTTTTTAGGAAATCTCTATATGTAGGTTATAAATCCGTATCACAAATTTGCAAGAAAAGATGAGTGATTCATATCCACAGTAGCAAAGACATACAATCAGCCTAGGTGCTGATTAATAAATGGTGGATTGGATAAAGAAAATATGGTACATATGCAACATGGAATACTACACAGCCAAAACTCATGTCCTTTGCAGCAACATGAATGTAGCTGGAGGCTGTAATCATCAGTGAATTCATGCAGGAACGGAAAATCAGATGCCCCATATTCTCACTTATAAGTGGGAACTAAATATTGAGTACCCAAAGACATAAACATGGCAACAGTAGACACAGGGGACTATTGAAGGGGAAGGAGGAAAGGAGGCAGGGGTTCAAAAACTAACTCTTGGGTTCTATGCTTACCACCTAGGTGACAGGATCAATCATACCCCAAGCCTCAGCGTCACAGAATATACCCATGTAACAAACCTGCACATGTATCCCCTTAGTCTAAAATGGAAGTTTAAATTGCAATTTAAAAAAAAGGGGAGGTGAGTGACTCATACAAAATCACTCACCACTATTGGAATAACAATATGAAAATAATTTACTGCTAAGATTGAGGAAGAAGTGACATTTTTACTTCCAGGAATCTCTCTCTCTCTCTCTCTCTCACACACACACACACACACACGGATAATGATTTTCTAGAGCTGTGACCATAGGACCTTCTCTCTCTCTCTCTCTCTCACACACACACACACACACACAGAACTGGTTGTTGTGATTGCTTATTTTGCTTACTGTTAATCAGAAAATGGAAGTCTTATTAACCATACACTGTTTAGGATTTGATGTTTGATATACAACATCAGGTATATCAAATGTATAGCAGGCAACTAATATTTCCATTCCCCATTTGTTTTATTTTGTCTTACAGCTCCTCCAAGCATCATAGGAAACCACAGGTCACCTGAAAATATCAGTGTGGTAGAAAAGAACTCAGTATCCTTGACTTGTGAAGCTTCTGGAATTCCCCTGCCTTCCATAACCTGGCTTAAAGATGGATGGCCTATCAGCCTTAGCAATTCTGTGAGGATTCTCTCAGGTATTAGAAATTCTGGTAGCCTTATAATCTTGTAAGCTTCATGAGGCTACAATTTCTCCTTAATTTCAAGTTTCTCAGTGTTTTTATTGTTTTATTTTTTTTGACCTAGCTGCTTACTATAATACTCACTAATCATATTAAGAAAAAAATATTTGAAAGGACATAAGAAGCTATATGAAAATGGGAAATCTCCAAATATCTCTAGACCCCTTTTAAAAACAAATCTTGGCACTTGGTGATTACTTCAGTCATGGGATGTCAAAGCATTCATGCTACAATGAGCATCAACCAACTTGAAAAGAATTACAGGAAGTGCTGAAATTGAATCCAAAGTCTACAGTGAATCCTAGAATATAAAATACCTCTATATCCAAATATTAATATTTCAACGTATTCATGACTAATCTCAGTTTACATTTCTAAAATGGGATAGTTTCCTATGAGCTAAGACTTTATTGTCAAGAGATATTGATCATATTCCTCATATAATTTTGTGGGAAAATCCAAATAGCTTGTCATTTGTGGATCAATATAAGCGTAGAGAGAGATTTTTAAGGCAAGCCGCATAAATCTGCACTTGGCCCATTTTAGTAATGACTTGGATACAGACTAAGATAATCTTGCCAAGTGTTTGGTTAATAAAAAGCTTAGATACTTAGAAAAATACCTAATGTGTGATTGAAGGCTTCCAAATTCAAACACACTTCATGCTGGAGCTTTTGGGTTAAACCTAACAAGATGGAGGTTAAGTAAGGCTCGTGATGACCCTCTATATAATTACTAATTATGCTAGTTTATTATCTCTTTGCACTTACAGTCAAACCAGTGATGAGATTATGATGAAGTATAGCTTCAGCACTCTTAATATGAAAAGATGTCTGAATTGTGTTAGTTTCTCAGTATGCTTTAAAATACAATGTGATTATCCCGACAACAAATGCAATATTTTGCCACATCAATAAACTATATTTTCTCCAATAAGAAAAGCAGGAGATAATTTGCACTATAAACTTAGCAGAACTTATTAGAAAGACAAGAAGAAAGGCTTAATGACAGTATTTTCAGAGAAAAATATGATGGGAAATTATCACATAATGATTAATATATCTGTATTTAACCTGGAGAAATAAATTTTGTGGTGTATTTGGTATATAATCCAAAGTAAATTTAAATATTTGATGAGCCATGGCGTAGAAAGGATTATGTTGTTTTTTTCTAGTTCCAGAAGTTAAAAGTAATGTCAGTATATGGAAGATTCTAGGGACAGATTTGTATCTGAATATAAACAACTTAACAGATACTTAGCTTGCTTAAAGTCAAGATGAGCTACTTTACATGGCAGTAAGCTCCCTTCACCTAAATGTGCTCAAAATTTACCACTACTGAAGGCATATTCAGAAAAGATTCTTTCCTAGTGCTGGAATTAAGTCTAAAAAACCTAAGTTCCACTTGTTCCTTCCCGATCTTGGTTTATAACTGATAGGAGCTTGACGAAGAATGTATATTGCTATTAACCACATTTATTGTCTGTAATACTCACTATATTTATGACCTCAGACTAGTTACTTAACTTTGCTAACTTCAGTTTGATCACTTGTAAAGTGATGATAATAGTATTTGCTTCAGGGTTTTTGTAAGGGTGAAATGAGATCTCTAAAACAGTTAACACAGCACTTGCTTCTATGGAAGCATCCAATACCTGTTTCTTGTTATTGTCATAGACAACCTGGTAAAAGGTTTGTGGTCTGTCTGTCCTGGGAAACTTTCCTATGTCCTTACTATGATGTTTTTACTTTGACAGGACTCTGTCTCTGTTGATCTTAAGAAATACATACTAATGCTGGGAGGTGGAGCTTGCAGTGAGCCAAAGCCACGCCATTCCACTCCAGCCTGGGCTACAGAGCGAGACTCTGTCTCAAAAAAAAAAAAAAAAAAAAAGAAAAGAAAAAAAAAATACACACACACACACACACACACACACATATACACTAATGGCAAAGATTGTATTAATATGTGGTTACCAAAGCCTAAACGCATTATCTTCTTGGCTTGAAATTATATTTATCTTTCTGGCTTTTTAAAAAATGTTCAATTGCTAAGAAAGTAGGGACTCTTATTAAATATAGTAAGTGTAGCAGAGCTCCTGGAAGTGAAAAAGGCAAGCTAAAGTGATGTGCTCTAGTTTGTTACAAATTTACAGAAGTGGTGTTTTGGTTTTATCTATCTTTGTTGTGCTTGACTAGCAGCTGGAAATCCCTGAGTGAACACATGATAAGTATTTCACCTTGTGGTGCTGCCAAAGGAGTTATTCAGTTTTACAATCTGAACATGTTGCGTTGTGCAATAGATAAATGAGAATCAAATGAATGGCATATGACTTGCTTGGTCTTCAGTCTCCTGTACATGCCTATTTCATTAATATTAGTCCTCCTGAGAATTTAAGTATAGCTTTTCTAAAAGCAGTACTTTGATGAAGACCCTATCATGGTTATGAAGTTATCTGCCAGAAACAGATAACTGCTATAAAAATTTAATAGGTACAAGAAACGTCTCCATATAATTTACTGTCAGAACCCATTTTTGGTTTTCACTGGATTAAGTGAGAAGGCCACAAAACCAAGAGAAAAGGAAGATCATGAAACTTATGAGGCTGAGGTTTGTAGAGCCAGCAGTGATTCATAAAAGTTGTATTGCTTTAGTATTCTCAACTGGAATCATATTATGATCTCACTAATCTGAAGTGGCAGTGAGTGCTTGAATCCTTCCCTAATTGACATAAGTTTTTAAAGCACTTTTACTTCTTAAGTAAACATAATTTCTGTTTACAAATTCAATTGGGGAAAAAAGGCTAGATTCAGGTAATTAGCTTTGTTTGTCTAAATAAGATACTACTAAGTTCACCTTTCAGTAGGTTGAGGATGGGAAAGTTGCTTATAGAAAAAGTTCAATGTCAGCTTGTGTTTACATAAACAGAAAACAGATTGAATACTCCTGGGAAACCAGACCCAGGTGAATATTTACATGAAAATTTCATGTTAACCATTACACTGTTTTTAGTTCAAATTCAGGGTGCTAAGCAAAAATGTACCAGCTAGAAAATTATTACACAATCCAATAAATGAACTACTTCTTTTGTTGGACCTTACTCCTCAAATGGTGCCCAGGACTTTGTTCTCTCAGTGTCTCTTAGTTCTCCACAGGTTTTGTTTCATCTTATTTGTTGGCTCTTCTGCCTTTATCTTTAGAGTTTCCCTCCAAATTACACCCCCAGTATATCAGAATTTCACTTTCAGTCTACTTGCATTTCTTAGATGAATATTTCTTCAAACAAAATGTTACATAGATGTTCAAAGTACAAAAAGAAACAAAAGCAGTGTATCACTAGTGCGTGAAGTAACCCCATAACATTTTATATAAATGTAGGATTCCATGAAGCTCAATTGAAAGCTGGTAGTCTTCATTCTCCTATCTTCCTTATATTAGGTTGGTGCAAAAGTAATTGTGGTTTTTGCCATTAAAAGTAATGGTAATGTATTGATGTCACCCAAATCTGGGTGTCTGGTCTGGTTATCTTTCTGACATTCCCATATTATATGTTCAATGGAAAACTAAGACTATTTTCCCAATTGTCTGATCACAGTTGTCTTTCTAAGCACAAATCGGATCATGATCCCTGTTTGTTTATACACTCCATAGTCTTTCGTGAACACAATAAAATCTAAATTCCTTAGCACAGCATTCACAGGCCCACACAATCTGGCCATACTCCATCAAGCCTCATCTCTTACAATTTTCTCCACCTGCTCTGCTTTTGGTACCACTTCTCACACCGACTTTCTACCTCTGTCTCTTCATTAGCATCCGTATTAGTCTGTTTTCATACTACTACAAAGAAATATTCGAGATTGAGTAATTTATAAAGGTGAGAGGTTTAATTGACTTACATTCTGCATGGCTGGGGAGTCCTCAGGAAACTTACAATCATGGCAGAAGGGGAAGCAGGCACCTTCTTCACAAGACGGCAGAAGAGAGAGTATGTGAAGGGAAGACCTGTCAAATGCTTATGAAACTATCAGATCTCATAGCAACTCACTCACTATCATGAGAACAGCATGGGGGAAACCATTCCCGTCATCCAGTCACCTCCCACCAAGTCCTTCCCTTGACATGTGGGGATTATGGGGATTACAATTCGAGATGACACTTGGGTGGGGTCACAGAGCCAAACCATATCAGCATCTCTCAACTCGTGTGTAAAGTATACTTACCTTTTAAGATCATATTCAAACATCACCTTCTCTGTGAAACAACATGTCTTGCTTGCTGTCATCTAACATTATATATTTTTTTTAATCTATTGAACTAGAAGATTTTTCTGAGTTATTTTGTTTTATACAGGTTTAAAATGTGATTTTTGTAAAAGCTTGAAATAAATTCACTTTAAGGGCCTCTAAAGCGTACTGATTAAATTTTTACCTAAATTGAGCATCACTTGGATGGCTTATAAAGTTTCATTTTTCTTTTTAAGTTATCTTAAAAAGATGGTTTGCTTCTGCAGGAGGCAGGATGCTACGGCTGATGCAGACCAGAATGGAAGATGCTGGCCAATATACTTGTGTTGTAAAGAATGCAGCTGGTGAAGAAAGAAAAATCTTTGGGCTTTCAGTATTAGGTACTTATATAGTTTGCAATATCTAGGAAAAAACTTTAATTGCCTTAAATCCTGGAAGCAGAGTTAAAATTTATTTACCACTTGATCTCATACCTGTGTTATTTAGACCCTGGACTGTGACTCTTGGCAAGAATTCAATATTAGAATTGTTTGGAGGCAATCAGGCAATTGTTTGGAGGAATTAAAATGCCTGTTTTAATTCACAATTGCTCAACAATATTCTGAGAGGCTGAATGACTTGTTCAATGTGAATGCATATTAGAGTTATAATAGAAGAAATAAAAGTCAAATAAATATTCCTGGTGATTTGTTGACATATTTTTATGCAGACTTTATAATTTACATCACAATAAAATTCATTATAATTGGATTTGTGACATATAACTTTAAAAGTAGACTTAATCAAAATAATATTATGACATTCTAGCAGTCAGATAATGAATGTGGATTGGGGGATTTGTTTTGAAGGTTATGACTTAATAAAACCATACATAAATACCTATAAAACAGCAACCTTGCTGTTAAGAGCTGTTGTTTTGTTGTTGTTTTTTTTCAGTACCACCTCATATTTTGGGTGAAAATACATTGGAAGATGTGAAGGTAAAAGAGAAACAGAGTGTTACGCTGACTTGTGAAGTGACAGGTATGGGGCTCAGCTCTCAGACTTTTGATGCTCCCCCCATTCACTGATAGTCATTGTCTCCACTATATATCTTATTAAATTTTTAAAATATATTTAGGGGGTATAAGTGTAGTTTTGTTACATGGATATATTGGATACTGGTGAAGTCTCAGTGATGGTAAACATTACCCAAGTAGTGTGTATTTTACCTATTAGGTAATTTCTCATCTCTCAACCCCTCTCCCACCCCCGTACCCTTCCTAGTCCCCAAGGTCTATTATTTCACTCTTTGTGTGCTAAGTAATTTATACACATTACTTAGCTCCCATTTGTAAGTTAGAATATATGGTATTTGACTTTTTGTTTCTGAGTTACTCCAGTTAAGATAAAGGCCTCCAGTTCCATTCATATTGCTGCAAAAGATATGATTTCATTCTTTTTATGGATAGGTAGCATTTCATGGTGTGTGTGTATATATATATATGTGTGTGTGTATACAGATACGTATCTTTGCTATTGTGAATAGTGCTATGGTAAACATACTAGTGAAGGTATCTTTTTGTTATGATTTATTTTCCTTTGGATAGATACTGAGTCCCACTATATATTATTAATCAGTTGAGAAAAAGTCCAGCTACTATAATTGGCATTTGAAATTGAATTCTAGTTCAGTATAGCTGGCAGAAATGTAGGAGGAAACCTTTCAAATTCTGTGGAGACAAAAAGGAGATACCAACAAGAAAGGAAGAAAGAAAGAGTGAGGGGCGGGGAGGAAGAAAGGAAGGGAGGGAGGAAGGGAAGGAAGAAAGAAAGGAAGGAAGAAAGGAACGAACTGGTCTTGTCTTTCAGTTCAATAAATCATTCTTTTTTGAAAAATTATTCTGCTTCTACTTATATGTATGTTTATCTTGCCCTACCTTTTTAAATTTTTGTTTCCTTCCCTGTGTTTGTGCCTTCCTTTCCTTTTCCTGTTTACTTAAATTTCATTTCAAAGAAATGGGTAGGAGTTTTAGTGAAAGAATGGCATTATTTCATAGTGGGGATTTTCCAAGAACAATATTGTTACTTTTTGTTAGCATGTTTGAATATTACAAAGGGAATATAGACTAGGAAAAATAAAAATTCTAATACCAGTTTCACCATCTTTACCAGTAAATTGATTTCTTGCATATAATCAAAATAAACACATCTCTAAGAGCATATTTTCAAGGCTGTCTTTTTATTGTAGATGGCCTTGCAGTTTTAAAGTAACAATGAAAGTAGCCCATAACATTTTATGGAAAGCCAGAGTTTTAAGGAAGATTCAATGAGTTTCTTATTTCATTGTTTGTCTGCCTTATGTGAGCAATAAATTTAAATAAGCAGAGAGGGGAATGTTTCCATTTTAAGAAAAGCAGATATAAAGAGTGTGATATTACTTACTCTGTTAATTTTTTCCTAGAAATTATGTAGTAATTAACAACAGTTGCATAGATAACCATTGCCTAAATTTTATAAAATCCTGTCTTCAAGCTAGTATATCATCCTAGCCCTCTTTCCTAACATGACTTGCTTTTATGGTTTTAAAATTTTCAAAGAGTATTTGAATAACTTAAAGCTTAATATTTAACATAGATCTCATTTGAAAACAAAAATACAGGATCTCTTCCTAGAGGCTGTAAATATCAAAGAATGATTAATATATTTATATGTCTACTGATCTGTTCAATATTCTACCATCTGTCTGTGATAGAATCCTGGTGTGGACTCAAAATATCTGCTTGTTGAATTAAAGGTTTTGCTTTTTTACAGCTTTTTATCAAAAATATAAAATCTTTTTAAAAATTTTTATATGAGGCTGGGTGCAGTGGCTCATGCCTGTAATCTCAGCACTTTGGGAGGCCAAGACGAGCAGATCACAAGGTCAGGAGATCGAGACTATCCTGGCTAACACGGTGAAACCCCGTCTCTACTAAAAATACAAAAAAATTAGCTGGATGTGGTGGCGGGCGCCTATAGTCCCAGCTACTCAGGAGGCTGAGGCAGGAGAATGGCATGAACCCAGGAGGCAGAGCTTGCTGTGAGCCGAGATTGCACCACTGCACTCCAGCCTGGGTGACAGAGAGACTTTGTCTCAAAAAAAAAAAAAAAAATTATATGACTTCAAAGGTGTTCATGAATAATACTTTTAATAAAAATGAATGCTGCATTATTTTAAAACTGTACTATCAAAATGCTTAGTTGTAATAGTCTAAAAAATAGTATAAATTTAGTTATTTAGTTAAACATGAAGGTCCGTTTAGAATCATTTCACTTATAGATGAACACTAACATACATTTGAAAATGATTTATAATCTATGCATATTTTTAAAGTCAGTACAACCTTATTATAAAATAAGTTAGTTTGCATAGTTATTTTTAAGTGAATGGATACTGCAGTGTTTTACATGTGGGATATGTAGGAAGACAAATGAGTGAAAACCTCCTCTTTCGAAGTTTATGCATTGTATACATGTCACTATTAGCCGACTCTCAGAGATGGCTTTTTACAGGGAATCCAGTGCCAGAAATTACATGGCACAAAGATGGGCAGCTCCTCCAAGAAGATGAAGCCCATCACATTATGTCTGGTGGCCGTTTTCTTCAAATTACCAATGCCCAGGTGTCACACACTGGAAGATACACATGTTTGGCTTCCAGTCCAGCTGGCGACAAGAGCAGGAGCTTCAGTCTTAATGTATTTGGTAGGCGTGGGCTTTTCTTCATATCTTAAAGAATCTGACTTGACTGTAGGCTACATTTTTCTTTTCTTTCTCTGTTCAAATAATGTTTCCATCATAGAGTTTCCTCGTGGAAGGAGGACCAGTGCTTGTGTACATTTACTATTTTTCCTGAATTAATTTATAAATTCATTTGTCATGTATGGAGTACCTACTATGTTCTAGGCACAGTGTTTTGTGCTAGGGACACAACTCTGAATAAGGTAGACTAATCAGTAGTAAAGGATAAAGATATGTTGGTCCAAGAGAAGCCGGTAAACAGTGATTGGGTCTCAACCTGAGATATTCTATCCTTTTTTTTGTGAGACTTTGCCATTATTGGAAATGGCCATATTATAGTCTTTGTGGACTAAGAGTGATAAAATAACTGTATGTTGATATATTCAGTTCTTATGTCTCAGGAAAGACATTAAAATAGATTTTTATCTTGTGCTCACTTTTTGAAATTTGTACCACTTAAATTTATTGTATTAGATTCCTAGTATCAAATAATTCTACTAAAATCAACTGACCTATATGTGACTATGAAAATTTATATAGTTGTTTGTTTTTATAGTTATTGGTAATACCACTTAAGGAGTACAAAGATACTACCATAGATAGAAACTTCTCATATTGAACACAGCCCTCAAGAAGCGCATAGTCTAATTAAGTAGCAGAGATATATGTGCAAGAAAAATTAAATCAAAATACCAGATACTGTATAAGTGTCAATATTGTATTGTGTATAAGTGTATAAATTGATAATTATAAACGTCATAAGTGTATAAGTGTATAAATTGACATACAGTATCTGGTATTTTATATATGTTCATTCATTCATTCATTCATTCATTCATTCATTGAAGACTGAGGGGTCTAGATCTGAATCAAAGCCCTTCTCCACCAACTGCATAAAGTAGAGGCTATTTAAGTGCATGTGTTTGCAACTTCCAATCTACCCAGCCAAAAATTCAGTGCCTTTACCCTTTCTTTTCTCAGAGGATGAATTATCCTTCTTGTTCACAGTTAATCCTTGCACTTACACCCTCCACCCTGTATCTTTCCACCGTCTGCCTTACTTGCAGCTTCACCATCTACTGTCTCCACCACTTCATATTTTAACCATGCCCAGATATCTATACTTGCTGTCCTACTGAAAACAGGCTTTTTCTGACACTACTCTGGCAAGCACTTCCCTTTTGCTAGGTCCAGCAAATATCTTGCAGTCCCAATTTTAATGTTTTGTACATTTTGATCTCTTTTTCCTTCACAATGTTCTTTCCCAGTTATCCTTGCATATCTTTGTTTGCTCCCTTTCTCTGCCCTTTATGGAAGCTTGAGTCACCTCTTAAATACTGGGTTCCCTGGTGTTCTGTCCTTACTTCACTACTCGTGTTACTCTAGGTATTCTCTTCAAGTAATAGAATTCATTCCCGGATGTTTAATCATCTTTTATACACAAGAAACTTTTAAAAATGTATACCTGTAACCCAGATCTTTCTTGCAATGTTTGAATTCCTATATAGAGTTACTTGTTGGGCATTTCCACCTGAAATTCCCATAAGCACTTAAAATACAAGATATTCAGAACTGAACAAACTATTTTCCCTTCCTAAATGATCAAATCTTTCTACATTTTATATTTTTATGTTACTTCTCTGCAGTTTAGTTCCTAAGCAAGCAAACCGGAAGTTATATTTGACTTCAGTTTCCTTTAGCCCCCAGTTTCCATAATCAAGTCCTGTCAGTAATGCCCTAAGTCTTTCTTTACTTTCTCCTTCTACTTTATACCTTCCTTTAATGCTCTAGTTCCGTTCCTCATTATCTTTTATAAAACAAAGTACCTGTCTCAGCTATCCTTGCTTCCAATATTGATCCACTTCAGTTCATCCTCTTGATATACCCTGCTTGCCCCTCATTGCTTACAATTTAATACTACCATGCTCCCAATATGTTCCCTCTTACTAGTCTCTCTGCTTTCACCTGCTTTCACTGATCCTTTAAGGTTCACTTTAAATCCTCTTCCTCCTTTAAGAGGCCTTCTCTAATGAGATTCTTCACACCACATACCTCAAACTGGACTGAATGCTAACTCATTTCCAAAAAAAACCTCCATTTACCTTGCACCAACATTCCCATTATTGTCCTTGATACATTATGTTCTTTTATGTGTTATGGTTCCTTTTTTATGTGTCATCTCCTCCATTACCCTATAAGTTTTTTGAGGGGTCACTCTCTTTTGTGTATAATAATAATAATAATAATAATAATAATAATAATTTGTTTTCTGTAACTGCTAGGGAATGACATTATACAAATACATATAATGGAAATTTAGAAATGCACAAATATACAAATTTCTACATATATTTCTTCAATCAAATTCTCATCTTTTTCAGTATCTCCTATAATTGCTGGTGTAGGTAGTGATGGCAGTCCTGAAGATGTCACTGTCATCCTTAACAGCCCCACATCTTTGGTCTGTGAAGCTTATTCGTATCCTCCAGCTACCATCACCTGGTTTAAGGATGGCACTCCTTTAGAGTCTAACCGAAATATTCGTATTCTTCCAGGTAATTCATTTGCTTCAGATGCCCAAGGTGCATCTGCGTCATCCACTATTCTAGAAAAGCAGAATCATTAGTTACTTTTCATAAAAACACCTCTGTTTTGTTGGTCATGTTATGTTCTGTGCAGCCTGGTTCCTAATAGGCCACAGGCCGGTACCAGTCCATGGCTTGGGGATTGGGACCCCTGCTGTAAAGTACTGAAAATTACTTTTTAAAAGATCAGAAAAATACCTAAGTTAAAAGACAAATAAATAAATGCCACAATGTAATTAACTGCTAAAATATATTATAATGTGAATGCTGAAAAGGGTAGAAATTCACTCGTGATTAAATATTAACTCTTCTTCAAAGTTCAATTCAAAGTGAGAGAGTTTGTTCCTCTTTACCGCATGGAAATAGATAATGCAAATAGAAAGAAAAAGGATTATTGCTGGCTTTAAGAGACTGACAGTCTTATGTTGAGGAGAGGTAATATGTGCAAAGAGTTGATTAAAAATATGAATCTGTGAAAAATAATGGATTCTGAATAGTCAGGGGGTATGGTAAATAGGGAGTGAGTTTTATAAGAATTCAAATGAAGAAGCTGGGTGCGGTGGCTCACGCTTGTAATCCCAGCACTTTGGGAGGCCGAGGCGGGCGGATCACAAGGTCAGGAGATCGAGACCATCCTGGCTAACACAGTGAAATCCTATCCCTACTAAAAAAAATACAAAAAATTGTCCAGGCATGGTGGCACATGCCTGTAGTCCCAGCTACTCAGGAGTTTGAGGCAGGAGAATCGCTTGAACCCGGGAGGCGGAGGTTGCAGTAAGCCGAGATCGCACCACTGCACTCCAGGCTGGGAGACAGAGCAAAACTCAGTCTCAAAAAAAAAAAAAAAAAAAAGAAAACTGACTTCAAATGAAGAAATGGCCACTGTGGGCTGAAGTGATCAGAAAAAGCTTTGTTGCTTAGTCAGAACTTGACGAGACTTTAAAGAAAATTCTAGAATTTAGTTGACTGGAAATGAGTTAGGAGAGGTTTCAGATCCATCAGGGTAACCAGGGTGGGAAAAGTACAAAGTGAGAATGGCCTAGCCCTGTGCAATAGAATTCTCACCCACTCCCCGAAACTTGATAGAAATATTGTGTGTACGTATGTTGGCGGAGGGGCAGGAAATAAGATCAGCAAGAAAAGCTGGAGTCATGTTTTGAATGCCTGAAATAAGAATTAAGAGTTTTTACTTTATATATTGGTCAATTGAGAACGATTGAAAATGTTTAAGGAGGACAGTACCAAAATAAAAACTTTGCTTCAGCACAATTAATTTCTCCTGTAGGCTAGGTAGATCAGAGGAAAAGATGATTATGGCAGAAACCTATTTATTAAGAGGATGAAAGACCTTATGAAGGACCTTAGCTGGAGTGGTGTACAAAGGCATGGCAGGTGCAAATGACCATGAGAGTCATCACCACAGAGCACCACTGGGGACTCAGCATCTGTCCTCAGATACCATGCAATCCCCATCACTATTGTAATTTATCTTATATCATATGTCCATCACAGAATTGTCATATGTAAGAAGAAATATGTTAACAAGAAGACGTAAACCCCCGATAGCCTGTGTGTACTCTGCTGTCACTGTGATTTTAGAGATTCTTTGATGTTCTGTGATTTTACAGGAGGCAGAACTCTGCAGATCCTCAATGCACAGAAGGACAATGCTGGAAGATACTCTTGTGTAGCCACGAATGAGGCTGGAGAAATGATAAAGCACTATGAAGTGAAAGTGTACAGTAAGTTCTGAAAGAATACTATGTTTCATAGCTTCTCCATTTTTCTCTTTCAATCCTGTTTTTCATTGTGGGTTCATAATTATTTATACTCATCATTAAAGACTTGTTTGTACAGCTTACTTTATTAAGGATGGAAGTTGAATTAAGCATTGTGTCTATGGCCTCAATTGCTTAAAGATGTGAAGAGCCCACTAAATCTGCTCATTACTCTTGTTGGAGACTTTGTCAGTGGCATTTCTTTAAGTTTCTCTGTTTTTCCTTCTGAATTACCCTCTGGGTTGAGGTATAGTACTTTCATGTACAAAACTGTTGTTAGACGCATATGTTCTAATCAACAGCCCAAGATGAGATCATTAGTGATTTTGAGCTATTCCAATGTACATTGACCTATAAATAAAAGGCAAAGCTAACACTGCCATTAATAGGACTCATATTTCAGGATTTTGCTTTTGTGTTTGTAAAGGAAGAGTATCTTTCTGATTATCTTTTGTTCTTTGACTTGGTTCCCTTAATGACCAATAAAATACATTTTATGGATCATGTTCAGACTATGTCTGTGGAACTGGAACAAATGAGGCTAACTGTTCTGTAAAGGACATTAGCTTTATTGGCAGTATTATAATGATAAAGGGAGAAAGATTTCCCATTCCATCTTGCATTTGAACACTCTTTCATGTTAACTTAGATACTTAATGAAAGATCAGCATAGAATGCCTCTGTTATTTCCTTGTTTTCTTGATAAGTAGTCCTCAGTGTGATTTCTGTGGTATTCCATGTATTGAAAATAACCAATGTCTAACTCTTTAATATTTATTTTATGCAGTCCCACCCATAATCAATAAAGGGGACCTTTGGGGGCCAGGTCTTTCCCCTAAAGAAGTGAAGATCAAAGTAAACAACACTCTGACCTTGGAATGTGAAGCTTATGCAATTCCTTCTGCCTCCCTCAGCTGGTACAAAGATGGACAGGCCAGTCACAACTTTTTTCATTTGCTAATGATTTCTTAAAGACTAAAATAGTCAATTGAAAAGAAATAATAAAATAGACACAGGTGACTTAGAGAATCACTGTGATCTTAAAACTAGCAAATTCCATGCTCCTAGAATCTAAAACTGAAAAAAAAAACCCAACCAACCTGAACGATGTTCAACAATTTTAGCATTATTCCATCACTGGAAAGTCTGCACAATTATTTTTGTATATATTAGCAGTTTTCTATAAAAATCTGGCCACCCTCACACTGGAGAATTTAGGGAAACCAGGTTTTTGTTTTGTTTTGTTTTGTTTTTTACTGTTGTTATTTTGCAGTTTTACAGAATAAGTAAACTTGGTAAAGAACCAACACATAAATGGTGCTATCCCAGGTGAGAATGACAGGTATAACATGGGTACTAAATTTACTAAAGTTACTCAGATATTCTTTAAGTATCTTTAACTCTTTTACAAAAGGTATATTTTTAAATATTCCAAAATAAAGAAAAAAAACTAAAAGAGATGATGACGTTCCCAGTACAGTTAACTGGGAACAGAGAAACTTTAAATAAAAGATCGTTCAATTCTGTAATCTGGTTTTCAGACCACACATCCTTATTTCTCATTCAACTTATATTCTTTCATGCGTGTTTTAAAGACATATGTGCTGTTGATCTTAGACCAAAATAGATTTTTAAGCAGCTGTTAACACCGTACTTAATACAGATGTGAAACAGCTAAGCTGCTGTTCGTTCTGTTTTACACATAATCAACCAAATGGTCAAATTCCAGTTGTAGAAGTTCAGATCATAATCATGATTTAAGATGCAACAAAGATAAAGCTTTATTTTTTCAGATCTTAGATGGATTTTGCAATACTGGCAGCTAGAAAAAAAGTCATCTCTTATAAAATAAGCAAGTTTCATCTGGAAGCCATTACAAAAGGGAAAATATAGAATTCCCACTATGCTCTGTTTATAGTTTCTTTTCTGACTACAAGCACACTTCATAGTACAATATCAATTCTTTATGAATTTACTTGGAAACAAATAATCCTTTCTCCTTTGAAATATTATTTTATTTTTAATCTTTTCTAAAGTTGTTTCATTCCTTATAGTTACGACATATGCTCACATGTACACGAACACATACACACATTAAAAACTGGATAAAGACTAAAAGTGCACAGGAAATTAGGCATTTTTGTCTTATTTTTGAAAATTTCATTATAAATAGCTAAATTACAGCTTCAAGTTCAGGCTTCGAAATTGACCCAATTATGATGCTTTACACTGCTAGATTTTTTAGAGTTTGCAATTGGTCTCCTAGAATGTGAACAAAAAAGTACTATTTTAAAATTTATTTTCCATATTCATTCTCCTGTAATTTCAGTCTTCAGATAAGCAACACTACTTAAGTAGTGTTTTCAAGAAAACAAACACAAAATATATTGACAGACATTAAAAACTGGACAAAGTATTGGCCACATTAAGTTTTGAAAGAATCTTGAGTTTTATTTATTCATACCCTGAAGTTTTTCTTTTAGCAAAGGAAATTTAAATTATGCTACTTTTATAGATAAGTGATACAATGTTAATAATGATTAATTGCATTCTGAATTATTTGTTGAGCATCTACTATTTGTCAGACACTGTTTTAGATGCAGGAATATAGCTATGAAAGAAATAGACACAAAGTTCTACTCATGTGAAGTTTAGGAAGGCGAAAACTAAACCAAACCAATAAAGACATAATGTGTCAGGTGGGACAGGTATCATGGAGAAAACTCAATATGAGAGAAGGAAACCAAGAGTGGAGAGTGTGATGTCTTACTTAAATAGAGAAGACCTCACTGATAATGTGACATTTAAACCGAAACCCAAAGAAAGTGAAGGAAGCAGACATAAAATAATAGAGGGCAAAATATTCCAAAGTAGAGAGCATAGCAAGGGCAAAAGCCCTGAGGCATTTAGGCTGAAGTGCAGTGATTGATGGGAATAGAAGATGTGAGCAGAAGACTAATGGAGAGCCGGATCATGCCACCTCGTGTGCCAGTTGGTCTTTATTCTGATGGAAAACCAACTGGGAAATTTTGAACACAAGAATGATATGACATAATCTGACTTAAGGTTTTAAGCAGATTGCATTTCTTTCTGTACTTGGAGAATAAAAGTCCAATTATGAAGTTATTGCAATGGTTATTGCAGTTGCACCTCCACCAAAAGAGTGATGGTTGTTGCTTGGACCAAGGTGGTAGAAGGATGTGTGGGATGTGTAGGAAGGAGATTAAAGATAAGTCCAAGATAAGTGAGAGCAGATAGAGAAGAGGTCTAAGGATTAAGCCTCAGGGTACTCCTTTAAAGGTTAGGGAGTGTAGTGTCCCAAAAGATACGTGAAAAAGGTACTTCAAAATGAACACAAGTTAAACTGTGTGAAATGATACTGATCAGGTAAAATAAGTACTTAGAATTTTCCAACAAATTTAGCAACATGAATGTCATTGGTGACCTTGACAAAGTCTTTTTGATCAAGAAGAAAGAGTGAAAGTCTGATTGTAACATATCAAGAAACGATGGAAGGAAAAAACTGAAGGAAAGTAATTGGAGAACACAAGTGTAGAAAACATTTGTAAGTCATTTGGCTACAAAGTGCGGTGGAAAATGTAGAGGTGGGCTGCAGCAAGAGAGGTTTTGGTTTTTGTTTTTGTTTTAGGTTGAAATCATCCAGTGGAAAGAAACAAGTTAATGATGATGTAGGTGAGAGAAACGCAGTTGCTGGAGGGATGTCCTTGAGTAGACCAGCAAATTCTCAGAATGGGCAGAAACTGATTTTAACCAGTTCAGGTTTTGCCAGGGGAGTAAAATAAAGGGAGAGGAGTCAAGGGAGTTGAGAGTTTATACAAGGAATGATTATCATGACAGAACTTCTCTGGGTAAGAAGGGAAGAGAGGTTAGGAGGAGACTGAGTGGCAGTGAAAATATTGCAAGATCAATGGATTGTGGGGCTCCCATGGGATTAAAAAAGAAAAAAAAACTTAGAGAAAATTAGTAATAATAGAAAATTAGGAAGTGGTAGTCAGCAGATGAGAGCTTGAAAGTGAGATTATGAAGGAGCGCAGTTATTGGTAATTATAAGGTCTAGGTATGACTCTCCTATTTAGTGGCTGAGAAAGGGTGAGGGACAAGAAAATTAAAAGAAGGAGATCAAGGAGGTAAGAGAACACAGCATTGGAATCACCAGAAATATGAGAAGAGTATCATTAGAAGGAATGACACTGAGCCTGGAGCTAAAATTTTCAATGAATGAGGGGGAATTTAGTATAAATGAAAATGTTGAGAAGATGGGAAATATTCTATTAACTATATGTAATGTTATTGATAATACATCATAATACAAATATATGTAAGTTAATATCCTATTTTATAGTAATAATTTCAATAAAACATAATATAAATATCTTTAGGTTAAAATTTTATTTATAAAGTAATAATGTTTCGAATAAAAAATAATTTAGGTCAAATCAGATTATACTAATGCGCTCAATCTTTCATAAAGAAATTCTAACCTTTTCTACAAAATTATAAAAGACATGCTTTTTAAATATTACATGAGATCAGTGAAAAATATTTTCCAACATGAATACATGTGGTAACTAAGAACACATATTTATCATAAAAAATGTATAAATGCATCATGCACAAATGCCTGGTACAAATATAAACTATAACTGTGGTAATTTTCAATAAATAAAAATTTGATTACTCAAAAACAATGAGTTTAATCAAAGTAAATCAATTATTTTGATTAAACTGTTGTGAATGTTCTGCATACAATTTTATTTTCATTTATTTAAAAAATCACAAAAACTATTAATTGCATGGCCTCTTAGAGGATTCGTTATAGCACTTAATGCTAACATTGTTATAATTGAATCACAGCCCCTTAAATCCGATGATCATGTTAATATTGCTGCGAATGGACACACACTTCAAATAAAGGAGACTCAAATATCAGACACTGGACGATATACTTGTGTAGCATCTAACATTGCAGGTGAAGATGAGTTGGATTTTGATGTGAATATACAAGGTAATACTAATATGCTTATTGTATATAATGTAATTTATATGATCTTTCAAAGTAAAAGAAAAGAGATTTGACTTATTTTAAACAGTGTTTTTTTCTGTTAACAATATAAATTCATGATTGAAAATTTAGACTTGGGAATTAAAGAAGGAAATAATCCCATCATTCAGGATTGCCCCTGTTATTTTTATGTGTTTCCTTCTTGTATTTTAAAATATATACTTGTTTTACAAAGTTGGGGTCACACAACATAGATTTCTGTGTTGCATTAGCATTCCCTTAATTTTATATCGTGAAGTTTTAAAAACAGCATTTACATGAAAGGCAGGAAAGTAGTACAGTATGGAATTCAGAGTAATAAAAAACTATCTGTCCACTACCAGGCATATTATCTGGGTGATGAAATAATATGTACACCAAACCCCCACAACATGCAATTTACCCACATAACAAACCAGCACATGTACCCTGTGAACATAAAATGAAAGTTGGAAGAAATAAATAAGTAAATGTAAAAATAAAAACAAGCAAACAACAAAACAAAACAGACTTGGAATTGAATGATGATTATGGCTTCTAAAAGCTTTGTGACTTGGTAAAGTAACCTAAATTTTAAGACTGTTTCCTCATTTTTAACATGACTGTCTTGTAGAATTTCAGCGAATACTAAATGAGATAAAGTATATAAAGCTCTTAGCAAAATGATTGAGAAATGATACCTGCTATTATTATTGTTTATGTTGTTACTGTTGATGTTGCTATATTTGACATGATTTGTAATAATTATGTCTTTCACCAGTTGAATATCCAAAAACTATTTAACCAGACTCCTACTGTTGAATGTCTGGGTTGTTTATAAGCTTTCACCACTCATAAATAATACTGCACTGAACATCTTTATACATAAAACTTTTGGACATCTTTTATTTTTCATAATTTTCTAAGAATGGAAATTTTAGGTTAAATGTTATGTACTTTTTTCTGTGATAAATTTTATGTTATGCACTCTTTTAATGCTTTTGATGTGCAGGCAAATTGCCTTCCATAAACTTCATACTTGTAACCAGAAAAGTATGAAAATTCCTATTATTTTTGTTAATGGAATTTTTAATCCTGATTGCATAATTTCTTTTGCCGTCTTAGTAAGCCAAATCACTGTGAAATGCTCTCAATTGAGCCAGTATTTTTTAATGGTTTCTCAAAATTAGTCTTTCCTGCTGTGTATCATTTAGCAATGCTCCTTTCTGAGAGTGAGCCCCTTTATTGTCTAAGTGCCAGAGTCCTTTAACAGGGAGAGCAAAGCATGAGAACAGCATTCTGAGCCTCATATTTCTTGTTCTTCCACATGAGAACCAGCTCTGACTTTCGTCTACTACTTTTTTGGCTAAGGACTAGAGTTGGTAATGGTGTCAGTACTTGAAATTATTTTCACATTGTCTAATCTATTGCTTTTACAAATCACTCTGGTGAAAACACATCCAAGATCTTTGTTTAAGCATTCATATGTGACTGACATTTAATGCGTTTCCTCCATAGTTCCTCCAAGTTTTCAGAAACTCTGGGAAATAGGAAACATGCTAGATACCGGCAGGAGTGGTGAAGCCAAAGATGTGATCATCAACAATCCCATTTCTCTTTACTGTGAGACAAATGCTGCTCCCCCTCCTACACTGACATGGTACAAAGATGGCCACCCTCTGACCTCAAGTGATAAAGTATTGATTTTGCCAGGTAAAGATTGCTACCAAAAGGGTGAAAAGCTGGCTCTCTGCCAAATGTGTTTCCTCTCATGTATTAGATGAATTAAATTGGTTGAGTCTCTGGCCAAGTAATTTAACTGGCAGGCTGCTGAATGCCGCTGGCATCCACATAGCTTCAATCTAGAATAAATAGTCTTGGTTGAGAATTAGACAATAGAAGAGCATAGCTTAGTAAACTTTTCAGATCTACTACACATCACTCTATCAACACAACAAAGTCCTTTGGCTTCCTTGTGCCTCCATTTCTCCATTAGTGCAATAAGATAATCAGTTTGGTTTATATATATTATTAACATAAATGCTAATATATATTTACAGATCACTACTACTCAGTTTATTAAATGCACCTAACATAAATAGGGAAGAATATTAGTTTCAAATATTTAAATTATTACCTGGTTTATTGATAGCAAAGATGTTTAAACTGTTATGGAGTAATATTTTCAAGGCTTCTATTTAATTTTAACAAGCATTCAAATATACAGGGCTTGTCAAAATTCATCAGATTGTACACTTTAGGTCAGTGCATTAAGTAATTGAATGTAAATTTGACCTCAATTAAATAAAAGATATCCTGAAAATAAAAATGAAAAGAGACTAAGTAGACATGGCAACTCTAATATGTGATTCTAAATTAGATCTGGGTTTGGGCAAAATGGCTGTAAAAAACATTATTGCAACAATAATGAAATATGATTATGGACTGTGGATTCAATAGTAGTTTTGATTTTAAATTTTCTGTTTTTAATCGTAACACGGTTATATAAGGGATTACCCTTGTTGTTATGAAATACGGATTTATGAGTATTTTAGGGGTGAAAGGGCACCATGTCTCCAACTTACTCTTGAATGGTTCAGAAAAAGATTATATACATATGACAGAGAGAGATAAAGCAAATGGAGTGAAATATAAATAATTAGTGAACATGAGTAAAAGTCTTTACATAATTATTGCAACTTTTCTCTAAATTTGAAATTATGTCTACATGACGTTTAAAAATACACAGCTATCCTCATAAGAACGTATGTAAAATAGTACACTTTATACTTTTACATCTTTGGATATTGCTTTCTCAAACAAGTACTTGCAGCAAATGGTGTAAACTTATATTAAAAGTGTTCAAAACAATAAAAGCAAGAAGTTACTACATAGTAACATTGCCTAGGAAACGTGATGAAGCACATAGAGTAGCAGTCTCCCTTCTAGGAAAATCTACATGAGCTATTCATTTCTCAGGAGATCCGATTCATATGTTGGGTCACTTTTTAATAATGCAGTGTTTGTTATAAAAGTGGTATCTGAGATTAAAACTGAACCATTGGATGAAACAGGAACCTTGAAAGAAAATGTAAGGCAGTCATTAGACCAGAAAATTTGTATCTTTGTTTATGGCTTGTGTTCACTCTAAGATTAGAGAAGTAAACATAGTGGGATATTATTTTCAGGAGGGCGAGTGTTGCAGATTCCTCGGGCTAAAGTAGAAGATGCTGGGAGATACACATGTGTGGCTGTTAATGAGGCTGGAGAAGATTCCCTTCAGTATGATGTCCGTGTACTCGGTGAGTTTTTCTTTTGTTTATTGTTCATTCTTTTACTGAAAAGTATTTTTGAGGAACTAATGTTTGCAGGATGTTACACTAAGCACTTTGAGACTATAAAGATAACCAGAAACTGATAGTTCTCCGAAGGAGGTAATTATCTTCTACATATTGACAGCACATTAGTCAGGACTCTTGAAGTATTAAGAAACAAACTGACTTAAATGAAAAAAAAAAAAAAAAGAATTAATAGACTTATGAATCAGAAAAGCCCCAAAACAGAGCTGGCTACAGTCATGTCTGACTTCTGTCGTTCAAAAGAGGTCAACAGACTTTACCTGTCTCTTGACTCTGCTTTTCTTTATTCATGTCACCCTTAGGGAGGGGGATCCCCTTGGATAGCAAGGTGGCCTCTAGCAGCTCTAGGCTTGCATCCTGCTAGTTCCACATTCAAATGAAAGGTTTTTCTCCTAGTATTTACAACTGAAGCCCTAGAATTGAATTTCCATGGTTTTCATTGGCCAAGTGTGAATCACTTATCCATCCAGAGCCAATTACAGAGAGCAAGAGGTTGCAATGTTCTGATTGATAAGGTATAGTTCATGTGTTCATCCTTGAACCAGATCACCATCTGAATACATGAACAGAGAGTTGAAGAAGTATTGTTCCTGTAAGGGAAAAGATAAGTGACATAACAGTTAACATAGATTTTAAAGTTCATGAGAGAGTTACAAAGAAAAGAGAGGAGATGACAATTAAAAATCAGTGCTGACGATGTCAAGGACACTGAAGGAGTATCTTGGACCACCTGGCTTAACTTGACCTTGTCAGATTCACAACTATGCCATATGTCCTGCTTGGGGTCAGCTTCCAGCCCCAGCTCTAGTTGTGTTTAGCAGCTCTCTCAGCAGCAGCTTTCTCACACTAGCTCTCTTACACTGTCCGCCTTTATCTTGGCTTTTTGCTCCACCTCTGTGGCTCCTCTCAGCAGCCAGCTCCCATGCATAGCTGTATGGCTGGCCTGCAAGGCCAGCTCTCTCTTGCAGTATTAGCAGCTTAACTCTTTCTCTCTGGGGATGAGCTGGTTCCTGCCTGCCTTAAAGGAGCCTGGCTCTCCCTTACAGTGGTCAGTAGTCTGTCTCTCTCTGGGCGCATGCAAGCCATGTCAAGCCATGCTATGCCATGCCAAACCGAGCCCCGAGCACAGTGCCACAGGGCAGCTATACCTTCTATAGACAATAGTGGCTCAGAGCCAAGTATGAACTTACACAAACACTTGTATAACAAGTGGAGGTGTGTGCCTGCACATCAATCCCGCTGTGTCATGCAGGCCTGGATGTCTGCCTCCACCTATTCCTTGACCAAACACATCCATGTACCTTACAGACCTAAATTTGGAAAGAGTTTAATTTAGGGTGAGTAGAAGGAGCTGATAATATAGGTAGGGAAACACTGCGATTCAGTGAAATTGAAATGAAACTATGGGATTGGATGGTCAAGGGTAGATGTTCATGCCTCAGGCTGTTATTTTCAATTAGGAAGTTAGCGAACAAGTTGGAGATGAGTTTAGAAGGTAGAACAAAGAAAGAACAACTAACTGACCCCCAAATTCTGAATTAGGGCTGTTTCATGTTCTGCTGCTCACCTCCTAGGTGCATGGACGGCCACTGAGAACAATTCTGAGTGGTATAACCCAACTGGTAGGGTGTGGCAGCTGGAGCAGGTGGAAGCAAAGAGCTGAGGTGGGGGCCTCTGCATGTCAGTGCCTGAATCTCCTAGCCCTCCTAATGCTTCAGCTCTTGATTAGTTTTCTTGATGTTGGGTAGTGATAGTCTCATTTAATCTAAAACTCAAGTTTATTATTTATTAATCTGCAGTTCAAATTATATATTTTACATTATCTGAAGCATAGTAAAATCAATCATGTAGCTTTGAATGTGAAAGTATGCATTCAAAATAACATTAAAATTCTATTATGTGCTTTGTGGCATTGAGTATTTTCTTTACAGACTTTCAGTTTAGTTGTTGGAAACCCAGATACCATAAGATAGCATCTACATCAAACTTGCAGTCTTTACTGATTGCTAAAGATAAGGCATATTTTTAAAGTGGGAGAAAAATAACCAAGCTTTCAAAACAAAAATGATTATTTATTTTAAAAATCAATTTCTACTTTTACCAAGGCAGTCAACATGTGTCCCTAGTTCATTTAACATTTTCATTTTTGAAATTCTATGGGTAACATGATTTTTCATAACTAATGTGTAGCTGGATTATACAGTATTATTTTAAGCAAGAATGAACACATGTAGAAAAATCTAGAGTGAGACTTCTCAAACTTTAGCATACATAAAGATCACCTGGAAAGCTTGTTAAGACACAGATTTATTGGCCCTTCCTCAGAGATGCCTATTGAAGTTAGTTGGCGCCCAAGAATTTGCATTTTTAATCAAACTCCCAGGTGATGCTGATGCTGATACCACCAGTGCTGAAGCTGGGAAACACACTTTGAATCGCCCAGGCAATTCCATTCCAAATAAGGCCAAATCTGAACATTTCAAATACACTTTAAAGGGTATAATTTATCTGTCCCCTCTGGATAACCATATAGACTTAAATATCTATTTACACAGATGCTTCTTATATGTATGGTTGAAAACCCAGAAGGTGTAGTGGGAGGGGCTGAGAGAGAAGTAAAAGATATATTGGAGAAGAATTGAGATTGAGCTAAATGGGAATGATACTATCTGAGGGATTAGTCTAGCATAAGTGAAGAGAGGGAAGAGAATAAAGTCAAATTCAAATACTGTTTTCACCACCCCAATTTATTAGTATAAAATGTTACCTGGGGATCATGGTTTCTCCTTCAAGTTTTGCTTCTCTATTATTATACCAAACTTTTTAAAGCTGTCAGAAAATTAGAATAATTTAGAAAAGACTGTTGCCCATTTTTTATCCCTTTGTTACAATCCTTTGTTAGTGCCACCAATTATCAAGGGAGCAAATAGTGATCTCCCTGCAGAGGTCACCGTGCTGGTGAACAAGAGTGCACTGATGGAGTGTTTATCCAGTGGCAGCCCAGCGCCAAGGAATTCCTGGCAGAAAGATGGACAGCCCTTGCTAGAAGATGACCATCATAAATTTCTATCTAATGGACGAATTCTGCAGGTAAAAGTAAAGATCTAATTTTAAAAAGAGCTATTTGACTTTGCATTTTATAATAATTGTTTTTGACTTTTAAAAATAATGTTATTAGCTTATAAATATTATATTTGTAAAAATAACCAACCATCAAAGGTATATGAAATAAAATTCTTCCTCCTCATTCTATTCCCACTACCAGAGATTACCACCATTAATAGTTTTGTGTGGCTTTTTCCAGAAATGTTCTACACACACACACACACACACACACACACACACACACACCTCAATTGACTACAATATGGTCTCAATTGACTACAAAATGACTACAATATGATAAAAATTGTATTATAAACAAATCATTATTGCAATCCTTTCCATTATATATTTCAGGTGGTAAAATTCTAAATGGTAGAAAGTTCCCTATAGATTTAAATTTGTATATAGGCAAAATGTTGATAATAGTAAAATTTATGAAGATCACATAAATATCCTGGATTGTCATTTACCAATGGTGTGTCCATATTCTTCTTTTCACATGTCCTGAAAGAAAGGCACTTATAGAAATAATACCAGTTCTTTTGTTAGGATACAATCTGACAAATTACTTTTGAGCAAAATAAATACTATTCTGTTGGCTCAAGAATCCAAGCATAACCATCAGTGTACCCAACATAGGACATATCTCATGGAATTCCTTATTCAAAAGAGAATGAGGTTTATTACCTATAGATAACCTTAAATTTTCAAAGTATCTTCTAAATATTGTGACTGTTTCCATGTGATAATCATATAGCCTCTACCAAATGCTTCAATGGTTCTGTGTCCAAGTCCAAAAGATATATAGATGGATAGAAATTTCTATGTAATATAATGAAGAAAACATAATTGTTATATTAGCTGCATAAAACAAACCACTCCAAAACTTAATGACTTGAAACAATAAGCATTTATTTAGCTCACAAGCCGGCTGGTTTGCTAGATGATTCTTCCGGATGTGGCCTTGGCTGACTTTGCACACATATCTGGGACCTCAGTTGCAGTAAACTGTGATGATTCCTCCTGTGATCTCCACCCTCCAGCAGGCTAACCCTGACTTCCTCACATGGTGCTGGAAGGGTTCCAAAAGAGTAAGCAAAAGTGAATAGGCCTCAGTTTTGAAATGACTGTCACTTCCATCACGTTCTGTTGACCAAAACCAGTCATAAGACCAACAAATTCTACTTCCTGATGGGAGGGTGTCAAAGTCACAATGCCAGAGGCAGAGAGAGGGAAATGGGAGAATAATTTGGGACATTTTTTCTAGTCAATATCCCACAAATATGTATAGAATTTTTCCTGATTAGAAATCTTAGTAAATATTTATTTGATTTACCTAATAAAAGCTAGCATCGGCACTAGTATGTACAACACTTTTTTCTATCTGGTATTAAGTAGAAATAATATATATTATTCTAAAAAAATAGGAAAATATGACAAGTTGCTTTATTCAAAATTTCATTTGGAATTTCTTCATTTTTCCCTTAGATTCTGAATACTCAAATAATAGATATCGGCAGGTATGTGTGTGTTGCTGAGAACACAGCTGGGAGTGCCAAAAAATATTTTAACCTCAATGTTAATGGTAAGAACTCAGTTCCAAAACCATCTGTTAGGGTATGCCTGGAAAAGCAGAAAATTTCTGTTTTAGATTATGTAGGCTTATTTTGTATTTTTTAACTTACACAATGTGAGGAGCCTGTACTCACTCAATCCCCTCTCTTCTTTCTTTCCATGATGGCTAGTATGATTTATAAAGTATAAAACTTCCAGGAAGACAGTTTTTATATTACTTCAGTCTCTCAAGAGAAAATAATTACTCCTGCATATTTGAAAGGAAAAACAGAATTTAAAATATTAATGATTACAAGTTTATAAAGTTAGAAGCAAATACAGGTCTTCTACTCATAAAAATGTATCCACTAGTCCTGATTGGGACTGGTTTCTGTCCTTAAGTGCAGAATTCATGTTGAGCTATGTCCTCTAGTAACTAACATACTCCCTGGAGAAGAAAAAGTCACTTTGTGGAGTTAAATAATTCCTTTAAAACTACTAGCACACCTAAATGATTCATCAGACTCTTTTAAATACATGCTAGACACTCCATAAATACCTTTTTTTTTTGCTAAAAAACAAAGTAGTTGAATATCTACTGCAAAAGAGTAGTTTTTATTTTGTGAGATGCTGGTGCTTCCAGAATATTAAATTGGAAATGGTGAATAATCATTATAAAAGATCTCCTTTACATAGGTAATACACACATAATATTCCAGCTCATTTTGGAAGTAACTGAAATTTGAAATGTCACAAAAAATTTCTGCCTTCAAAAGGACTTTTATGTAGCATGATAAATATTCTTCTTTGGTGTGATATGTAGTGAGTATTGGTATCTAGCAGTATTTGGTGTTTGTGTAACAGATATTTGAAACACTTTTATCTTTTTAATTCCAGTACTTAGCACAGTGAGTAACACACTGTAGATACTTAATAAGTGTCTTTGAAGTTTTTTGAATGAATAATCTAACCAGAGTAGGAACACATGTGTTATGAATTCTCAGGAAGAATGAATTAAACAAACAGAATCATTGTGAAAGCACACATTCTAATCTGTAAAGTGCAGTAAATATTGGAAAGCAAAATACTGATTGGTTTTCCTGATTGCTCAAGGCAAAATTCATTTTTTCTTCTCTATGACAAAAAAGCATCTTGTAAATACCCCAATTGTAGCAGTTCCATATGTTGCCTTGTGTTATCTTCATATATCTGTATCTTTGCCTCTATCCCATAACTTTATTGTAAGTGCTCTAGGCAGATGGTCATATCTTACTTATCTTGGTCTCCGTAAACCTAGAATGGTGTCTATAGTTGTGGTAGTTGCTAACTAAATGTTTTCTGCATGTTTAGTATATATTTTTCATAATCGTTGTCTTTTTGCAATGTGCAGTAGAAACACCTGAAGTGGGACAGTGACTTGTGAGGAAGTAATCACTAGTGTTTTACTACTAAGGATTGGAGTTCAGGAATGTGTTTCTTCTTTTACCAGTTAATGATGTTTTCAGTTCCTGACGGCAATCAGGAACTCATTATTTAAATATTGGAAAATTCATTTGAGGGGAAATAACGTAAATTATTTTCATGCAAAACAATACTATTTGTTATCTCCCTCTACAACTATGCTTGCTTCCTTTGTACTCCTTCAGTCTGTTGGTATCTTAGGTTTTAGCTCTTTTCACTCTCTCATAGCCAGCTTAATTTTTGTGGAACAGCGTTTCAATCACTTCTCTTAGCCCATGGCTTCTCATCACTCTTGCTCAGGAAAAGCTCAAATCTGCATATAACAACAAGGACAACAAACTGACTGCTTGAAACCTGCCAGGTGCTGTGCCAAATGTTTTATATAGGTTATTTCACTTCATTATCTCAGTAACCATATGTGCTCAGTAACCATTTTATGCCTCCCTTGGAGGTGAAAAAGGCGAACGAGGCTCAATGAGATTAAGTAACATACTCAAAGTTACACAGCTAGCAAATGCTGCACCAGGATTTTAATGCAGGCAGTTTTATTCCATAAGTTTTATACCTGCTTCTCTCTAATGCCTCTCACTAAATTCCACATCTGTACGCTACCTGCACTTAGGTAGCTCACCACGGCTGAAGGAAATCTTGAAGTCAGGAATATTGATGTCATTGTAAATTCATAGTACCAGCTTGAACTGAGCTCTCCATGCTGATTGCGACTTGTCCTTTTGTCTCTACACTATAGTGATTCTCTTAAACCTTCACGCCCTCCTCAAAAATATCAAGTGGCCACTGTCTTGGTCTGCTTAGGCTGCTTTAACAAGACCAGACACTGTGTAGCTTAAAGAACAGAAATTCATTTTCTCAAAGTTCTGGTGGCCAGAAAGTCCACAATCAAGGTACTGACAGGGTTCGGTGTCTGGAGAAGGCTCTCCACCTGGCTTGCAGACACCTGCTGTGTCTTCACGTGGCCTCACATAGCCTTTCTTCTGAGCATGCTTGGTGAGAGACAGCCAGTTCTCTGGTGGCTCTTCTTAAAGGACACTAATCCTAAGGAATCATTTGACTTTAATTGCTTCCTTAAAGGCCTCACTTTCAAATACAGCCACACTGGGACTTAGGGCTGCAACATATGAATTTGCCGGGACAGAAACAGTTAGTTCATAACAGCCCCCTCTCACTTTCTCTCAGTAAATATTAACACTTTCACCTTCTCTTTTGCAGGGAAAAGAGAAAGCATATTCTAGAAATCCACCTCAAATTCCTACCATCAAATTAAGAGTACGGACCACACCTGTTCCTGCCATTTCTTTCTTCCTTCTTGTTAAGATAAGAGAAATGCATTGCTCTACCTTCCAAAGGCCAAGGTCTAACCTGACTCTAGATCCCTGCCCCATTATCTCCTAAAAAAAACCCACCATATCCTCCTGTCTCTTTAATACTGAAATTCTCACTATTATCTCCTTCTCTACAGCACTTAAGTAAAAATAAAATATTACAAGATTATTCAAATATACTTAATAAAAAGCACATTAGGTCTCCTTTGTACATTGACAAAATTATCTTAGCAATTGTCAACTATGTTTTACAAATAAAATGCAGAGTAATTCGGTCTGAAAATTCTGGTACTCTCTTTCAATTGGGAAGAATGAACTCCAGCGTGAGTTTGATGAAGTCATTAGGGAATTCTAAGACAGCCAGCTAGATAATGAATAGAATCATTAACTCAGTCCTTTAGCAGAATACAGTGGTTGGATTTATATTTAGTAAATGGGAATATATGTTGATAACACCTGCTTTCACTTTTAATACATTTACTATTATAGTTCCTCCAAGTGTCATTGGTCCTAAATCTGAAAATCTTACTGTCGTGGTGAACAATTTCATCTCTTTGACCTGTGAGGTATCTGGTTTTCCACCTCCTGACCTCAGCTGGCTCAAGAATGAACAGCCCATCAAGCTGAACACAAATGCTCTCATTGTGCCTGGTAAGGAACTTCTTATTATAAAGTAGGCAAAATTTTCTCATCTTTATTTTAATACAAATGGCATTTCAAATTAGTCTCTTTCCAAACTTTTTTCGTGCTTCATTTATTTATTCACAGTAAATGCCTCCCTTTGTCCATTTGGGGTCATTAAGGTAAGATTGTGTAGACTTCTCTGATTTTAGTGGGAATGTACAAATAACAAAGTCTTCTTCAAGAAATGATACAATTTAGAAAGAGAGCAGCTTTGAATGGCCTAGTAATACCAAGTGGTAGATGGCAAATAGTACTTTCATTGGATACATCTGCTGGTTGTTTTAAATCAATCCTAAAGTTCCTTAAGGATAGATGATAGACTAGACCAGATAGATAAATAGATAGATAGATGGATAGATAGATAGATAGATAGATAGATAGATAGATAGATAGATAGATAGATAGATAGATAGGAAGGACACCTCGGCATTGTGGGAAATTTAAACCTAGAAAACACTTCTTAACATATTTTGACCACAGTGCAATTACTGTTTGCTCACCAGAGCCTGTATCCAACAGTTTTACTGTCCATGTTTGGATGCTGGAGAGAAAAATTCTATGAATCTCTTCCTGTATAAGGAACTATGTGAATAATAAAGGAAAGATCAAAGAAAACTGATCCAATTATTTTATTTTAAATAGGAAGGCTTCTCTATAAATTTTACTCTAAGGGGAAGGATATATGTTGCTATTTATCTGATTGATAAAATAGTTGTTAGAACAACCTGTATACCACCCTACAATTTGCATTCTATTTGCCTACAGGTGGTCGAACTCTACAAATTATTCGGGCCAAGGTATCAGATGGTGGTGAATACACTTGTATAGCTATCAATCAAGCTGGCGAAAGCAAGAAGAAGTTTTCTCTGACTGTTTATGGTTTGTTTTTACTCTCTTCATAAAATTGTTTTATTTTAAAACTAGTATTCAGTATTTTCTATCTGAGCACCTTAATGAAAAAAAAAAAAATCCTTCTGTTTTCTTCCCTCAGTGCCCCCGAGCATTAAAGACCATGACAGTGAATCTCTTTCTGTAGTTAATGTAAGAGAGGGAACTTCTGTGCCTTTGGAGTGCGAGTCGAATGCTGTCCCACCTCCAGTCATCACTTGGTATAAGAATGGGCAGATGATAACAGAGTCTACTCATGTGGAGATTTTAGCCGATGGACAAATGCTACACATTAAGAAAGCTGAGGTGCATCTTTTATTCTTGTTTGAGTGTCATGAATCCTTGGTGGGGCGGTGGAAAAGATGCTTGGAAGTTGCACATTCCCTTTTACTACAGTGAAAAATGATTTTCATTTAAAAAAATACATAGCGAATACCATTGACTATTTTTATAAAAAATAGCAAGATTGCAGAAGGCAATAGAACTGGGGCACTGAGCATACAGATGACTGATGATTTAATCTAAACGCAAACAGTATGATTGGTCATCTATAACTTAATGGAGCACATACAATAGTATCTTTTTCTTTTAGGTATCTGACACAGGCCAGTATGTATGTAGAGCTATAAATGTAGCAGGACGGGATGATAAAAATTTCCACCTCAATGTATATGGTGAGCATTTGCCTCTAATACAACTCTTTTTCCCCCAGACATGCAAATGAAAAAAAGTGTTCCAAATTAGCTTAATGAGGACAAATAATTTTCTTCTGTTTTTTGTTGTTGTTGTCGTCGTTGTTTTTTTACAGTGCCACCCAGTATTGAAGGACCTGAAAGAGAAGTGATTGTGGAGACAATCAGCAATCCTGTGACGTTAACATGTGATGCCACTGGGATCCCACCTCCCACGATAGCATGGTTAAAGAACCACAAGCACATAGGTAAGTCAACCATGCATTTTGTGTGTGTGTTTTTTTTCTTTTACTCTTAATTCACTAGACTTTAAAAATAGCACATTTTAAGTACCATGCTCATAGGGGTGTTTAGTTCAAGAAGCCTAATGCACTGAAATACAAATTTACAAAATAGATTCATTGTAAAATGATTAGTCATTTTATAAAGAATTTTTTTCTTTTTTTAAAAAGACTCATTTAAAATGAAAGTACACTCGGAGAACTTTTAAGAAATACATTTATCACATAAAGCAAGACATTTTATCATGAATTTTAGAGATCTTGCAGTTTAAAGGTTTTTTAAATGTTTTATTGTGCTTTATTTCTACCTCTAGAAAATTCTGACTCACTAGAAGTTCATATTTTGTCTGGAGGTAGCAAACTCCAGATTGCCCGGTCCCAGCGTTCAGATAGTGGAAACTATACATGTATTGCTTCAAATATGGAGGGAAGAGCCCAGAAATATTACTTTCTTTCAATTCAAGGTATGTATTGTCCACTGTGATCTATCTTCAATTTCTTTGTTATTCCATTTATAGTACAAAATCTACATTTAAAGGGATCAGTAGTAATTGATTCAACATATCTTTAGATCATCAAAAACTATCATCAGTTTTCTGTCTTGTATTTACCAGTAGATTCTGTTTTCAGGGAAATGGACATAAATGTGGAAAAAAGAATAGTGGAAATTTGGTAATCTCTACTTTTTCCAATTTTCCATTTCCACTTCCATTATTATCTTTCTATAGTATATATTCTATGGAGTTATACTTATTTTAAACTGGTATAATTTCTTTTGATGCTAAGCTTATAGATCTGTTCTCGTTGGTATAGATAAGATTTAATTCACAAAGAAGTTGTACTATGATCTGACCACAGGTAAATTAGGTAAATTTTAATGAACGATGAATCTTATACTATTTTAAGATGATAATAAGGAGCAGTTCATCAAATATTTAATTAATGCCTACTATGTTCCAACATAGTATTAAGCATTTCAGGGACAAGTTGTTTTCTTTTGATTTTCAGTAAACCTCTGATTATTACATTTGGCTCAGTATTGAAACTGAAATGAAAGTCTAACTTGAAACTAAGTTGAAATACTTTTTCTTCCAGTCTTATTAGGGAAATAATTTCTCATAAATTATGAATTCTATTATGAATATTATGTAACTGTTGTGTGCTCTGCTAAAGATAACTCCAAAAAAATACAATTAGAAGAATTAATTTCACAGCTATCAGTAGGTCTTTCTGTGATGATTAGTGATGCTTTGGGATTTCAGAAGCTAAAGGAAAAACAGCTAGTCAGAGATTCAGTATCAGAAGTTGCATATTTAATTATGTTTAATGCATTAATAATAACAGATGCTAATCATGAGATATGTGGTAGAACTAAACATTTTACCAGATTTTTATATACTTTATTATGTCTTAGAACTAGAAATAATATATGTATATAGGACCGAGTCCAGTGCTTGTCATATATTAGATACTCATTGTAGGATGTCTCTTATTACTAATGTTCTTATTGACTCAACTTCTTTAGTACTCTAGATTCTGCAAATGTGGTATAATTATTATTTTCTGAATGACTAAAATTAGATTTATAGAGATTATTCAGTGATGTGCTGGTAAATGTTTAAGAATTGTCTCTCCAGACAAAAAGATTATGATTTGTAGCCAATTGTTTGCCAGTGTCCATGGTATAAATATTCCCACCATGATCTAATATACACAAGATTTCAACCTGCCAAAGGGATGTTACTGAACACAGAGTGGGGAAAACATGTACAAAATTGGCTTTGTGACCTGGTGTGAACTACTTTCTGCACATCACTATGATCATATAGAATAGGAATTCAAATATGTTTCTATCTGATACCATTGACAGTATTTTTATTACACAATATTTCTCAGTGAAATCAAAGTGAAAACCAAAGATGGCTAGAAAAAGAGAATAGAAACTATTGGCTCTTCAGAACTACAATAAACCTATCCATTTTTCAGAATAAGTAATAATTAAATTCAATAATGAAGAAAGAAATAACCAACTTAGATACTTTCCTCAGACCTTTATGCCAAGGTTTTATAAGACAGAGTCTATAAGTCTAGTGAATTAAGAGCAAAAGAAAAACACACAAAAAAATGCATGGCTGCCTTACCTATGTGCTTGTGGTTCTTTAACTGTACTATCCATTGAGGATTTAATCTAAGAGTGATTTAATTTGGCCAGAAGGGGTGATCATGAGGTAGCTCTATCACTAGCCTCTATGACTAAATAATTACATCAACTTACAAATGCACCAGAAATATTGAAGAGTTCCTTTATCTTCATCATTTAAAAGTAATTCATGAAGATAACAATAGTTTGATCTTGAACCATAATCTACAAAGAATATGAACTAGAAATGGTATATTGTTTTATGATTCTGTTATATTTATTAGAATTTATATCCTGTGTCTTGTTAATGAAATTCCTAATTATTTCTCCAAAGTTCCTCCAAGTGTTGCTGGTGCTGAAATTCCAAGTGATGTCAGTGTCCTTCTAGGAGAAAATGTTGAGCTGGTCTGCAATGCAAATGGCATTCCTACTCCACTTATTCAATGGCTTAAAGATGGAAAGCCCGTAGCTAGTGGTGAAACAGAAAGAATCCGGTATGTTTAAAAATAACCTTTCCATTATAAATTGTAAGGCCTTCTACAATGCTTTATGCTTCAAATTTCACATGAATAATAATACCAAATTCCATCCCATTGGAACTTAGCTATCATTTTATTCACAACAAAACAGAAAACTTTTGAGAACTGGACGTAGACATTCTCCTTAGAGAATCACTCAGAATTGTGTATGTTTCTTATCCGTTAACTCTGTAATGTTAATTAACTCATTAACTTTGACTAACTTTAATTAACTCATTAACTGTAATGTTAACTGTTGCTGATTTTGTTCTTGTAATTTCAGAATGGTTATACTAAAGCCCATGCCATAAAAATAATTAGTTCTTTCCTGCAAATGCCAAACCAACCTTATCTCACAAATGATTCATCAATAATTCTAGATATGATTTTGTATGCTGAAACAACCAAACTGTGTACATGCTATACTAATTGGCTCCTTTTGAGAAAAGATACAATAATGTCATAACTGTTATAGTGGTTTGTTCAGATGCCATTTTCAGCTGACACTTGTTACCCATGCAACAAACCACATAGACTTGGACATGCTATCCCGATTGGCTCATTTTGAGAAAATATATGATAATGTCATAACTCTCATAATGGTTTGTTCAAATCCCATTTTCAGCTGGCACTTGTTACCCATGCCACAAACCACATAGAGATGGAATAATAATGTGGTAAGGGCCTCCTCCTACTTTCAACAACAAATTCCTTTGGAAGGACAATCTGGAATTTGATATTGTACTAGATTACTTCATCACAAAATCCCATTACCTACACCAGATTAATTATATGCATAAGTAGGCACTAACTACATGTATTGTAGACTTTAACATTTTGGACCAATATGTAAATTTAAGGGTTTGGAGTATATTTTCTGGTCAATAAATTGAATATATATAATTTAAAGAGATAAATGTTATTTTCTTTGTATTCATTGTGTATTAAAATTTCTAGTCTTTTAGAGGATACATTTTAACTTTTATTTCTCTGGTGTGAACATTTTTGAGTAAATAACAAGTATTTAATTATTTTGTTAAATCAGCTGGTATTTGCCATATTTCAGACCAAGTACATATTCGATGGCATCTAAAGATTTTATAAGGGATATAAAGATAAGATCTTTTATATATGGATATCTTTTATATAAGATAGTATTTGTAGCTAGGAATTTGGAGTCTATCATTCCTTCTCCTACATTAACATTCTAAATGTACTTATTCTTATATCTTTATTATTCATTCATTTCATATGTATAGATTTGTAGGTAGAACAGTTTGTCAATCAACTACAATAGTTTTTCCAAAGTCAGTGTACTACTTTTTTTGATCACAGCAACTTGTTTTTTGCTTATTAATTTAATTAAACTCATGCAATTAAAAAAAATTTATTTTGGGAAAAAAACCACAACTATATCCCAGATAATAATATAGCTCTCAATAAACATTTAATAACAAGATATAATAGAAATGGAGCTTTTACTTTTGACACAGGGTGATCCTAATGAAATCACTATCATACAACTGTAGATGGCAATTTAATCTCTACCAAAAACACAGGAAATTTTGATTTTGAATTAATGGTGTGTGAAGACAACCAATAATGAAATAACCTTAGCTCAGAGATCTTTAATGATCTCATTGTATATTTATTTTTTACTATTATGTAATTCAAAAGAAAAGCTTTATTTAGCAATTTGTAGAAAAAATGTTTGCAAAATATAACCACATATATTGTTGTCACAATTTAAATGATCCTGTTCTGTTTTTATTAAGGTATTGTTTATAACTAGATTTTTATGTGTAATTTTTTCAGTTTCTCATTGTAACAGTCTTCAACTTTCATGCCTGAATTTTGTATAACATGAATTCGAATCTTATTTTGATAACTAAGAATACAGTATTCTAGCTCTGAGAAAAACATGTCTTTGCCTGTGATTTGAATAGAGAAGTATTCCTGATTTTGTTCATTTCCTTTTTTTCTCATAAGGAAGTGGTGGATATGAGACTCACTACTGTAGAATTTCAGTTGTTTGCTTGAATTTTCCATCACTTTCAGTAACTGATTTTTAATAGGCTTTCATGTACTTAGTGAAATAGATTCAAACTCATTTCAGCCCCTCTGTTATGATATTTTCCATAGAGTGAGTGCAAATGGCAGCACTTTAAACATTTATGGAGCTCTTACGTCTGACACGGGGAAATACACATGTGTTGCTACTAATCCCGCTGGAGAAGAAGACCGAATTTTTAACTTGAATGTCTTTGGTAAATATGAAATATCCCCCTCTTTGGATAATGCTGCCTTAAGAATCTACCAGTAGAAGTGAAGGTCCAGCAGCAGGTGTCTGGAGCATTTAGTTTTAAATTTGATCCCTCCGTTTTTTCCTTTTGGGATACAATTTTGAAATGAGAGCAATTGTAGTTGAAATTATTTGAACTAGTAATACATAATACATCCATTTTCCCTTTCTCTCACTTTCTCCTCGACACAGTTACACCTACAATTAGGGGTAATAAAGATGAAGCAGAGAAACTAATGACTTTAGTGGATACCTCAATAAATATTGAATGCAGAGCCACAGGGACACCTCCACCACAGATAAACTGGCTGAAGAATGGACTTCCTCTGCCTCTCTCCTCCCATATCCGGTTACTGGCAGCAGGACAAGTTATCAGGTCAGCTTTTATTGTGTCTGATTTCCTAAACAGATGAAGTAACTGTGATTGTAGACTTTTCCTTCATTTAAACAGTGTTGAAGAAATGTTTTTTTCTAAGCCTTTACAGTTTTTTTCCCCTTTAAGTATATTTTTAGTAGAGGGAGGACAACAAATATACACTTGAAATGATTTTTTTATCCTTATTTAATTGCTTTCATTTTTAAATAAAATGTGTAAAGTGTTCTTTTATAGACAGGTTTGTTATCACATATGTATTTCCAGGAATTACTGTTTTAGCTAAAACTTTATGTGGCAAGGTAGCAGGAAGATGCCTACTATGATAATGTGATTTTCATGTTAGCAGCATTCTCTATTAATATATATTTGAAAAATATTCACCTCTTAAATTGTGCTGTATTTCCAGTGGTTTATTGTCACTGCCTAATCAACTTTGTAGAATAAATTGCATTTGAGGCCCCTATATTTTGTGATGGATGGCTATAGGCCTCATAATTAAAATTTCCCAACATAAATTACCACCTATAGCCTATTTATAAATCATAACTATTTTATGTGTATTTGTTGCATGGGATCACGTGGTGAAATGTTGGATCAATTGTTCCTCAGGATTGTGAGAGCTCAGGTGTCTGATGCCGCTGTGTATACTTGTGTGGCCGCCAACAGAGCTGGGGTGGATAATAAGCATTACAGTCTTCAAGTGTTTGGTATGTGTCACAGAAATGACCCTATTACTTTACTATGTCAAGTATTAAGCAACAGACTTATCTTCAGAAACTGACTTCCTCAGAGATTTAGAAATCTGATTTTATCAAAAAGGATTAGTGAAATAGGATCTTACTGACTGGAGAATGTATTTTCTTCCAAGGGGTCCATATTATTGGACCATACTGTCTGTCTGTCAAAATACTCTACTGATCTAGAAATTTGCAATAAATCAAGTCTAATTTTTTGAAATAGCATTTCAATCCAGACATGACACCAGTCTTTTCACGTAAAGAAAAAGTGAAAACTTTTCTAACAATATTAGCAGCTTGTTTAGAGTATTCAAACTATGAATGGATGTATGTGCATATATGCATGTGTGTATGTGTATATATGGAGAGAACGCAATACCTTCCATTTCGGAAATACTGAAGTTTGCTGATCCACATTTCTCAATCCCCAAGAGCACCTCATTTAAGTAACTCTTTATTATAATCTACAAATGACTTACTCTATAACTTGATATTATTTTATTTATACTGTATAAAGTAGTTAAAAGAATACTACTAAAACTATTATATACATTACAACAAATTAACGAGATGGACCGAAGAAGTTGAAAAATCACCAAAATTTAAAACACATTGTATGTTCTGTAAGAAAACAATTTTTAAGTTTTATTGCTAATATTTGGAAGGTTAATAATTAGCATTCCTAATAGATATTTTTATTGTAAAGTCCTTAATTACACAATTTTAAAGTATATATTTTTATCAACCACAGAAACATTATAGAATTATTCAAAAGTTTTAATTTAAATTGATCTCAAACTACAATAGACATCCACATTTTGCCCATGTTGTTTTCTATGTAGCCCCACCAAATATGGACAATTCAATGGGGACAGAGGAAATCACAATTCTCAAAGGCAGTTCCACCTCTATGGCATGCATTACACATGGAACCCCAGCTCCCAGTATGGCCTGGCTTAGAGATAGCCAGCCTCTGGGGCTTGATGCCCATCTGACAGTCAGCACCCATGGAATGGTCCTGCAACTCCTCAAAGCAGAGACTGAAGATTCGGGAAAGTACACCTGCATTGCCTCAAATGAAGCTGGAGAAGTCAGCAAGCACTTTATCCTCAAGGTCTTAGGTATGTAAACATTGTGGTCAATGTAGAATAACTGGAAAATAAGTGATAGTGAATATTTAGTAAAAAAAGTATAATTCTTAGAATCAGTTGCGATGAGACAATTTTTTGAACAAATTTTATTGCATTTTTATTTCTTTTATAATTCACTTTGACTTACTCTCATCTGAAGCATGTTAAATTTAAATTGTATTCTTTATCTGTCTGAAGAGATGAAAACTCCAGCTCATAAAACATTATTCATTCATAAAACCTTATAACCCATTGATAAGTAGCTTTTTAAACTTTTGCCAAGAATTGAAACCACATCTGATTATAGAAATTTGATGAAAAAGCATAATATGGATACTATTATATATTATCCCAGCCTTTAAATAATCCAGTCTATAGATTATAGCTGGAATAATCATTTCAAATAGTCTAGTTCTATTTATTCTTGTGTGCATTTAAATACTTAAAATATGTATTCCAATGTTCTCAATGCAACAGTTTAAAGAGAAAACACTTTTCTTTGAAGTAAAAACTGTTAACCTCCGAAGACAAAGGAAGATAATGAAATGAATTATTTCAATAACCAAGACCTTTTGGCATTTTGTTTGTTTTTTTCACTATGAAGCAAGTGAGACCCCATGCTCCTTACATAGCAGAAAATACACCCTACAGAGAAGAGCAAAAGTAATTTTGGCAAGAGTCTTGGTTTGGTGGAAGTTAGCATATGTGTCAGAGTGTGTCATAATCTTTCTCAGAGCACCTATTAAAATTTAATTATTTGTGTAACCCTAAAATTCTGCTTCATCCCTAGTTAAGCTTTATGAGGGCAGATGTCTTCTTATTGCTGCATTCCCAGTGCTTAGCATGACATTTAATACATTAGAGACTATTAATGTGTTACTTGTTGGATTAAATTGAACCAAATTAGTTACTTTCCAGATGGATTAAAGGGAGTTTCGTCTGTAGAGGGAAACAGAACAATGATTCTCTGGAGTAGATGCTACATCCATAGAATGGAGGCTGAGAGTAAAGGAAGTTCTCCAGGATATTTAGAGGCAAAAGAAAACTACAACCCAATATCCCTTTTCAATATAGTTGCAAAAATCCTCAACAAAATACTAGCAAACCAGATTCGACAGTATATTGAAAAGATCATTCACTCTGATCAAGTGGGTTGCATTCCAGGGATGCAAGGATGTTTTAACATACACAATCAATAAATGTGATACATCACGTTAACAGATAGGACAAAAATCATATGATCATTTCAATAGATGCAAAAAAAGCATTTGACAAAATTCAACATTCCTTCATGAGAAAGATGCTCAACAAATTAGGGATAGAAGATACATACCTCAACACAATAAAGACTGCTTATGATAAATCCACAGCTAACATCACACTAAACAGGAAAAAGTCGAAAGCCTTTCTCCTATAAGGTCTAGCACAAGATAAAGATGCCCACTTTCTCTACTTCTATTAGACATAGTATTGAAGTCCTAGCTAGAGCAACCAGGCAAAAAAATAAAAGACATCCAAATTCGAAAGAAGTAAGTCAAATGCTCTGTTTGCAGACAGCATAGTCTTATATATAGAAAACCTCTAAATACTACAGCAAAAACTCTTAGAAATGATAAACAAATTCAGTAAAGTTGCAGGATACAAAATCAACATACAAAAATCAGTAGCATTTCTATTTGCCAACAGCAAATTATCTGAAAAAGAAATCAAGAAAATAATCCCATTTACTGTCAGCCCTTCATATGTGTTGGTTCCACATCTGTGGATTCAAACAACTGCATATCAAAAATATAATATTCATTGGATGTGGAATCCGTGGATACCAAGGGCCAACTTTGTATCTATGGGTTTCTCAAGGCCTGCTGCCAGGCTTAATTAAGCATCTGCAGATTTTGGTATTCACAGAGGGTCTGAAACCAATCCTCTGGAGATACTGAGATACAATAGCTATCCAAAAAAAAAAAAAAGAGATACGTAAGAATAAATTTAAACATCAGTGAAAGAAATTGAAAGGAAACAAATAAATGGAAAGATATTTCATGTTTATGGGTTGGAAGAATTAATACTATTAAAATGGCCATACTCTCAAAACAATGAGATTCAATGCAATTTCTATGAAAATACCATTGACATTCTTCACTGAATAAGAAAAAAAAAAACTAAAATTTGTATGGAACCACAAAAGACTCTAAATAACCAAAGCAGTCTTGAGTAAAAAGAACAAAGCTTAAGGCATCAGACTACCTAACTTAAAAATATGCTACAAAGCTGTATTAATCAAAACAGCATGCTATTGGCATAAAAACAGACAGATAGACCAATTGAGCAGAATAAGGAGCTCAGAAATAAATTCATGCACCTACAGCCACCTGATTTTTGACAAAGGTCCCAAGAACACATACGGGGAAAGGATAGTCTCTTCAATAAATAGTGCTGGGAAAACTGGGATGCCCACATGAAGAAATATGAAACTGGACCTCTATCTTTCACTGTATACAAAAAACAACTCAAAATGGATTAAAGAGTTAAATGTAAGTCCCCAACTACGAAACTACTAGATGAAAACAGAGAGGAAATACTTCATGATATTGGACTTGGCAAGGAGTTTTCTGGATAAGACCTCAAAAGCATTGGCAACAAAAGCAAAAATAGACAAATGGTATTATATCAAAGAAAAAGCCTCTGCACAGCTAAGGAAACATTCGATAAAGTGAAGAGACAACCTACAGAATGGGAGAAAATATTTCAAACTATACCTCTGATAAGGGGTTAATATCCAATATATATAAGGGACTTAAGAGCAAAAAATGAAAGAGCACAATTTTAAAATGGACAAAAACCTCAGCAGACATTTCTCAAAAGAAGACATGTAAATGGCCAACAGGTATATGAAAAAATCCTCAACATTACTAATCATCAAAGAAAGGCAAATCAAAACCACAATGAGATATCACCTCACTCTAGTGAGGATGGGTATTACCAAAAAGACAAGAGGTAACAAGGGTTGGCAAGGATGTGGAGAAAAGGGAACACCTGCACACTGTTGGTGGGACTGTAAATCAGTATAGCCATTATGAAAAACAGGTTCCTAAAAAAATTAAAAATGGAACTACCATATGGTTCAGAAATCCCACTACTGGAGATATATATATATATATATATATATATATATATATATATATATATATATCTCCAAAGGAAATGAAATTGGTATGTCAAATAAATCCACGTTTATCACAGCACTATTCACAACAGACAAGATATGTAATCAACCTAAATGTTCAACTATGGATGAATGAATAAAGACAATGTAGTAGATATACACAATGGAGTACTATTCAGCCATAAAAAAGAGTAAAATTCTGTCATTTATGGCAACATGGATGAACCTGGAGAACATTAAACTATGTGAAATTAGCCAGGCACAGAAAGAAAATACCACATGGTTTCACTCATGTGAAATTTTAAAAAGTTGATCTCATAGCAGTAGTGAATAGGACAGTGGTTACCAAAGACAAGGGAGATGGGGAGTTGGTCAATGGGTACAGTTACAATTAGAAAGGAAGAATGAGTTCTGGTGTTCTATTGCAAAGTAGGGTGACTACAGTTAACAATGTACTATTGTCCCTCTCAGAATAGCTAGTAGAGAGGAATTTCAATGCTTTCACCACAAAGAACTGATAAATGTTTGAAGTGATGGAAATGCTAATTACCCTGATTTGATAATGACACAATGTATACACGTATGGAAACATCACATTGTACCCCCTAAATATGCATAATAATTATGTGTCAATGAGAAAAAAAAAAACAAACAACTGTGTGTCTGGGAGGTGCAGGGTGGGATTGGGTAGCAAATTCCTGTACATCAATTCACAGAACGAGAGGAGTAAGAGGAGATGACATAATGTGATCCTGTACATTCATTATTCACATATCAAGTATTATTGAATATACATTATATGACAGGTATGTTTCTAGCCATCATTTAACTATCATTATGAACATGTATGGTGTGGCAAACACAAAAATGCATCACTAAGAAAGATATGATCTCAGCCCTCAACTTCCTGCATCTGTGGAAGACAGATACTAAACAAGTAATTACTTTTCAGCTTGATGAGGATTATGTGGATAAAATAACATTCTGTAGGATGGTAAATTTCAGATTCGATCTCCTCAAGCATAAATCTGAGCCCTGAAGAGTAGGACTGTAGAGATGAGTGGGGAATTTTATATACATTTCTCACCTAGAGATTATACAATTTGAATTGTCAATTTACACTCCCTGAAACTGAGTGTAAGAGGAAGAGTAGCAAGAGACAAGACAGGAACTATATATGGGCAGAGGACAAACTATGCAAAGATCTGAGAACTTTGAGGAAGTTTGGACCTCATTATCAAGGCAATGGAAGAATCTTAAGGAGAAATATGTTACAGATGGATTTCACTTCCAAAAAATCCCTCTGACAGAGTGAAAAATGAATTGAAGAGGCTGCTGTATTCATACAGCCCTGTAAATGCAGGGGCCTGGTCTAGCATGTGGCCGGGGGAGGCGGGGGAGGGGAAGAAAGAACCCAGGAGCAGAATCATAGACTGGTGCGTTTCTGGATGAAGCAAATTAAGGAGAAAAACAACAATGTTATTCTTAGTGGAATTCTTAAAGAACAGCCTGCCGTTTATAAAGTTGAGTTTATAAGCAATAATTCCTCAAAACAGATTTGAAAACGGGCTTAGAAGAAAGATGAGAAGTTTTAGCATTTCAGCATCTGTTGAAAATTAATTCCATTAAACTCTGGAAAGTTCTTCACTTGAAGCAGTGCTACCACTCAGAATGCAAACATCTTAACTTGGGGAAATACTCTTTATTTAATTCTATCCATGTGGTGGGGAGGTATCATGGTATATTAGTGGTTCTGAAAAGTCCAATGTGGCTAGACCACTGAAAACAAGGGAGAGCATTATACAAAATAGGGGGTTTTCATAGGGCCAGGTCATAAAGGACTTTGTTGACCACATTAAGAAGTCTGCTTTTTATCCTGTAACAATGAGAAATCAGTCAAAGTTCTAAAAATGGAATAACAAATAGAACTACAGTTTGAGAAGAGCACTCTGGCTATAAAATGCAAGGCTACTTGGACCAGGACAAGAATGGATTCTGAGAGACCAGTATAAGGAATTGTGCTTGGCTGTGAATTACAGAGCTGAAATATGGTGGGTTAAACAAAGTACTTTCGTTTTTCTCATTGAGATGGCTGGAGGTAGGCAGTTGTTGCATTGGTTCAGCAGTTCAAATATTTTCAGTTCTTTTGAACCTTTACAACATGGTTGTTTGGTGATCATGCAGTATCTGCTCACCCCTAGCATAACTAGATGCTGTTCTAGATGCAACAATAGAGCAGGAAACTAGGAAATTTTGCCCCTTTAGAAAAGAATTAAGACTTTCTTACAAGCCCCACAAAACCACATCCACCTACATCTCATTGGTCAGAACTGTCATATATCACTCCATCTACTCCATCTACTCTCTGCTAAAGAGACTGGGAAATGTAATTTGTTTAGCACATTGACAACCCCAACAAAATTTGAGTCTGTTAATCAGAAAAAAATCAGTAATTTTGGGTAGGCACCTACAACCAAGAAGAAAAAAAACATTAAGTAAATGGTATTGTAGCTCAAATTAGAGTGAGGGAGATGAGAGAAAAAGGTGTATTCTGGAAATAAGTCCAGTGGAAGTATTAGGACTTGGTTGTGGATTGGAACACAAGGAAGTGATGAAGAAGGTATCAAGGATGACTCTTACTTTCTGGCTTATGTGACTAATTGGCAAATTCATCACCTAGATGCAGAGAATACTGGGAAAAAAAGAAACAGGTTTTGAGAAATAAGACAATAGATTCAGTCTGAATACATGTTGAGTTTTAAGTGGTTTTCAAACATCCAAATGGAGATGTTTATTTGATAATTGCATTTAGGAATCTGGAGCTCAAAAGAGAGTCTAGGCCGGAAATGTAAATTCTGGAGTTATTGGAGTATAGACAACTCTTAATTCTGCCCAAAGTACAGGACATATGGACAAAACACAGAGTAAAATAGGTCACAATCACTTAACACAGGTAAGATCTGGACAGTCTGGGGTTTGAACCACTCAAGAACATGTTAATACTATTACTGCTGCTACTGTTTTAAATCTAGTGATTATAAACTTTGGGGTGGGGGCAGTGAGCATGCCAGATTAATCTTTGTATTCATGGTGACTGACCTATATTAAATAACCAATAAGTAAGAGGATTGAAATTTTATAATTGGTTGAGAGAATCAAGAAATGATTTATGGTTTTCACAAAATGAACTTGAGGACAATATAACTTTGATGGTACTTCAGCATGCTCAGTTGGGGGACTATGAGGAGCAAGAAAGGACTGAGCTTGTTGACGGATTTGAAGTCTAGGTTACATATAAGTATGTTAAAAGTAAATAATGACAACGATAGATTTAGACCATATTGTGGAAGCCTTGGAAACCATGATGAGTTTTTATTTAATTTTAGGAAAGCAGATTTAGGAAATTTGGGGAAGCAAATTTTAATAATACCAACAGCTGGGGCATAAACACTGTAGCAGTAGTAACTTTTTAAAAACCTTTAATTGTAAAATAAAACATACAGAAACACACAAAAAAGTGTATAATATATCTCACTGACGCCACACACGGTTCCTATTAGGTAAATAATGTTGGTATCCCCATTTTAGAGGTTTGCTCAAATACATGGAGCTAAGAATTGTTGACACCAGCATTCAAACTTAGACTCCAGATCTTCTGCTATGAGTCACCGTTCTAAACTATGTGCCTTATTAAGGAAAAACAAACCTGCTAACCCCTGGAGCTGTCCAACAGCTATTTTGGCTGCCTTGTCAAATACTAAGCTGGAAGCTTGAATTATGAAAATGTCATAGAAAACTCGAATGGTCATTGTAAGGGGAATGTGTTTTAAAGGAATTACCAAAGTTGGTAGTAGACTAAAGAATCTTAATGTTTCTTCCCAGTGTTTAGATTGTTTGACCTTCTCTTGAGAAAGGTAATTTTAGAAGTATAAGTAACAAAAGAGGAAGTTACTCCCATCCAGACATAACAAATGTGTTTTATACAGAAATTATCTCCAAGTGTAACTATTTTTTCTTCTGCTTAGTCATTGTTTCCTCTCAAAGCTCTTCATGGAAAAGATGATAGCAAAATTCCACAGTATTTACACATTGCTTTTGTAGAAACTATTGGTATTTAAAGATACAAAAACATAGTAACATGCTAAGTCCCTCTCAAAAAAAAAAAAGTGGTACAAGTTGGGTTTGGTTTTTATTGTTTTCAAATCTTTCAGTCAAGTAAGACTGTTCTAATTAACTGAGTTCGATCTGTTGTTCTATAATTACATGGTAATGAATTGCCATTTACTTCATTATCTCTTATGTGCATGATCCATCCCTTTTGAAAGTGTGTCAATGAGAAACGGTAATGACATCTAGGAATTATTTCACTTTTCTTGTTCTAATCAATTTTTATGTGAATGTGAATTTGTGTTGGATTCTCAAGTTTTTCTAACGAGAAATATTTTATGAAATAGAGGGTTTATTATTGTTTTTTATTCCCTTTAAATAGAACCACCTCACATTAATGGATCTGAAGAACATGAAGAGATATCAGTAATTGTTAATAACCCACTTGAACTTGCCTGCATTGCTTCTGGAATCCCAGCCCCTAAAATGACCTGGATGAAAGATGGCCGGCCCCTTCCACAAACAGATCAATTGCAAACTCTAGAAGGAGGAGAGGTTCTTAGAATTTCTACTGCTCAGGTAAGTGTCAAAGTTCACACAATTATTTTAGGTTAGGTCAAACTTCTCATTTGCTAACATATGAGAATTGTTAAAGAAATCACGTCTTTGAATCCTTATATATCACAACTCTGTGTAACTTGAGCAGGATAGTTTAGTCCTATGATATGCATGATTGGGTAACTTAATTAAAAGGAAGACAAAGCAGTATCATATTAAACTCTGAAGAAAGCAAGATATCTTTCCATTAACTTTTGCAAGTTTTCACAGTGCTATAAGTGTTAGTATATTTCCCGAAGTTCTTAATTTGTGCTATGTGGCCCTTAATGGAACTGGCAAAAAGCAATCTGACATGCACATATATAAGGTTTCAAAGAACACTTGATCTCCAAATGAACTAGCAGATATGAAAGTCTGAAGAGACAAAATTTTTCAAATAATGATCAGTTCAATAAAACTGACTGGTTTAGTTTAAGGAAATGGATCTGAAATGTGAATATATTAAAAGAGAAGTGTGCCTGGGATGTCTTATTGTAGCAATCTTCTATTCTGCTAATAAAGGCAAACTTTATGTTGTAATTATTCTCCATCTGAGCCCCAGTGTCATCATTTATAAAGTGGGGATAAAAATAATAATCATGCCTCATTCATACACTGAAGTATTTAAAGAAATATTCCAACATAATGTGCCACAGGCGTGTAGTAAATGCTTTAAAAAATAAAAAGGATTGTTCCTGCTGTTGCTGTTGTTGTTACCATAATCATCATTCCTCTGAATGTAGAATAACAAATTATTTGATCATATTTTGTTTGCATTTTTCACTGAGAATGGAAAAAAGGGAACTGGAAGAAGAGAGCTAAGGATTATAAACTGTCTACTGTGTCCTGTTGTGTTCATATCTGGGCTATCTATCCTACCCATTCCCCTCATGGCAACTCTGTGAGGCAATGTGTCTATCCCACAAATCGCAGAGAGATTAAGTACTTATCTGCCAAGTATTCACTGTTGCTCAGTGATGGAGCTAGGCCTCAGTCCTTAGTCTGATTCAGAAGCCTAGCCAGTGCATCTCAGCACAGTGCATTTCTAGTGTCTTGGAGCACATACCTTCCATTCCCCTTTTTTCTCTCCATTTCAAACATTGTAGTAACTTAAGAGTCAGGTTAAACTAAAACCATGTACTGAATCAAAACTCTTGAATGATATAATTTCAACAAACAAAAAGTAGGCAAAAGAATTTTGTGACATTAGGAACAGCATGGAGACAGGAAAGTATGTGGAATAGAATAATGAATATTTTAAAAATGACAAATAAAGCTTGAAAGGGAAGTTAAGGCCATTATTGTAGGTCTTAAAGGCAAGAACAAAAAGGCGGGTTGTAACAAAACAAGATGAAGTTCTCATAGAATGTTAAATGATGGCCAGATTTCCCATGTGTTCTAGCTATTGTGGAGAATTCATAAGACCTAAGATATATGACATGTGTCAGCCTTCAAGAAGGTGCTCGATGTCTAGGGGAGAAAAATGACTGTATACATAAGATACAATTGGATATGAGTCAATAATAGAACCATTAAAAACAGTATGGAAGTGGAAAATTAAATATGATCAAGTCCCCAAACTGATTTTGGTTACTCTGCTCCTCTGTTTTCATAGCGTTTTGTATATACTTCTGTAGTAACACTTACTGCATTTTATTTTGCTTATCTCAACTTTGTTTTTTTGTGTATTTATCTGCAACATCTACTTATGCCTGGTACATAATGGATGTGGATGCTTTGCAAATTGCAAATTGTGTAGCATAGACAAGAATTTCCTAAAACATCTTTTGCCAAACACTACTTCTGTAATTTATCCCAAGAGGAGAGGGAACTACTCTATGACTAATAGATTTAGAAAACTTTGTATACTGTACTCTCCTTTGTGAGCCATAATGCATGTCCACCTCTGCAAAATCTTCCTCTAAAGATACATGCTTAACTATAATTTTTCTGACATTCTATTAGTAAAACAAGACTTTAGAAACTAACTACAGGTGATGTCTGTGGGTAGCCAGAAGGGCAGAAGTTGTCAGGAAATATTTTGTGGAAGAGGGAACATTTAAGAGCGGTCCTGAATGATGGTTCAAGTTTGGCTGAGTCAAGACAAGTGAGGGGATGATATCCATTGTGAATGAACAGAGTTGGTAGAGAAGAGTTAGTTTTAGAGATTTTAAAGATATGATGAGAAATTTAGAAATTATTTTTAGGAAACAGCACATCATTTTAAAATTCTTTATTGAATAATAATGTAAGCGTTCTTTTTCTAAAATCGTATTTAAGTGTTTTTCCAAACATTCTAGTCTCAATGTTTTTGAGAGGAGTTTTTGCAGCCTATCAAAAAGTGTTTCCATAACCTGTAAAGTCAGTTTGAATGTAAGAATTTTTTAAATGCCAATATTCTGGGAATGTTCAAGTACTAAAATAAATGAGAACAGGATATTTCTATTTTTCCAAAATACATTTTTCGCAGTAGTAAAAGCATCTGTTTTCCAGAGTATCCTCTACATGTACATGATTATGGGTTGTGTCTACACAACGTCAAACATGTGAATGAACCCTAGCGTTCCATGGAAACCATGCTTGGGGATTTTTAAAGTAATGATTTTGGTTTTAGTTAGATAATTATAGATCCTGCTGTCAGTCTGACCCTATTTCTAACACATTACATAATATAACTCTTTTGTTTCACCATGTATATCAAAGGTAGAGTCAAGATGAGATATTATATATTTGATTTTAATAGCCAGGTATTTTATTTATCTGTTTACTTATTTGACATTTAATTTTCTTGAGAAAGGCTTTGTTTTAACTTTTCAGTCTGCAGTTTAAACCCATGAATATTTGTTACTTCAATGAACATTGAGGATATAGCCTATCACATATGATGCTAGATCCTATATATATCTACCTTTTCAGATATCATTAAATACACTTAATATACAAACATTCTTACCTCAATACCAAAATCCTGTTAAAACATAGGTTTGCATATAATGTAGATAACAACCTATGCTTTCTATCAGAGTGCTAATCATAGTGTTAACAGTTTGCTTTAATTATCTTGCTTTTGGTCTGGGATTATTTACATTCATTCTAGTGGATATTTATTTTAATAACAAAGACTAACATGTTAACATTGTGTAATTCATTATTTGGGTTTTGTAGGTGGAGGATACAGGAAGATACACATGTCTGGCATCCAGTCCTGCAGGAGATGATGATAAAGAATATCTAGTGAGAGTGCATGGTAAATTTGGCAAAAGCTCCTACAGTCTATCATACACACACCTGATTAGAAAAACCTGGGACAACACCACAGCACATCACAAGATATGTTTATAAGTTAGGGAATATATATTTTGCAAATCTGATTCTTATATTTGACTAATCAAATGCTGTTGGGGGCAGTTCATGGATTTTTTTGAGTTATTTGATTAGTTTCTGCATTAATAATTTGTATTCATTGGTTTAAAATAATAGAATATAAACTATGATGAAGAAAATTTAAAAATCGAGAATCTCATCAAAGACTTTTTTGCATATAAATGTTTTGTCACAAAAATATGATGATAGAAAATGTATGTTTATATGGTTTACCTATAGAATTTAACTTGCTTTTATCTCAATACTTTGGTGAACATTTTCATGTCAAGAAATACATTTTTATAACATAATTTTTAGTGATTGTATAGTATCCCATTTTACTCCATATTTTTGGATGTTTAGGCTATTTCTATATTTTTTCCAATATAAACAGCCCTGCTGTGGATAACTTTGCATGCACATGTCAGCCTATTGTCAGATTACTTCCTAGCAGAATTGGGCCAGTTAGACTCCCTCATGGGGAGGAATAATTTAAAAACTAACAGATCTTTGGTTCATTCTCATAGCCTGAATGACTAGGCAGTGCAAACTATCTGGGATTTAAGTGCCCCCATCATCCCTACATACAAATCAAACCTGCCATTAATTGACATGCAAATTCTGCTTAAAAAAAAAAAGCCACATGAAAAAGACTTTCAGTGTATTATGATGGGCACTCTCTGATTCAGTAATTTTTAAATCTTATGTTCAGATAAAATTATTACCAAGTTTATAACCTGGACAAAGGATCCCTTCTTTGTGCCTCCGTTTCTTTACTGTCAAATGGTGAAAATAATGCAATTTTATTACTTCTATCATTCATGTGGTTGTTGAAAGGATTTCTTTACTTAGTGTACATGAAAGTGCTAAATAATTATCTAGGCTGTAAATTAAATGAGTAATGTTTTAATTTTATGACTCTTATTATTTCATATAGCAGAACCAACATTTTTTGGTTACCTATGATAATATAGATCATGTTACAGCTCATTTTTTTAAAGCTTTTGTTGTATTTGTTCTCATACCCAGTACCTCCTAATATTGCTGGAACTGATGAGCCCCAGGATGTCACTGTGTTACGGAACAGACAAGTGACATTGGAATGCAAATCAGATGCAGTGCCCCCACCTGTAATTACTTGGCTCAAAAATGGAGAACGGCTACAGGTAAATTTTTTGATAAGCTCCACAAATTCCTTTTTGAGATTAAAAAATAAAAAACCAGCTCTAGGGCCTTTGCTAGGTACACAAAACCAACTAACATCAGGCTACTAATTATTCAACATTGCAGCAGTGAGCACAGGGTTTTTAAATTAGCTTTATTATTTGCTTTATTATTTGCCTTTGCCGGGGTAGTTAATAGTTGGTCATGGGTCAAAGAAAGCTATTTAGATTCATGACACTCTGGAACTTTGCCAAAGTATGTATTTCCTTGTGCCCTTGCATTGAAGTCTGATTTGAAATACTCACCTATTTGTTAAGACAGAAGAAACCAACAAAGTCTCAAAATAACTGCCACATCTCTAGGGAGAATGCTTCTTTTACTGAATTTCCCTTGTCTAAGCTTGGACCTCATGAGTGACCCCAAAGATACCAGGTGTCTGAGACTGGAATCCGTGAAGAACCAGTTACTGGCTGTCTAAAACTTGCCATGCTCAGATGATACCTACCTGCTGTCATAGAGTGTCAAAGGCCAGGATCTTCAGTAGCCTTTTAGAGACTACTGAAAGCTTTGACTGTGAATGTGTTGATTGTGATTATCCTAGTGATTTTTTTCTTCTTTGTTCTTCCTGATCCTCTTATTGTAACCTATACTTTGTTTCTAATAGTTAATTACAAAAGGGGATTATGTCCCCTAACATCTAAGACATAAAGACTTCCACCACCACTAAACCACACAAACACCAAACGTGGAGGGGCTGGGTTCTAAGAGTTACTAACATGCTAAATCATCATGCATATCACTTAACCCTCTGGTACTTCAGTTTCTCTATTTATTGTGTGCCTACTAGAATACTAGGTGCCATGATTGCTACTGAAAATAGGCTTTACCCTCAAGGAGCTCACACACTATCTGAGAAGACAGGTTAGTCAAAGATTATAGAATGGATACCACTAATAAATTGTATATTAGAAGGATATGTAGAAACAGAGATGAGAAGCAAAGAACCCAGACTAAAGGGTAAGGAACAGCCCATGGAAGTCTCTAAAGATGAGCTCAGTTTTAAAGGATCAGTATATACTGGGTGAGGCCGGAGAAGAAAGTGATTCCAATTACAGGTAATGGCATGTACAAAGCTATTACAAGAAAAGGAAGGCTGCTGGTCTGAGAACTGCAAGTAGCTTGGTATACCTGAAATAGATCTTGGTTAAAATCTTTGCTGATTCCCCATAGATTTCAGGATCCTGGTTAAACCACACAACTGAGCTCACAAGCCCTTTCATGCTCTGACTTTGCCTCCATAGTCTGATCTCCCATGTGTGCACTTTACTCCAGACCATTAGGGGTAAAGGTAAAAACTGAGTGAATGTTGATGATGGAGAAGTCTAGGTTGATCCCAGGTTGACCAAGTGATGGCAATCCTAGGAAAGGGTAAGTTCACTAGTGATGAAAAATGAAGAAAAGATGAGTTCAGGTTTAGACATTTTGAGTTTGAATTACCTATATTTTCCAAGAGGAGACTGTAGAAATCATTTAAAAATATTGGCCCGTATTTCATCAAAAAAGGCTTTGGTTTCATGGTCCATATTTACTTAAAAAAAAAAAGCGGCCTTTGATGTAATCATCATGGTATAATCTCTTGTTGAAGTCATAAGTTTGTAGGAGGTTGACTAGAAAGCAGAGTATGAGAGTCCCAGTTAAGTGAAAATAAAGCTTTAGGCAATAGTAACAATTACAAGGTGAGCATAGGAAAAAAGAAGATGAATGAGACTGAGCAGGAGGACTCAGAAATAGGATTAAAAGTAGGAAACACTGGTGTATTAAAAGTCAAGGAAAAGGTCAGGGGTGGTTAACAAAGGCCACAGAAGGTACAATAAAGTTGTGTCCATTAGCTTTGGTAATACATATAGGTAATTAAAGACCTGAGCAATGGTTCTTCAAAGAGTGATCGAAGTAGAAGGCAGGTTACAGTTGTTTGGAGAGTAAATGGAAGAAGAGGAAGTAGAAGCAAGCGTGAACTGTTCTTTAAAGATTTCTGTATGTGTATTTGCTGAAAGAAAGAGATTGAAGACAGAGGAAAGAGAAAGATCAGTTTATATGACAAGTTATGTTGGATAGGGGAGGTATGAGACCCAGGCACAGTTGAATGGGTTAGCCTTGTCGAGAAGGGTCATCCATTTTCTGCAGAGATGGGGAAATAGAAAAGAAGGTTACATTCATACCCAAGGTGGGAGGAGGGGAGAACTGCTGGTGTGGGGCTTTAATTTTCTCAGTGGAACAGGAAGTGAGATTATCAGCTAAGAATGAGGTTCTATCAGGAGACAAGTTAAATTTGGAAGAATTATAGGTGGTCTGTGGAAGGAAAACCAGAGAAAATTGTAATGAGACTTAATAAGTTAGCAGAAAGTACTGATATTCATGGAAGAGAAACATTATGAGAATCAATCTGAGCCAGATGCGGTGGTTCACGCTATAATCCCAGCACTTCGGGAGGCCAAGGCAGGATTGCTTAAGGACAGGGGTTCAAGACCAGCTTAGGCAACATGGCAAGACCCCACCTGCATAAAAAAAAATTAGCTGGGTATGGTGGCGCACATCTGTAGTTGTAGCTACTGAGGATACTGATGTGGGAGGATTGCTTGAGCCCAGGATTTTGAGATTACAGTGAACTATGATAGCACCACTACTGCAGCATGGGTGACAGAATAAGAATCTGTCTCTTAAGGAAAAAAAAAATCACTCAAAGTTTTTATTAGCCTAAAAGTCTGCTATACCCATATAAAAGTTAAAAATTAAAATATTTTTTATAGAACTTACTATACATATTTAAGAAATCGCTTATCCTCATCAAAGGTAACATAATTTTATCACTAATAGCCCCAATAGAAAGGACTAGAGAAAATGTGTGAACTTTTCAAATAAATGGACCTGAACTGCATATTTTACTTCGAGCAATGTTTTATTAGAAAGATATATGTATCTGGGACCAAGCTCATACGGTAGAGAAATCTTATTTGGACTATTCTTGAAATGCTTTCATCTTAGGTACAATGAGAGACTATCAATCTTTGATGCTATCTGGAATTTTTTAACAACTATGATCATATATTTTATCCTTAAATTACTTGTTTATATATGTAGCTCTCCAATTAGACTTAATAGCAGAGATTAGGTTTCATTGTGCTATGTTTTCATAATTTTTGGTCTATGCCTAGTTACAAAATAAATTCTTAAGAAATATTTGTGGTAGTTTATTTACTTATTTTTTAAAAATATTGGAATACAATGTTTTCCTCTAAGTTAACCAAAGTTAGTCAGCAGGCTTTCAGTTATAAGTGACAGAATTCAAATTCAAACCAACTTAAATGAAAAGGAAAAACAAAAAGGAAATATATTGGCTACAATAATTGGTGAATTTCCAGAGGCTCTAACTATATAATGAGGCATCTATCCTTTCTCTGAATGAACTCTACTTGTATTGCCTTAGATTCAGGACAGGCTGTTTCCACATGATAAGACTGCCACTAGGCTTAGGTCATCCTCACAACCTGTGATTCTAGGAAAAAGGGCACATCCTTTCCCTGACACTCCCAGCAGAGTCTAGAGGAGGACTCTGGTAGGCCTGACTTAAGTCACCTGCCCATTCCTGAATGGATCGTAATTGTCAAAGGAATTGGGGGCATAACGTCACTCATTAAAACAGTTCCCAGGGATTTTTGATACTACGAAAATGGTGGAGGAGCAGACAAAAGCATGCTGACAGACAGCAGCTCCTGTTACTTAGCATCGCTCATTAAAACAGTTCCCAGGGATTTTTGATACTATGAAAATGGTGGAGGAGTAGACAAAGCATGCTGACAGACAACAGCTCCACAGTTTGCTATAGTTACTTTTGATGCTGTGAAATAATATTTACTCTCTTTTCCTGACATTTTAATGGTAAATTTATTTACTTGCTGAATCCAGGCAACACCTCGAGTGCGAATCCTATCTGGAGGGAGATACTTGCAAATCAACAACGCAGACCTAGGTGATACAGCCAATTATACCTGTGTTGCCAGCAACATTGCAGGGAAGACTACAAGAGAATTTATTCTCACTGTAAATGGTAAGAAAAGGTATTCATTGTTCCACAATTTAAAAATCTGACCAAGGGCATTCAAAGAGATGATAGCTTTTTCTTATGTGCATACTAAATGAAGCCTTGTACTTATCTTACTGCTTTTGAAAAAGGCAACATGGAGTATTTGTATTAGATCTATACTGCAAATTAACTCAATTTCCAAAAAACAAAACTAGAGATATTTTAGTCTATCTTAGAGAATATGTCCAATTACTGTTAGCATATCATGATGTTTTATGTCATTCAGAATCAGAACCATTGAGGAAGTCAATACACTAAATCACTGGATGACAAATAGCCCATCATTTAGTTCACCTTTATTGATGGTGGCTTGAGAGTACATATGTGCCAAACAGAGACTGCCATAGGACTGTAATTTTGTTAAATATAGTATCTGAATGCCAACATTTAGGAATATAGACTTTTCCTCAAAACAGTCTATTGGATATTTAATATATAAAATTTTACAGAATAGTGGGTGACCCACACAACTAATATCTCTAATACTAAAATTAAAATTCACGCTGTCTATTCCCATATGAACTCAATGATCAACAAAATGCATGCTCTGAGAATTGCATGATTGATCACAGATGTGCTTTTTGTTAAAACAGCCCACTTTCTGTTCTTCATTTAAAGTGAAGCTGTTTCAGTGTTAACATTCTCTGACCATTATTTGCCCAAAGAGAAATAAGAAATATCATCTTTAATTTGCATCAGACTAGAGCTGAGTTTCATTTAAGCCTCTCTCACAGTAAGCCAGATTTCATACACCATATAAGAGATTTAAAATCCCCCTGCCTACCTACCCTTTATTTTTAAACGCAAAGTATCTCGAGTAAGACTTCAGTAATTAAACCTCAATTATATTTATACCAACCTAGATTCATGTAGACAAAGCTATACATTTGACTCGAAGCTCATCTTATATTACATCTTCAGTGTCTTCACGCAGGCTGTGTTATTTAGTATCACTGAATTTTTTCATGTGCATCTCTTGTTCAGTTCCTCCAAACATAAAGGGGGGCCCCCAGAGTCTTGTAATTCTTTTAAATAAGTCAACTGTATTGGAATGCATCGCTGAAGGTGTGCCAACTCCAAGGATAACATGGAGAAAGGATGGAGCTGTTCTAGCTGGGAATCATGCAAGGTAACAATACTGGAAAATTAAAAAATGCTGTAAGACCTGAAATACAAATTCTTAAATTTTTTTTCTAGTGCACTATTTTGGTCTCATTATGTTTAGAATTCGCATTTCATCTTAATACAATAATCAAAATGTAGTATTTTATTATTTTTCTGAGACAGAGTCTTGCTCTGTTGCCCACGCTGGAGTGCAGTGGCATGATCTCATTGCAACCTCCGCCTCCTGGGTTCAATTGATTCTCCTGCCTCAGCCTCCCAAGTAAACTGAAATTACAGGTGCATGCCACCACGCCCAGCTAATTTTTTGTATTTTTAGTAGAGATGGAGTCTCACCATGTTAGTCAGGCTGGTCTCAAACTCCTGACCTCAGGTGATCTGCCCACCTCAGCCTTCCAAAGGGCTGAGATTACAGGTACGAGCCATCACTCCAGGCCCAAATTTAGTAATTTAAAAGCATAATCCCTGAGGCTTATGTCTACATAATGATTATAATCCATTCAAGATCACAAGCCCATCTGTTATGCACCTTTGCGTCGTAACTTTTTCTTCCACCAAGGGTATTGTAAACATGTGTCATCTGAAACAGGAAAAAAACTGAATGGATTTCACCAAGTGTTTAACATTTCCCTCAGTCAAAATATGAATAATCAAAAAAGGCTGATTCAGAAGACTTCACTTGTGGTTTCTCTTGCAGATATTCCATCTTGGAAAATGGATTCCTTCGTATTCAATCAGCACATGTCACTGACACTGGAAGGTATTTGTGTATGGCCACCAATGCTGCTGGAACAGATCGCAGGCGAATAGATTTACAGGTTCATGGTAAATACACTTTATAGATGACATCCAGTCTCTGTGTCAAATGCTCTTTGATAGCCTAAACTAGTGAGGTCATAAAGATCTTGACATTGAAGGCTAGTTAAGCAATTTACATTGTATTATGAATAGTCAAGCCCCAAGTTTTCTCCTTAGTATAGTTAATATCATCACAGCACTATTAAAATTCACAGAGCCTTGTTTGCTCATAACTATGAGGCCAGTTAACAATGACTAATTTCAGTTCAGCAGAAATATTTCAGATGGCACACTATTTGCTGACTGTGTTTCCTTCTTATTTGGTGACATTGTCTTAGTTCCTCCATCTATTGCTCCGGGTCCTACCAACATGACTGTAACAGTAAATGTTCAAACTACTCTGGCTTGTGAGGCTACTGGGATACCAAAACCATCAATTAATTGGAGAAAAAATGGGCATCTTCTTAATGTGGATCAAAATCAGAACTCATACAGGTAAGGATAATTTAATTGAAAACTCCCACCAACTATTTAGAAACAGTTTGTAATGAATCAACATTTTAATTCTATCAGTGGGGCCAGCAAATCTATGGACTATAACAAATTAGCTAGCATATAGAGGGATTTTTTTTCCTTAATATGGACTTAGGCTTTCAGCCTAAAATATTTTTCTGAATTATAGGTCATCTTTTCCATACATAAAACCCTGTGGATGAATGTCAGTGATTTTATATAGGATTAGATTTATATCCTGCCTTGTTTAGTACCTTTTAGAATTTTATAAAGGTAAAGAATAAGAACATCATTTTATATAAAAGAAAAACTATTTTGTAAAAATAAATACAAGCTTTAGTTATAGAATAAAACTCAAATTTTACACCTTAAAATACAATTTAGATATTGGCAGAATGTGTGTAGGGAGGAAAAACAGCATTTCCTCCATTTTTTTTTTTTTTTTTGCCTTTTTCCAAGCTTTACTGCCATAGCTTATAATATGGCAATATCTATTTTTCAAAGGCTAAACTTTAAATCACTAAGAATTTCTGATGTTATAGATGAGCATCATTTTTTGGATCTTACCTGAGCTATTAGATCGTTACTCTGTCAAACATTTGCTGTCGCACTAAAAACAAATGCTCTCTTATGTCCACTTTGACAAAAATCAGTTCCAATACACCAGGAAATATAAAACTAGGAGTGCCTCAGTTGAAATTCTATCATGTCTCTTTTTCACCCTTTTAATCTTTTGGCATTGGGAGGTTCAGTGACTTGCAAGTATACACTGTATGGAAAATGTGCTATGCTTTTTAATAAAAAGGTGTGTCAAATATGTTTTTATTAATGTTTTTATTAAACCATTTCTATCATGCATAGTGTGAAGTAAAGTAGATATTCTAATTTAGATTTACTTTAAATCATGTATGTGTATTTACTAAACCTCCTAAAATGTGAAGTGTTCTAGATTTTAGTTTTTTTTATATATATATACACACACACACACACACACACATACACACAGTTGTTCAAAACTACATATAGATAGATATAGATATATAGATATTGCCATATTATCTACAAAGTAGCCACACATTTAAGGAGACATGTGAAGTAGGTAAAGGGGTGAGACACACAGACTTGTCATTAGTCATCTGTCAGTGGAAATAAACAAATATCAACCTGCTAGGTTATTGTAAAATTTAGAGATAATTTATGCAAAGCATTTAAGATGGTGCCAGGAGTGAATTTGATGCTCAGTAGACAGTGGCTGTTATCAGTATTCTCATTGTACTGTATTTCTCCTAGGAGAGCAAGGTTGATCATGATATAAGCATTCAGAGAATGTACGATTCCCTCTTCAGACAATTCTTCCAAGAATTACTTCCTGTAAATATTACATCAAGTTTGAGGCTCTAGAAAGCCACTGCCATATAAACAAACTGTAATGCATAAAGTTTGCCTCAGGCACATGATGTTAATTTTAACATGAGGGAAGAGTACTGTTTTCATCAATTTACAACATGGTACCGTGTTAAACTAGCTGGGAAAATTTGTGAAAACCTACATATAGTATCTCATGCTTTGAAATCTGTCTTCCAGGCTCCTTTCTTCAGGTTCACTAGTAATTATTTCCCCTTCTGTGGATGACACTGCAACCTATGAGTGTACTGTGGCAAACGGTGCTGGAGATGATAAAAGAACTGTGGATCTCACTGTCCAAGGTAGAACTGGCTTGGAACATGGATTGAAACATGATAATGCTATCACTTCATCATTCCACTACTTTACAAAAGGGATCCCTTTTCTTTCCTTTTTTTAAACATTTATTTTAAGTTCATGGGTACATGTGCGGGTTTGTTATACGGGTAAACTTGTGTCATGGGGGTTTGTTGTACCGATTACTTCATCACCCAGGTATTAACCCAGAAATAAAAGGAGGAATCCCTTTTATACTTACCTAACTTTCACTTTCAGCACAAAAAGATGATGTATGATAAGTCTCTGGAATTCCTTAACAGTTGGAAATGTGTAGTTTTTTCCCTTTTTGTTGTTGTTGTTTTAGTTCCACCTTCCATAGCTGATGAGCCTACAGATTTCCTAGTAACCAAACATGCCCCAGCAGTAATTACCTGCACTGCTTCAGGAGTTCCATTTCCCTCAATTCACTGGACCAAAAATGGTATAAGACTGCTTCCCAGGGGAGATGGCTATAGAATTCTGTCCTCAGGTAAGACCAAGCTCAGTGATTTCACATCTATCGATTGTATTAGTTATTGATGCATATTCTTACCTGGTCTTTGTTGCACCAGAATAAAAGAATAAAATATGCATGCATTCTTAGACTTAAAAATCTGGAAAACAGATTGTTAAAACATATTTTTCACATAGGAAGGGGATCTAGGGAATGAAAGAAAAAGAAGTCTGGAAACAAAATAATATTTAAGACTGATCTGAATATAATAAACATGATCACCGGTATTTATGTGTATATTTACCAAACCTAAGGTTTAACAAATTCCCGAGTTACCTGAGAGTGAATCACACTTATTTCATTGGCCAAATGGAATGTCTCTTCATTTAATGAACATTCAGTGCCTCAGACAGGATATATACTCTACTAAGATTCTGAGACTATATAACTAAAACAGGGTTCTAGGTTTCTAGGCTTTTAAAATTGAGTATGTAAGACTGAGCAGTGAGTTCTGTGAAGGAAAAATGTTTATAGTGGTAGTAACCCTCGTTTATACAATTTATAGTATTGAAGAAAAAAAAATCACCTAAAGTATAGGTGATTCACATTGGTATTTCTCAAACTTATCCTACACTGGGGAAACACAATAGAGATAAAGTAGTAACTAATATCCTGGGACTTTATGAGTATGTGCATATTATTCTAAGAGAATTTGTATGGAAGGGAAATAGTGGAAAATTTGTTCCCAGGATGCAACTTGGCTTTCAAGACAAATTATTTTGACTATAGAGTGATAGCCATTCAAATCATAAAATATATATAAATATATGTATATTTAGAATAAAGTATTAGGCTAAGAAAACAATTTAGAACTTTCTCAAAATATTAAACCCAGCAAGTTCATTCCTAGGTATTTACCCAAAGAAATGAAAACATTGGTCTACACAAAGACTTATATGCACATCTTTATACAGCATCATTTGCAATAGCCAAAAAGTGGAAACAATTCAAATGTCCATCAGCTGATAAATGGATAAATAAAATGTGGTATATCCATGCAATGGAATTCTGTTTGGCAATAAAAAGGAACAAAATATTGACAAATGCTACAGCAGATGAACCTCAAAAACATTATGCTCATAGTGAAAGAAGTCAGACACAAAGGACCACATACTGTATGATTCAATTTATATGAAGTGTTCAGAAAAGGCAAATCTGTATAATCAGAAAGCAGACTAGAGGTGGGCTAAGGCCAGGGTTGGAAGTGGGGAATGACTGTAAATGAGCACCAGGTTTCTTTTGGGGGTGATGGAAATATTCTAAAATTTGATTGTGGTGATGTTTGTATAACTCTGTAAGTATACTAAAAATCATTGAATTGTGCATTTAAATGAGTGACTCTTATGGTATGTAAATTATGCCTCAATAAAGCTGTTAGTAATAATTTAAGTACTGTGCTAGGCACTTCAGGGGATACAAGTATGAATATAAGCCAAGCACCACCATGCTAGTTGCAGAAAACACACAAAAGAGAGTCAAATTTTATTGAACAACAACAAAAAAAAACTGAGATGCAGTATACATTAAAAGTTTTTTTTTCCTTTTTAGGAGCAATTGAAATACTTGCCACCCAATTAAACCATGCTGGAAGATATACTTGTGTCGCTAGGAATGCGGCTGGCTCTGCACATCGACATGTGACCCTCCATGTTCATGGTATGGAAGGCTATTTACTCACTCATTCAAAGTTCGCTGGGTTTGGGGAGGTTTTTCTGTTCATATTTATTCTGAAAGGTGGTGCTGTCTAGAGCTATGAACCATAGTAATATCTTGGGGACATGAAAGCCTGGTAGATATTTTTAATAGGCTAAAAAAAGGCGCACAAATGACAAACTACTCAAAGTAACTCCAAAATAATTTTTCTTCTTGGATTTTTATAATCTGTTCCTGACTCTAGTCTTCCAGTGGAGTTCTTCTAATGGAAACTGGCTACTGTAGCAAGACTCAAAGAATGCAGTGTGGCCAACATTCACTTTTCTCTTGGGCAATCAAATCACTAATATTTAAGAATTATGAATTTGGGTATTTTTAAGCTCATTACTATAATAGACATGGTTTCCATTAACTAGTGCTATTACTTCTTTTTGTTGATTGGTTTCTTATAGAGCCTCCAGTGATTCAGCCCCAACCAAGTGAACTACAAGTCATTCTGAACAATCCTATTCTATTACCATGTGAAGCAACAGGGACACCCAGTCCTTTCATTACTTGGCAAAAAGAAGGCATCAATGTTATCACTTCAGGTACCTACCACTGTTTCTATCAAGAAAATCATAGCACATCAGTGTTTTATAATTCAAATCGGCATGATTGTTTTTAATGAAAAGGTTTTTTGTTTTTTTTTTCACTCTGCTTTTGTAACTGTGATGTAGGCAAAAACCATGCAGTTCTTCCTAGCGGCAGCTTACAGATCTCCAGAGCTGTCCGAGAGGATGCTGGCACTTACATGTGTGTGGCCCAGAACCCAGCTGGTACAGCCTTGGGCAAAGTCAAGTTAAATGTCCAAGGTACCTAAATAATTCATCTCTGTTTTCAATTCAAAGATGTTTGTAACAATGTCTACCAAATATTTATATATCTAAATTGATTATGCTGCTGTTCCCCCATAGTTCTCAACATTCTTAGTTTGTATTATCCTACTGGTTTTTCTATCACCTTTATGAAGAAAGTTTAGTGTATTTTATTTTTTTGGCCATTGTTTGTATAAGAAAATACAGGCATCTAATCCTATTTTGAACTTCTATGAACCTCTATTTGATACTCTATTTCATTATATAGGTAAAACTCTTCCCACTTATTTGGAAACCTATGAAAGGGCTCATAATAAGGATTTTCTTTCCAAGTGTTTACAGTAGGCTAATCACCACTTAGCTATTAGCCTGGATATTCTATTGAGTTGTAATGCATCACTATAAAGAAGCATATGAAATAACTGAATAATCATATTTTTTATAGCAACAAAATTATTTGGTTGAATTTGTGCTTGCCATTACATTTGTATTTCCAAGGGGACAGTCTATTCAGAGCAGTTAATTTTTTTCCAAAATATTTTCCAAAACTTGGTGTTCATTTTGGAAGTTTAAATACCTACAGTGAATCACATAATTTATGTAAATGAGTGACATAAGAGTCACTCATTTATGAATCACATAAATTATGTAAGTGTATCAACATAATTTTGTTGATACAGCTTAAATTTTCTAGACATGCAAGCCCTCATGACTACATGTTTATCTCCTCATCTAAAATCGACTGTCACTTAACATTTATTTGTTAGCTGGGGACTAGTTTTCTGAAGTGTGCCCAATTACTTTTTTGTTCCCATGGAAAAGTGTAGTGCTCCTTTTCTAATGATATGGTGAAGTCAGGATTTTGTTTCTTATCAATGTTTGCTAGAGCAGTACTGTAGTATGTAATTTGTGCACTCATGCTTCTAAGATGAACTTTGAACTTTATATTTTTTGTATCTTTTAGTTCCTCCAGTCATTAGCCCTCATCTAAAGGAATATGTTATTGCTGTGGACAAGCCCATCACATTACCGTGTAAAGCAGATGGCGTCCCACCACCTGACATTACATGGCATAAAGATGGGCGTGCAATTGTGGAATCTATCCGCCAGCGCGTCCTCAGCTCTGGCTCTCTGCAAATAGCATTTGCCCAGTCTGGTGATGCTGGTCATTACACCTGTATGGCAGCCAATGTAGCAGGATCAAGCAGCACAAGCACCAAGCTCACCGTCCATGGTAGGTTGTTTAACATGAATTATTTCCGTCTGCTACACTACCATGGCAAAGATAAAAGGCTACCAAGAGAGAAAATCTGATAGAAGTAAAAAACCCTTAAACTCAGTAATCCAAAGTGTGTGTTGGGGGGGAGGATGTGGTATGTAGGTACACTTCAAATCTGTTTTCTGTGGACTGTGTTTATGTGTGTTTGTGCACATAGGTGTGTGAGAGAGACAGATTTTATTAATATTGCCAGAATTTTTAATGTGTTGCTGGTACCCTCACATATTGTGATTAGTTGACTTATGAGGAGTCTGTTTGTGTTTTGTGACTTTTCTGCTTTACTTTTCAAGCTTCAAGTCATCTTGGTTCAAAATGAATCACCATATGACCTACATTGTATGACTTGACCCTAATGAGAATTAGGAGATCTATTTGATTCATTATATTAAAGTGGCAAAATATTTACCTATACATTTTTATAACAGAAAAATATCTTTCCTTTATATTAAGACAACAAAATATTGAAAAATCAGCATTGAAATATTTTTAGTTTTTATTGTATATTTTGACTAAGGATAGAATCCATGTTAATATCAGTGGTAGGAAACAATAGCAGATGAAACTGCTTCCAACCTCTCTTTTCAGAGGTAATTATAATGAGGAGTTTCTGCTTTTTCATTTTTCAGAAATTTGTGAAAGCTGTTTTATTTTCAATTGCATTTTAATTTTGTGTAACTTCAGAATAACAGAGATAATTTTGAGTGGAAACATTTTTGGTTGAATAATTTAGCCAAAATTAAAAATCACCATTTATGAGTTTTCCAAATAAATCCCCTGCTTTCAGTTAACATAATTAATCAATATACACTATCCATTTGCCTTCAACTAAATAATACTCCTTCTTTTCAAGTGTCTGTAGAAAATTTACCAAAATTGACCTAAACAAAGAAATTGTTAATAAGTTTCAAAAAGATAGACCATAATTTCTACCCACCATGCAATAAAGCTAGAAATTTGTAATCAACTTTCAATGCCAAAACCCCAAACCCAGACGACTTTAAAAACACTCTTCCAGCCAAAAAGTAGGTCAAAGAATAATTTTCTATTTTCAGATTATTTAGAAAATAAAGACATGACATATCAAAATGTACAGTGTGTGCTCAAAGCTAAAATCAATAGAAAGTCATAGCCATAATTCTTTCATTTTGAAAAAGAAAGAACTGAAGTAAATATACTAATGCTGCAACTTTGTATCCCCTAACAAAAGACAAATAGCAACCCAAGGAAATCAGGATAAAGAAGATAATGAAAATAGAGCATGAATTAATTAAAAATGAATATTTATGATGCACTATTGAGCAAAATCAATTTTTGTGTTTTCCAAATTATAATGTTTATATCTATTATTAATGTTTGTATATTTAATCATATCATAAAAGATAAAAATTAACTATTTTAATTGAAAGCAGTTAATTTAACTGAAAGCAGCTAATTAAAGTTTATATAGCAATTTTATTTTTGCGAAGGTCAACTGTTCTCCTGTCACTCTTTAAAATGTCATTAAGATGGGTCTACTTCTCACTGATTTGTTTGAATAATTCCACATTCATTGTTTTGGGAAGGGAGTGTATTTTTACTTTTGAGCCAAGAATTCTTAATACTTTTTGTCTTTTCTTTAGAAGTAACTATCTTAGTTCTAAGTCCAGTCGAGTATTTTTTATTACACTAAAATATTCAGTTCATCTCTATATTGCCTAAATTCTAGTTAAAAAAAATTTGAGTCACAGGAAGTATTTGGTACTATAATGTACCAAATGTGCAGAGTTATAAAGTCATTATGAAAATTTCCTGACAGTATAAAAACTGAATTAAATGTCTTGATCTGGTTTACTTGTATTCATTATAACATGTAAAATACTGCAATAAGTATTTTTTTCTACAGCAGTTTGTGATATTCAATATTGGGTGTCTTATAGTGTTTTCTGGTAGCTATTATTAGTTCATCCTCACAATATATCTCTGAGACAAATATAGCAGTTATACAACCATAGAAGCATTTTTTGGTTTTGTTGTTGGTTTGTTTTACTTCACTGCAATAAACAGAAGTAACTCAAAGATGGAAAAGTCAGGAAGCCAAATAAAATCTAAAGATCTTCTACCCAGTTCTGTCGTTTGCTCAGAAACTGAATGTAAATATATTCAGTAAGTTCAAATACATTAGGATTCTTGCTAGCACCAAAAATACTGATTTCTTTCATAGCAGGAAGCAAATCAATATCGTAATATTTCATTTTTAATATTTCTAGCAGAGTTACCATGAAGAGAGTTTTTTGTGTGTTAATTTTTATTGTGAATAAAGACATTATTGAACTCAGCTTCCTGGATGACTCTTTTTTAAACTCTTCATAGTACCACCCAGGATCAGAAGCACAGAAGGACACTACACGGTCAATGAGAATTCACAAGCCATTCTTCCATGCATAGCTGACGGAATCCCCACACCAGCAATTAACTGGAAAAAAGACAATGTTCTTTTAGCTAACTTGTTAGGAAAATACACTGCTGAACCATATGGAGAACTCATTTTAGAAAATGTTGTGGTAAGTTTAATGGACATGAACAGATATGTTAAGCCAGATTATAAATTTGCTGTCACACTTTTAGTAATTTAGCATGGAAGTATATTCTTTAATTAAAAAAAAATTCTTATAAAATCAGGTCACAAAATTAATTTTACACATATTTCATGTCCCTTGAATAATATTTAACAGATGATAGGAACTCACAAATGCCCTCCTTCTAAAATTATGTTTGTGGAAATATCTGTTTATCAGGAAAAATTTTAAGTACCATTGCTATATTCTCTGCTCTTAACCTTACAGGGCAATGATAAGTATCTAGAGTAAATAACTTTCAATTCTTTAGTACTTCAAGGGGAAAAAATGTTAAACATTTTTTTAAAAAGGAAAAAAGTCTATGTGTCTCAATGCAATCAGAAGCAGTCATTAATATTCAACATAAGTATTCATATATATTCATATTTGAATATTCCTATTCAAATATTCAACAAATGTTTATCGAACACCTTCTCTGCAACTAGCACTAGTTTAGACACTGGGAATACATCAGGGAACAAAAGAATCAAAGATCTTTGCCCTTATAGAGTTTATATATAGAGGAAGGAGACAATAAAAATGAAAAATAATAATGTCAGAAGAAAATAAGTCAGAAGAAAAAAAATGGCATGAAAAATAAGAGAGGGGTAAAGGGTGTCAGGATTTGGAGCAGTGAAGATTACAGTTGTAAATAGGGTAGTCAGAGTAAGTTCTCTTTGGGAAGGTGACATTTGAGCCAAACTTGAAGGAAGTGAATTAGCCAAGCAAATATGTGGAGGAGCAGACCAGGGGAAAAAAAAAATAGGTGGAGCAAAGCACTTGAGGTGGAAACATGTCCAGTGTATTTGAAAAACAAGAAGCCAGTGAAAGCAAAGCAAAGAATGAAAGGAGAAAGACGTCAGTGTTAAATGGAGGCCAAATCATGTCAGGTCTTACAGGTCATTGTACAATTTTACCTTTTACTGTAAGTCAGAATCCATTGCAGGTTTTTGAGCAGGTTTTTATATGCCTTACATTTTTAAAGCGTTATGTTGGCTGTTGTGGTGAGAATCAGAGGTAGGGAGACAAGGACAGGACCAGTGAGACCTCTTGGGAAGACTGTCTGGAGGCAGATGAGAAATGATAGAACTCAAAGCAGGATGTTAGCAGAGAAGAGGCAAGAAGTAAGATTCTGCATATACTTTGAAGCTAGCATTTTCTGATCGATTGCAAGTAGGGTGTGAGGAAAAAAAAATAAGAATGACTCAAATGTTTGAGACTGAAGGCATGAACAATTGGAAGGGTGAAATAGCCATCAGCTGCGATGGTGAAGGCTACAGGCAGTACAAGAAGGGGCCGTTGGAAGGAATTGGGAGCTCAGTTTTGGGGCATGAGTGTGAGACATATCTTCGGCATCAGAGCAAAGAGTTGGAATAAGAAGTTCAATAGACTTTGAGTTTGTAAGAAAGTATCAGTATTTGGGTTGGAGATGCTGATAGTCATCAGCATAAAGTTTATATTTAAAGCCATAGCACTGTATGAGATCACCAAAAAAATGAGTACAGATATAGCAGAAAAGAGGACCAGAGGCTGAGCCTTCTCACATGCCAACATTAAGATGTTAATGTTGAAGAGAAGCCCCCAAAAAAGTTGGAGAAGCAACCAGTGAGATAGGAGGGAAACTAGGAGAGCATAGCGTCCTGAAAGCCATGTAAAGGTGGTTTCAGATAGAAAGGACTCGTAATTGTGTCAGGTGCTACAAATGCATCGAGAGATGAGTCATGAGAGCTGGTCATTGAATTTAGCAAGTGAAGCCTCAGAATTGTAGGTAATAGTGCCCTTTCTCTTACCATTTCCTCTGATAGTTTTGGTGGTCTTTGATACCACCTTACTCAGAGAGCCAACTATGCTGTCAAGATGCTGTCAGCTTTTGGGATTATTTGCTCTTTATTTGTGCAATGCAGCGCATCTATACACTTGATATCTAGTAAACCACAGAATCTACAGTTTTCTGAAATCTTACCACTGTAGAATGATTATGGGCTTATATTTAAACTTCCATACATTTTAAATTATGTTATGCAAAAGCTAACCTGATGGTTAAAAGATGGAGATTTAAATTGTCTTTGGATAAGAGAGTTTCTTGAGGGCCTAGCTATGCAACTTGATGTATTTTATGTACTATGATGGATGATTATGAAATTTTAAATGCTACTTTTATTTTAGCTGGAGGATTCTGGCTTCTATACCTGTGTTGCTAACAATGCTGCAGGTGAAGATACACACACTGTCAGCCTGACTGTACATGTTCTCCCCACTTTTACTGAACTTCCTGGAGACGTGTCATTAAATAAAGGAGAACAGCTACGATTAAGCTGTAAAGCTACTGGTATTCCATTGCCCAAATTAACATGGACCTTCAATAACAATATTATCCCAGGTTGGTCATTTAATTCTCAAGAAGTGAATAAATACACCTATGTAGAACTCTAGACCAAACTCTATTTCCTCCAGCTGTGAAAATTAATTGAAAAGTAACAAGAATTGAATTGATTGCTTTAAAATCTGTAAAATGTGTGCCTCTGCTTGGATTTTACCCTCTACCCAATATATATGTTTTGTTCCTTCTTTTGGAAGTGTAAGTTGATCATAGGGCCATATATTGCAGGTTATAAGTAGCTTTTTAAACCTAAATATAATTCCCCCTACTCCATGAGAAGGCAGTATGTTTATATAGGTGCCTAAACTTATCACAGCTGGACCCCCTGCATCACTGATCAATGGATTAAGATGGCCACTGTTGGAGCCCTGAAGATTCACTTAATGTTACAGAGAAGAATTCTACTTCTCACTGTTTGCCTCAACTTCTATTATAGTGTAGATTAATTTATTTGGAAAATTTCTAGTCACTGTGTATACTATAAGTTAAGGTCATGTCTGGAACCCAGGAGTACCCGTCCCTGGGTGAACAAATATCTACTTGTTAGACTTTGTCATCAGTATAAAGACTTTGTCGGTACTGAGAAATTGTCCTATCCCAAAATTGAGTTCTGAAGTATTATACTATTAGCATTTACTAAGTGTCTTGCTAGAAAAGTAGTAATAAGCTTGAGGGTTTTTTTTCTATTATAAAGAGTTATGTTAATGACTGAAATTTATCACCTGCATTACCTTAATAACAACAATACATCTCACTAAGAAAAAACAAACACTAAAAAATCTAATCAATATTTTCTGAAAGTGCAGTAATGTAAATGTACTTTTAAAGCTTAATTTTCCACTTAATATTCAGCAGTAAAAGATTTTTTTTAAAAAACTTGAATGGGGAGAGCATGCAAGGTAAACATGCGTATTTAGATATGGACTGGTTTAGTCAGAATTTTATTTAGTCTTAGTTGTTTTAGGATTAGCATATTTGCCTTATATTTTCTTCTAAATGTTACACATTATGTTATAAATATTACTATCATAATTTTTAATATCTGCCTTTGTAAATATTTATATAATCACCATTTATGATTTACAGAGAAGTTTAAATTATTACAAATTTGACTATGTTGTTGTTATTACCTAACTAGCATAGGTTTTCATAATTTTCCCCTTTGACCTGCCAAGTCAGTTGAATTATAAGGTGGAAAGGTTTTCATGTGTTTGATGTAAATTGTTTGGGAGGGAAAGTGGTAGTGAGATAAATGAAATGGAAAATGTAATATTTCTGAATGAAATATTTTTGAAACTCAGACTACGAGCCAGCTTTAAGCAACACATTTAGATGAAAGGTTTACTTTAAGCCTAATTTTTAAAAGATGTTTGTTTTCATTCTCTTTTCCTGTTCCTTCTGTTGTTTTTTGTTCTTCAAACAAGTGTCTATAGACATAGTAGATAGCTCAGATGAAGAAATCTGTGGAAAAGGCTCTCTTCTCCAATGTCATCTCTTTGGTTCAATTGTTGACCAACTCATAAATCTAATGTGCAAAATATGGAGCTGTCGTGAAATTTTTCCTAGGTTCCTGAGCGGCATTTGTGTTGTTTGTTTCCTTCAGCCCACTTTGACAGTGTAAATGGACACAGTGAACTTGTTATTGAAAGAGTGTCAAAAGAGGATTCAGGTACTTACGTGTGCACCGCAGAGAACAGCGTCGGCTTTGTGAAGGCAATTGGGTTTGTTTATGTGAAAGGTAGGTAAAAGCACTGCATTTTTAATTTACAATATATTCATAATGAATGGCTCAGGTTTTGCCTCTTAGTTTTTAATCCACTCAGTCCTATTTCACAGATGTACAAATTCATGAGGAAAAAATTATGAGCATTCAACTTAAAAGTAGATAAGAAGTGAAGAGATCATTTCACACAAAGTGGAATCATTCCCTTAGAATATTGAAATTGACAAAATTATCTGGTGATTTAGCAAGATTTGATTCTGGAAAATTCATGAGGTTTTAAGGTGGCTTTACTCCCCTCTTTACTAAATTATTTTTCCAAATAGATCAAAAATCACAAATTATCAGCACTTACTTTTACGTTGTACCTGTCTTATGTTATTTTCCAGAACCTCCAGTCTTCAAAGGTGATTATCCTTCTAACTGGATTGAACCACTTGGTGGGAATGCAATCCTGAATTGTGAGGTGAAAGGAGACCCCACCCCAACCATCCAGTGGAATAGAAAGGGAGTGGATATTGAAATTAGCCACAGAATCCGGAAACTGGGCAATGGTTCCCTGGCCATCTATGGCACTGTTGTAAGTCACACTGGAATGATTGATGCACCTTTAAACCCCCACAGCCAATACCCCTCTGTAAGTGCCATAGATAGGAAAAATTTCTCTTACATTCCTATTTAAATCATAAAATCTGAATCAAATAACTTCTTTTAAAAAACTGAAACAAGGATTGAAATAGATATTTTAGCCCTTTCAAATAAGTGCAGTGGGATAATTTGGCTGCCTTGTTCCTTATCATTGACTTACTAATTAACATTTGGAGATAACTTCCTCAGATCTGTTTTAGGACAAGGAAATTGAAGAATTACAAACACAGTTACATATAGAGTAGATTTCATAGTAAGCTGATAACTATGTTAGACTTTTCCAAAGTTCAGTAATTCAGAAAATGAGTGGTGCTTTTGGTTATTATTCTAATTTTGGGGTCGTTACCCCAAAGTGAAATATTTTATCCCAAAATGTCTAAACTAGAATACACATGAATTTGTTAAATCACATTTGGTGAGACCACTTATGTGCTGTCATTGTTTAAGTAATTGAAATAATTAAAATATACTATCTAATTACCCAATCCAGTGGACCAGTCTCAGTCTTTTAGTCTCATTGATTTTACTTCAACATTAGATGTCATTTGTTGATTGTTCCTTCTATTATGAATTTCTACCTTATGTGCCATAATACTAATACGGCTCAGCCATCTTCATTACCACTTTTCCCCTTTTCCTCTATTACTATTTCTGAAGTCCTTGGTACTTCTAATACCAATGTTAATACTAATTTTTTTTCATCATGCAATTTAAGATTCCTAAAACTGTAGTATCACCAATGCTGAAACTCTTCCAAGTTCCATTTCCAGCTGTTGACTAGGAACTTCTGTTTGGATAATAGACTGAAACCTCAGTGTATTTAATTTTCCTTCTCCCAATCTACTACCTGCAAATCAGCTCCCCTTTATTGACTTACTGTTAAGGAGACTTGAATTCTTCCATTCACAAGACCTTCACCGAAATCTGTGCCTCTAGTCACCATATTGAAATTTATTTAGTGCAATCCTACATAAATTTACACACAGACACATACATATGTATATATAATGTGACCTACAGTCTGTGATTTATTATTATAAGTAAATTAGTTTTTCACTTTCTCTCCTAAACTTCAAACTCCCTAGATAGAGGTCCAGCTGAATGTAGTTTTAATAATCCCCATTAGAAAGGACTCAATATTTATTAATTTGTCCTGATTATTTTAATGCTTTTTAAGATATCTGTAAGTATAGTATTAGTATTTTTCTTTATTAAAATAATTCCAGATAGATGATCAGAAAATAATGTAATTTTTGCTTTGGTTTCTTACCAGTTAGTATTCCTGGAGATCAATGATAGGCTATTTTGAGAAAGTTTAGGCTTGGAATTTGTTTTCTCCCCTCACCCTCCTCTTTCTCTTCCTCTTCCTCCCTCCTTTAAATCTATTTAAGAGGTTAGACATATGTAGGTTTTCTTATTTCCATTAAAATTCCTTCTCAAAAATGAAATTTCAAATAAACTAGCATGTGGTGAAAAAAGTGATTGCCCTGCTCTGTAGGCTCATATTTTTGTAAAAATGCTGCTTGTTTCCATAGAATGAAGATGCCGGGGACTATACATGTGTAGCTACCAATGAAGCTGGGGTGGTGGAGCGCAGTATGAGTCTGACTCTGCAAAGTAAGTTGCTTAATGAAACTAATTAAACACTTGATTTAGAAAATATTACCTAATAAAGAGTGTTTATTTTCTTTAACTCTATAGCAAGTTCATTAGTGGTAGCTCTCAGAGTGTGCCTGATTTAGTTTGCTGCTGCTGATGGAGCAGTTGTCATCAAATATAGAACTGATAACACAGAGATATTTTTCTGTATTTTATCTAACATAGGTAGTATAAGATTGCAATTGATTGGTGGCAGAGCTTTTTTATTACAACACCTTCAATGGGGTGCCCCTTCTTACAATTCACCACAGTTATTCCAACATGCTTAAAAAGATTGCCATTTATGGCATTTTAAGATATTTATTAAAAATAAAGACTAATGTAAAGGAGCTCAAAAGTGCTCCAGCTTGATGGCTGTACTCTAACTGTAACTAAACGTTCTGGGTGAGATCCTCATGCTCATCAGGAAGCCCTTTAGTAAGAGTCATTGGAAAACAGAGTATCCATAATTGAATAAACATAGAATACTCCAATGGCCCACTGGAGAGTTTACAGAATCACTTAAGGGGCTGACCCTAAGACAATGTCATTGGGTTGAGAATTTAAGCAAGTCAAGTCATTTTGTGACTAGGCTCAGTATTTAACAGGATGAGTTTACATTTTCTTTATCACTATTGAGAGATGCTCTAGATTAGTTAGCTGTTTGCCAAACTAAATAATTCTGTAAGACATTGAATAGATGATAGTATCTAATACAATGTTTCACTAAAGAACATGTCTATCAAATGATAACATGGGATGTCATTAGGAAAAAATAGGGTTCTATGTTCAAACAATTCTGAGAAAAAATGAATTAAACAGAGTTCTTTTATTTATTAAATATATAAAGAACAGTTACTATGTGCTCAGCCCTCCTTAGGCATACCAAATTTCTTTACTGCAAATTTTCTAGAAATGTTAATATGTTGATGTGAATTATGGCCCAACAAGGGGAGAATATAATATGCCACATTTTCCAATAAAAAGTGAATGTAGGTAGGACACTACACAATAGCACTGACCCAGTTTAAGAAAAGCTACCTGAGAGCAGCTCATCTGCACATACTGACAATAAATTCATTTTAGTAAGTGAGGCATATTAGTCAAAAATATAATTTGATTCAAATTAGGATTAAAGTACCAGAAGCTATATTATTATTTAAAGTGTTTGTAATTATTATGTGAATGATGGAATTAATTCAATCGAAGTATGTACATGTGGAATTTTATTGTATTAATTTATAGCTTTATATACAATTGGGAATGTTCAATATGGTATCTAAATTAAGGTTCTGAGTTTATTTGATACTTTGGCCATTTTGATATGAGCAGACAAGCTTATTTAGTCACGTTGTCACTTAGTGTGGAGAGATAAACCTGAGGTATTTACTTTATGCAGCAACAGTTTATTGAATACATAATGTAATCTGGAAACTAGGAGAGAAATAAAGGCACTGGCCCTGAAAGTTTCTGGAGTGAGGTTAATAAAAACATCAGTTAGAAGGCATTGTGTAGGGTGATGAGCATAAGTCAGAATAATGCTTTATATGACACTTGCTAAGAGAGTCAAACCTCACGTGAAGTAATTACTTTTTTAAAAGACAACATGTCACTGATACCTTTGCAGAAAAAACTAACATGTTAATATCACAACAAAACACATTTTTATTCTATTTTTGTCTTATTTGTATTCTATTTATTCTAGATACACTTCTCAGTCTAAAATATGCAGCCACCACCTTGAATTATCAGATATTATCATTCACTGAACAAATCATTCCACCTTTCAGTTCAATGTCACTAAAACACCGCTCTCATCCCACCATGATCCTTCTCAAGAATGTATATGCTGCCCCCTTTGCTTTCTTATTTAAATGAAAACCTTTCTTATTTTAAGATTTGAACCAATGTTTAAAACCCTGTATGCTGTTACTCTTCAGGGTGAACCATCCTTTCTATTCGTTCATTGTCTTGAAAAAGAAAAAGAGCTAAATCCATCTCCATGTTGTGTCTTTCTCTCCAAGTGTTCTCCCCTCTCCTCTCTGTTCAAATAACCTTACTTATTTTTGAAAATCCAGTTCAAGTCTCTTCTTCCCAATGAAGTCTGTCATATTCTATCTTTCTTGGGACTGTAGACCAATATAGACAAACATTCTGCCAGCAGTTGCATGCAGTTCCTTTTACAATCTTTCCAAGGGCTTTACTGGAACCACTGTCATTCACTGTAGACACTGTTAACATCTCCCTCCTTCCTTTTTGGTTACCAGAATATCCTTTTTCTCCTGATTTTCTTCCTACCTCAGTGATTGGTTCTGAGTATCATTTATAAGTTTGTCTTCTGTCCATCTCTTAAATAATGCTGTTGCAATTGTTTCTGTCTTTGGCGCTCTTCTCATTTTAGACTCTCTTCTGAAACAATCTTATTCACTATGAAAGACTCACACATATATTATTTCTTGCTCATCTTTATTCTGAGCTCTAGATATGAATATCCCTGTTATGTAGACATCTCTATATGAATGTCTTACAGATACCTCAAGCTCAATAGTCCTAAATGGATGCAAATTATCATTCCTTACTCCCTATCCACAAATCTGTTATTCTGGTGTATGCTATTGCATTGCCCAAATATACCATATTCTCCAAATCAAAACCCTGTAGTCATCAGTTCTTCCCTTTAACCCATACCAGTCCGTAACAAAGTTCTATCATATCTACTTTCTTAATAATTATTGGATATGTCTTCCTTTTCCTCTGCATTTCCAGTGGCATGCCTTTGTTTGATATATTGTTACTGTTGTTTATGCTCCCATGTTAGTACACATTAATTCTATAGGTATGCTATAGCACAAGTCTATCTTATCAGTGGTCCTATGAGCTCCTTGAGACTAGAAAGAATATCTTTTCTCTATATACTCTTAGCACCCAGCACAATGCTGGCAAATAGCAGGCTTTCAGTAAATGTTTACTGAATAAATGAATGATGGCCAGTGATAAAAGAATGAGTTAATTAGCCAGGCGTGGTGGCAGGCGCCTGTAGTCCCAGCTACTCGGGAGGCTGAGGCAGGAGAATTGCTTGAACCCTGGAGGCAGAGGTTGCAGGGAGTCAAGATCGTGCCACTGCACTCCAGCCTAGGTGACAAAGAGAGACTGTGGCTAAAAAAAAAAAAAGAGTTAATGACTCTTTACCTCAAAAATGATCTAAAGAAAAAAGTAAATATTCACTATATAAAACACAGACAAAAATAACAATAGTAACTAAGAGTACTGTATGCAAAAGTTGTAGTCACATCCTCTTGTTGAGTCTAACAGGAATCCTCTGAAGTAGGCACCATTTTTAAGGACACGGGGCTTAGAGAGGCAGTAAGGAGCAGACACAGAATTTGAATCCGGGAAACATGACTCTAGAGCCCATGCTCTAGGCTAATCTGCTCAGGAATTTTAAATTTTTGACATTTACTAAATAAAAAAGAATTATGAAAATTGTATCAACAGCAATTATAATCTACAATCTTAGTTGGGAAGCAACAGTGTTTCATAAACAAATCAACCACTTTTTTCAAAATAATGTTACTGTATAATACATGATAAAAAATGTTATAACTCCACAAAAATTGAGACACTATGTGCTTTTTTTCCATAGGTCCTCCTATTATCACTCTTGAGCCAGTGGAAACTGTTATTAATGCTGGTGGCAAAGTCATATTGAATTGTCAGGCAACTGGAGAGCCTCAACCAACCATTACATGGTCCCGTCAAGGGCACTCTATTTCCTGGGATGACCGGGTTAACATGTTGTCCAACAACTCATTATATATTGCTGATGCTCAGAAAGACGATACCTCTGAATTTGAATGTGTTGCTCGAAACTTAATGGGTTCTGTCCTTGTCAGAGTGCCAGTCATAGTCCAGGGTGAGTGTGATCAGAGGAATATTCATAGTAAACAGTACCTGGGGTGACTCAAATCATGGAAATTATTAAGCACTTTAGTCCAAGTCGCCTGTCACCTTAAGATGCTTTTAGGTGATGGGGAGAGGACAAAATCATCAAAATTTACAGATTGAAGGGCCTAAACCAATACACATTTTAGAGCTTTAAAATGTCAAGGTTTTAATTTAAAATCCCAAACTAAATTTCTGATTCACAACTAAGTCAAATCTATTCTCAGAAATCAATGTATATGTTTTCGCTTTAAAGAATGACTTATGTCCAAAAGGTAAGCAGTTTGTAAACTCGTTGATCTCTAACTCTTCCAGCAGCCATGTGCAAGTGAGTGAGGATGAGATCTGAGAAGAAACTCTAGCTAACAGAAGTTCTTCTCTGTTGGATTTTAATTTTACCTTAAAGGAGAGATTTCATAAGCTATTTCTCAACAACTATATATTTAGCTCTGTAACCAGCGCATATCTTAAATGAAATCTCCTTTACAATATTTTATTTGCAAAGCTAAGACAAAGGACAATGTTTTACTTGCAGTTCATGGTGGATTTTCCCAGTGGTCTGCATGGAGAGCCTGCAGTGTCACCTGTGGAAAAGGCATCCAAAAGAGGAGTCGTCTGTGCAACCAGCCCCTTCCAGCCAATGGTGGGAAGCCCTGCCAAGGTTCAGATTTGGAAATGCGAAACTGTCAAAATAAGCCGTGTCCAGGTACACCTCCTTATTTAACTGACAGGCATGTGTTTAATAGACCTTCATTTCTGTTTTCTACCTATGGATTACCCCAGTGTGAGTACTCCCGATTGAAATATATCTGATGGTGTAATGGTTCACCTTTGTATAGTGGATGGTAGCTGGTCGGAATGGACTCCCTGGGAAGAATGCACAAGGAGCTGTGGACATGGCAACCGAACCAGGACCAGGACTTGCAATAATCCATCAGCTCAGCATGGTGGGCGGCCATGTGAAGGGAATGCTGTGGAAATAATTATGTGCAACATCAGGCCTTGCCCAGGTGAGAACCCACCAATAATACTAGGATAAACAAAACTTTTCTATCTTAACTCCTAGGAAAAAATTACATTTGCCTTTTCTTCTTCATTGTAAAAAGATGTTATGGCCTGTACCCTTGAGAATATGTTCATTCACTGTATTCTTAGTTCTCTTTCATGGAGAAACTTGTAAAAGTATGGCATTCATTGATGTTAAGCAAAATACCTGCTTTAATTGAACATGAAGAAAAGGTCCAAACTGGAGTGTATTTCTCACTCATGTAAAGAAAACATAAGTATTGACAAGGTCATAAAGTAACATCTAATCCAGCCATCCATTTTGAGGTGAGGAAAATGAACCCTAGAGAGGTTAAAGACTTGCCCAGAAACACACAACTGGTGAGGGGTAAATGCTAATCGCTGTCATTCACTAAATACTTACCATACAATAGGAACCATGCTAAGTGTTTTATATTGTTAATATTGCATATTATTATTGATTTTGTGTCTTAGCACTCTTTCCAAGTAAAGTGACAAATCAAACTTAAGTCTAAGTAGAAAACTTTTCAGGTGTAATTGAATCCAAGGATTTGGAGAGTGCTTTTACTAGCATGTTTTCCATCTCTCATCTCTGCTTTCCTCTCTTTGGCTTTATTCGCTATTAAACTCTTTCCATGTGGTGGAAACAATGACTGCTGACAGCTACTGGCTCACAGGGGCCTTATAATATAAGTGAGGCCTCAGAGAAAAAGAGTTCCCTTTTCTCTCAGAATTCCTATCAGTCTCTGGGAAGGAACCCTGTTTGCTTTTGTTCGGGTCACATGCTTACACCTGAACTCAAGTGAGTCCAGGGTATTCTAATAGCCAGCTTGGGTGAACTGTCTACCTAGTGTAAAGTGGGGCAGAGAAAGAAATCATGCAAAGTAGAGGAGCTGTTCATTTATTTATTCATGCATCCAACAAATATTTATTGAGCGCTTACTTTGTCATCAAGACACTGTTCTAGTTGCTAGAGTTAAAATAATAAACAGTATCTTTCCAGTTTTGATCAGCATACCCAAAAAACTCAGAGACTTGAAATGATGGAGTACAACTTGGAGAGATATCTTAGCTGGAATGTCAGAAAAAGAAATAGTGACAAACCAAAACGGGACAGGTATTCACTACATTGGGTATTGCATCCTATTGTGCAGATGAGGAAAGATTTAGAAAATAATGTTCAGTGATTCACTAAGGATAGCTAGCTAATAAAAAGCGAATCAAAGTTTTGAACTCAGGTTGATCTAATTATCAAGCTTATTTAAATTGTAGGTATCTGGATTTGCAATTCGGAACTTTGATTACATTACGAAAATGAAGTACTGTCCTGAAATCTTAAAATAAATGAGAAGCCATTTATTTTAGTCTTAAAGAATTTAAAAGCTCGTTGTAATAACATTATGTTCTAAACTTAAAAGAGCAGGAAATACTTGATTGAGCAATTTTGTGTAATTTGTCATCTATAATAACTATATAATAACTAAATGATATTTGTAAATATTCTAAAATAAAAATCAGTCTTTTCTCTTCATGTTGAGTAACACTTCGCTTACTACTGTCTGTTTGCTTACTTGCTGTTGTTTTGTTCACTATTTTATTGGCTTGTATTTTTTTAAAAGGCTTTCTCTAGTTATTTCCCCTAGCCCCTAAATCAATTGAATTTAGCTATTTTTTGAGCACAGTGTCGGTGGTGTCCTAGAGCCATTCAATGAAAGCATGTATTTCTTCCTGATAAGAGCATGTATGAAAATTTACTGATGCCATATTGGTAGGTAAGTATCAGCTGTAGTAGGAGTATCTATACCACAAAAATTAGCAATGCTACAAGTTTTCCTCCTCACCCCTAGAGAGCTGGTTGTTAAACATTTCTCAGCTCACCACTGCAAAATGGGCGCCAGCCTAAGATAGCCTTTCTCATCCAGGAGGTACGTGAAAATATCAGGGGCAGAAGATACTTGCTTTTGGTACAATTCATTTCTAACAATGTTGAATTTACAAAAGAGTTGCAACAAGAGTACAGATAATTTCTATATAACACTATCTAGGTGAAATTTTGTGTATTTCCTGAAACAAGGACATTCTCTGTCATGAACATAGTACAGTGATCAAAATTGGGAAATTTAACATTGATACTACTGTTACCTCATTTCATTATCTAATCTTGTTATGTAATCCATAGGCCATATTCAAATTTTGCCAGTTGTCCCAGTAATATCATTTGTAACTCTCTTATCCCCCATTCCAAGATCCGATCCAGGATCACACTTGTACTTATTTGTTGTGTCCCGTTAGTCTCTTTTAATTGGAAAATTTTCTCAGTCTTTTTCTTTCATGAACTTGATATATATTTTTTTAATTATACTTTAAGTTCTAGGGTACATGTGCACAATGTGCAGCTTTGTTACATATGTATACATGAGCCATGTTGTTGTGCTGCACCCATTAACTCGTCATTTACATTAGGTATATCTCCTAATGCTATCTCTCCCCCTTCCCCACAATAGGACCCGGTGTGTGATGTTCCCCTTCCTGTCTCCAAGTGATCTCATTGTTCAATTCCCACCTATGAGTGAGAACATGCAGTATGTGGTTTTCTGTTCTTGAGATAGTTTGCTGAGAATAATGGTTTCCAGCTGCATCCATGTCCCTACAAAGGACACGAACTCATCCTTTTTTATGGCTGCATAGTATTCCATGGTGTGTATGTGCCACATTTT